ACAAAAGAGAAATTGAGCAGAGAAAGGAAGCGGAGTTGTGTCCTCACTCTCAGTTCACTCTTATGAGGGTGACTTATTGAAAACGATTTGAACGTTCTAAGGATTGGTTTAAGCCGTTACATAAAAATTCGTTGTATGGCGTATTTACATAATTCAATTTGTGTTGTAGCGACGAATATACTAACCACACAAACTGTCTTATCGGCTATTGTGTGACTTTACCTGCGCGAGGAAAGAGGTAATCAGTCCATGGTCTCTGTGGCTGCCAGATATTTGGACGAGGGAAACGTTTTTGATCCACTGATGATCATAGCTGGGTAAAACATATCTTGGCCACATATTATGAACGTTTTCATAGTCAGTGTTTCCCCAAAGCGTCATAAAGAATTGTATTCAATTCGCCTTTGCCCCGCTTCGGGACGGATTTTGCTTAATTTCATTGTGTGGTTGTTTTCTTTTCACTAGTAACATCGGATGCTAAGTAAAGGGCAAAGATGGGAAATGATTTGCGTCGGTTCGTTGTATTTATATGGTTTTTTTCAAGTACCTGATGTGATACGCCTTATATTAGACTCATAGTCATTTCTCTGTGACAAATATCTTTAAAAGAAGTAGTTATAGCAGCATTTGTCGCAATCACCAAGTCATTATGTCGGTTTTATTGGTTATGGAACGGTGAGTTAAAGAGCTACAAATACTGCAAAATTACTTTCACGCTGAAAGATTATAGACATTATCCTTTTAGATCAAATGATGGAGAAAATTTTGGATTTTACGACGGAATAAAAATCATGAGCTTTATCTGTGCCACAATCAACTGCAGTATTGGTCACCTTATTTATTACATCCCAGAAACGAATTAACACTACCCGCCATTAAAACATTAATATTCTCCAGCGTGTAATCTATTTATTCAGCGAGGATAAAGCGTTTTTTCACGGAGGATACTGCTTCTTGGTGCACAAGAACGTTTGTAATATAAACAGAACTCGATTTTAGCGTGGACCGAGACTACTTTGATTTGAGAAATCAGAAAAGAGTGAATAAGCCACCAAGCTTTCGGTATTATTCATACCAGGCCAATATCGTTAAATAGTATTTGAGTGAAATAGAGATTTATACCCTGTAGAGCGAAAACGTCCCTCAGATACACAGCATTCGTTTGGTTTTTAAGAGTAAATGACCAGAAAATCACTCTTCCCACTGGCGGAGCCGCCGCGCGCTAGCTATACGTATACAGGGTGACCAGTACAACGCAGGCCATACGCTGGAACACGCCAGAAGCATTTTGATCGATTATCACAAGAAAGCCACTCTCCGTTTCTCATTTTTAACCTCGAAAAGTTACCGGTAGCCCGATTTTTATAAATTGCGTGATATCCCTAATAAAGGGATGATAAACTGTTAATAATCTGTTACCCTTATGCGTGAAAACGTCATTTGCTGAAATTATTGTTTTCTCTCTTAAACTCCGTTTACTCTACATTTTTCTCGACTAATTGCAATCCTCTCGCTGTTTTACGGGTCGGGAGTATCATTTTGTCGTCATCGGTTTGGAAGTGCTTTCATTTATAGACCTCGAAAAGCTAGAGGTAGTGTTACTTTTTCACAATGTGTAGTGGTTCTAATGTAAAGGTAAAAGAGTACAGTCTGTACTCGAGCCTATTGGCCCACCCAACCGGAGCTTACCTCGATTTTTTATGTAGCTATAACGACTAGTAGTATGACTACTTCCCCCTGGATGGGATGCTAGTTTATCGCACCCCCCCCCCGACATTTCTCAGGCTTCCCTGGCAATTTGTCGTTACCCACGTATACTCCTGAGGGGGGGGGGGGCACTGTGAGAATAAAGCGTCTTGTCAAAGAACACAACGTATCGTTTAAGCTACATTTTTCTTATCACCCTCATTTTACTTTCATGGAATTTGTTCAGTGCTTTAAAAGTGCCTTCGAGTTAAGATTTACTTGTTGCCACACCTTAAAACGGTATAGTGTACCTCCAACATTGCTTACAATCCCCATGGGCGATGAATCTACAGTCCCATAAACACTTTGTGGGACACTTGCAGCACCCACCCTGCCCTTCGCATGCAACGTTGGTTTCCTAGAAGACATGCCCAAATCGCAATTGACAAATCCTAAAGAGGGAAGAGGAGCAAGAAAATACCTCAAGTGGCGTTTTAATCAGGTGTTCCATCTCATTATTTCGAAAGTGTGGTAAGGCAGAGCGAGGAGCAGGAATCAAAGTGAAATATCTCATTTGCTTTACAAGACCAAACAAAGGAGGACTGAAGACATGTTGCTCTGCTTGCTAGTTGATAGAGAGACAAGGTTTTTCCACCATTGAGTCGCACATTTGCGTTTGATTAGAATATAGTAGTATTCCAGAATGAATTACTCTCGGAGAGTAATACCGTCCCTCTAGACTTTCCATTTTCGGACATCAAAGAAGTATCCAGAAATTGCCAATTCTGGGTCAAAATGTGCGCTCGCGTGAACATCTCTTGGGGTGTCTTTGCTTTTCCCAACCCATTAGTGTAAAACTCGAGATACACTTTAAAATATCTTCAGAAGGCCAAAATACGTTGATTCCAACCGTCTGTAACTTATTGAGATGTATCTGGGTCAAATCAAAACCATATAAAGATACATATACTCTTTAGAACAAATCTAACTGCTCTTCCGAAAATTGTCTAAAATATGCTTCACATTTGGTAAAAGTTTGCGCACGACGTCTTGAATCAACCCAACCCATTGTCGGAAAACTGCACGAGAGTTTGACACTTTGTCTAGCTTAAAGTGAGAAGGAAAAGTTAAATTCCTAACTATTCCGATGCGAAAGACAAGTGAAAGAACGTTAAACACCGAACCTTTTTCCTACCTTTGCTGCACAGTCTACTGTCCGCTGTAAACATAGACCTGCTATCGTCAAAAATTTCTTGTAAGGCTCTGGTTTTTCCTTTTTCAACGCATTTCCCTAGGTGTTTATTGGCAACTCCACCATAAACACAACAACGAATAACTACTGTCAGCACGGCAAAGCTTACGGACGACGTCATCTCGCCGCCGTGAAAAGCGTGAAAAAATCACGAGAATTTAAACTGGCACAAAGTAGGTCGAGTTTGGAAAAACAATGTGTATAGGTCTCGGTCTTAGAAACTTCGAACTTTCCTTAGAAACTGCGAAAAACTTCATCTCACTTAGATTTCCCATGTTTACGATAGCAAATTATTTGCCAAAGTGTGCGGTTTACCCATAGCTGTCTCCTTGTTTTTATTTAGCTCACCCTTTGGTTCGAATCAAGAAAGAGTGCGGAGCGTTCTGAGCTTACGTCTGTTTACGTAAGAGGTATGGGGCTAGGTTGCAAAGCATTTTTGAAAATGGCGGCGTCCGTATTCGGATTTCAAGCTCATCTGAACTCGTGTTTTAAAAGGTTTGGTCACTCTTTGGAATATCAAAACACGGTCAGAGTTTGAATTTAACAAACACCTTTTTAGGCAGATATGAAAATTCATATGATTTCCGAAGTATATTTCTTTTCTCAGAGGAATCATTTCTGGGATGGCAGCCTGCCTTACACGTGGGATTCAGTTTCTTGGTTTTAACCTTTCTTGATAAAAAGAATCATAAGAGCCTCTCTTGGAAGAATACAGTGCGGCTGGGAGGTGTGAAATTCTAAATTAGCTGTCGCCGGCCCCTATAATAAGGGAGGAGCAGACCTTTTAAAATTCTTCCACTAAGATTTCGTAAACCTCTAAGTTTTTTGAAGTACAAAAGACAACCAACTTGTTATGATTGACTGAAAGGACTGAGCGAAGAAATTGGACTAGGGGTTGCTAATGAACATGAATTATTTTTGACCAATTCTCCAATTTTTTGTTTCATATATATTTTATGTAATCGAACCTAAAACTGGATAAGGTACGTTAGTTGTGCGAGACAGTCTTCATGAATACCTTTTTTCCTGAAAAAGTCAGCTAGACGATTATTCGGGTGAACACATATTTCGAGAATGTGATATGAGGGAACAAACGAAAGCAATACCTTGGGGGATCACCTTGATTTTAGAGTCACTTTATTCCTTATGAAGGTTTAGCTCAGATTTCGCACAACAAATAAATAATGATCTCCATTTGACGCGAAAATATCCTCATATATTTGTTTATGAGCATTATGTCTTCCAGGAGCGGAGAATATTGGTCAATTTTCTAGCCAAAAGGAGGCTTTTAAGATTTTTTTCTTTACCCATAAGTACACTCAAAGAAAACGTTTATTTTTATTTTTTGTTTTTACTTTTCTAAGTGTTCTCTAGTGCGACTTTATCATCAAGCAGGTTCATCTCTCAGCAATAAAATGTACTCCCCTCTCCAATATAGTTTTTAATGACAGCCGTGGTGGTTAATCTAACAATTTGGGTATACCGATCGCCTGGGAAATCTTCTCTTTCAACTGAAGATCACCCAGTTACATGACCTGACACCCTCAGACCAAACACGCGCGGGCGAATGGTAATCGGGGATATAACCCACAAGGGAGTGAGAAAGGTTCCTTTTTTTCAAAGAGAATTGATCTTCTACCTGAATTTAAACAAAATCTTTTAGTATTCCTAATAAGCTCGGTTCTTCCGCTCTCTCTGGTCTGGGTTTTGTTCCTTTCCGAAAAGAGAAAAAAACAGTGCTGGCTCATTTCCTGAACAGCGGCTGACTCTCAAGGTTATGTGGTTGTAAGTGAATGGAAATTATTGAGGTTTCTTCTTACAACTATGTGCGTGTGTGTCGTTCTTCTATAGCTAACGAGGACCATTCATTCTGAGAAATATTTGTACACTAGAGCAAAGACTAGAAAGTTAACTGGTGTTCTTTGTTTATTATCCATTTCTTTGTCGCGTCCACGGTCTCCTCTCTACAAATCCTTGTTACGCGAAAAACAGCGACGTAAAACTGTGCGGGAAAAGATCCCGAAAGGACTTTAGTCCCGAGAAAATCCTTGCGTCTTCTGTCTTATGGGAGAGGTCCCGAGGGTTTTGTACAAGAATCATATCCTTTGCCTATTTTCCACTGGCATTGGCCATGTTTATTGACGCATGTGTTGTGCATTGCTCCACAATCCCTTCTTGGTTGCCTAAAGTTTTGCAATTCCCAGTTACACCGCAACTGAGACTCAGGCATAGATGCACAGAGACCAGGAAAGCAAAACTGGATCATGCACTCGCAGTTTTCCGCATAGACCTTACTCAGACCGTGAATTTGATCTCTGGACAGGTCACGCCATTTTTGCATCCAACAGCCTCGCGATGGGAGAACCAATTCATTACCCATGATTCTACCAGAAAGCATGTAAGCATCACCCGGTACCAGGTCCTGGCCGTGATGACTGGAGAAGTAAATCCTTGCAAACAATCGAGATGGATTGGCGGCATCAACAAAAGTTCTTTTGGTTCTCCGCACTCTGTCTTCACCCTTGAAGATTTTCTTTATTAGAACATCATAGTACATCATTCCCCTGTCGCGGCCTTTTCCGCCTATTGGACGGTACCGCATTTCTCCTCCAGGAGGTGGGGCACCTCGTATTCCGATACTTCGCTTGTGCCGGGCAAAAATGAAACCTAGAAGCGACCCAACATCGCTGTTATTGCTCTGTGGCGGTAAATCACCAATTTTCTGAACCCTTGGAGGGGAAGCAGTCTTCGTTTCTGGGGCGTCTGTGTCCGCTACAAGCGTCTCAGTCTTGGGAGGAAGCGTAAACTTATCACCCGCTGAAGCTTGCGTTGTGGGTACCTCGTCGTCCCTTTTGATCATTCCCAGCACTTTCACTCGAACGACTGTAAAAAGAAATTATGCATAGTTGACTAAAAGTGTTTTACAAAGGGTTTGGATTGTTTTCTGATCACAAGAGAGATCATGAATTAGCGAGCTGATAAGCGGTTGTATCACTCGAACCAGAAGCTGCACATAAGAAAAATCCGCATAAGACGCTCCTGTGAGGAACGTATAAGGAAATTTGTCAGTCATTAGAAAAAAGCTTGTTGTCAGGCAGATACCTTATTGAGTATTGATTATTTAATCCTCTTTATATTAACATAACAAATATGACTTTGATCCTGTCTCATTATATAAATCATTGGTTATAATTTTAAAACAGATCTTAACTAAGAGCTAATACGCACTTTTCAAAGACCTCTCCGATTTTTTTTTGACAAGCACTATTCGATTCTCTAGTTGCCATTTTTCGTGATATGAAAATTTGCGATCGAAGATGCTTTTAAGATGAAAGAGGTTTCTTTCGCTTTACCCAGTCAGAGCCGCGTTCAACCTTTCACATACCTCGAGCTTATTCGGCTCACCTAATGAAGTTTATGAGGTTTCTAATTTTGGTTTCTGAATTCACCGAAATCTTTTTTTTTCGTTTTTCTCATGTCAAGGTTTGACGCAATCCTTTCCTGTTTTCAAAGGATATCCTAGTTACACTGACTGCTTTGTTATCTTTCCACATTAAAGAGGTTGATGTTTAAAACCTCTCCCATCCCTACCCTACCTCTCTAGATCGTACTTCCTCTCCCTCCCCCTCCCCCTCCCCCATTGGATTGAAATCGTCTCCTCTTTCAAAGTCTTGTCAAAGTATGACTAATCTCAAGGCATTGTACTGAAAAGGAAGTAATTACTACAGAAACAGGAAAATTGCCATTACCATGTTTTCACGAGGACAACAAAATGGAATTCACTGGCGTGATGGAATGCATGTAAAAAGTAAACAACAAAGATGGCATCGATCTTAATTTCTAAAAGAAGTGTTATGAATGGAATCTTTTCGGAGAAGACGTGATCAGAAAACCTTTGACCCGAGAGGATTTGGATTTCTTCGTAAACACCAGTTCGCGTAGTAGACTTAATCAGTTTAGCACAATAATAATTGTTGACTAAAATTTTGATTTACAATCTTGAAATCGTGAATCACATCGAAAGTGTTTCAAAGGTACTTAAATTGCAGGCTGAGAAGGTCGAGAGGCAAAACCGTAGGAGTTTTATACGATCAACAGGAAAATGAAGCTCAACCAACAGGAAAAGCGAAAGTATTGTTCAAACGCACGCCCATGAGAAAACCTTTAGTGCTTAAACTGTAGGAAGAACCATCCTTAGCCATGAAAATCTCCACACATAATGCAATAACATGCTGAAGCAGACAGATGAAGTGTTAAAGACAGCTAAGAACATGAATAGCGGAGACTACGTGCGCTCATGAGTTGAAATCCGCGAAACGCTCCTTCATAAAAGAACGGTGGCAAAGGGTTTCTTTGTCTCGACATCCTTCTCCATAAGATAGTTTGCTTTGTTAATCCGGTTAGGATTAATAGTCCTCGCGCTAATACCGAACCAATAGTCGATCTTAATACTTGTAAGAGTGCGCTGTAGTGCGGATACTGAGTCAATCTTCGAGAATCTTCCTCAGAAATATCGATGTTGATGTTACAATTTTAAATCAACAAGCGAAATATTGCCATTGGTTCTGCAAAAATATTCCTTTTTATGTTACTTCGTGGCATAAATCATGAAATTACTCAAGATACGATTGAGCTTTCTAAAGTGACCGTATATTGTATAAAAACAATAGCTCACCAAAATCCGCCCTGCAAAAGGATGTCTGTGGATGCTCCGGCATAAATGCTCCCTGAACAAAACATTGAGACATACACAAAAGTGTAAAGGCTAGTAAACTAGATACAATGACAATTTTCATCTTCAAAGCTTCCACGTTGATCTTTGCTTGGTAGTTAGCGCTCTTATGTTGTGTCTATGAGGGGGTAATCTTATTTATAAGACTGCGTTGACATGGGCGTCCATACCCACGTATTTCCGGTGGCAGCCCGCGTGACTCGTCCACCGTGTGTGTGGCATGTTGTGCGCCTAGGAGTGAGATAAACTTCACATCTGTTCCGAAACGTTACACTCTGGAAGTTGTCAAACCCTAATACAGAAGATATAATGTTACAGAGTAGGCGGCATGGTGATGAATATATTTTCCCCAACGGTGCAATTCTCACTGAATTCGCGTTTACTTTTAGAACAATAACACAAACGTCAATTTTTTTCATTTGCAATGCGTTTATTTCTTCTAAGAGGGAACGTGAGGCTTTTTTATTTCTCTTTCACTTACGCAAAGCTGTCACCTTTTGATTTTTCCATTGTAGTCGTTCTTCTTCGAGTTGTTTTTCGATTAGGGAAACGAAAAGTTGACCGCAAACCGGAAAAAGAAAAGAAACAGCTGGCTGCCTTCGTGATATAAAGTTTCAGAAAAAAATTAGATATAGATATATAGAATTATTTAGTCTATGGCGGTTTCATGAAAAGCTGTTGACATCAAGTATGTTGATGAGGTCACGCTCGACTGACGTTGGAGGGGTGAAATGCAGCTATATTACGCAACAGATTTGTTACGCTGAATTGATTAAATTCTTTCAGACCATTTCTGGCGTATTCTGTGCTCCCAGATGAGGTCCCACTTGAGTTTGAGCTACTGTATTACTCAGGGATTATCTAATTTGTCTGAACTGGATGCAATCTAAGAATTCCAGTTCCTTTGGTTAACCTTGGACGTGTTGGATCTCCAAGAATCACGCTCAATCACGGTGCGTGGGGGTCTTTACATCACTTCCAAAATAAAGCTTACACATGATAGGATTAATTAAGAAGCTCTCCATAGCTTCCATGCGATGAAGTGACTGCCTAGAAGAGTGCTACAGATACAAGAGGCTCAGAGATTTTATAAAAGAGGAAAAATTATTGAACAAAAGAATAGAGAATAACTTAATTTTATTCATCGCGAGGGTTCGATGCTCGGTGGTGAGATTTTTCTGGGGGAAGTATTCCGCCATCTAGGGAACGTTGGTATGTTCCGTCTCGAAAGGAAAGGCCAGCTTCTGGGCCGTTTTGGTCAGAAAACGGATGTGTATTTTGGTCTCAAACCGGGAGAGAAAAAAAGAGGAAAAAACAGAACATATCACTGGAGCCGAATTCTCTTCACTTCGGCAAAGATGCGCTTAATCAAGCCACAACAAAGTGTTTTTAATTTTCATAGCAAATACAGTTTTTACAAGCCAAGGGTTAAAAAACCTTCTTGAATTTAGGGGCTATTTCTGAAAACGTACGTGTTAAATGGCACGTTTACATCTGAAAGAGCATCACATCCTGATTTGGGGAACCGGAGCACCCCCCCCCCTCCCCCCTTGGAATTATAAGTCATCGGAGCAAGGTTCTGTACATTCCCTAAAGCCAAGGTTTGAAGTTCTTTCAGCAGACGCGACTGATATGTCATTCATGGCTTAAATGAGAGAGCAGGATACGGAAATTAAATTATCTTAGTCTGGAATGGGGTTAGGCGTCTCAAGAAGCAAGCCATACGTTCTCTCACATGATTTTCTACAGGGTTCTCTTTGAAATTTTACACAACGCGATTCAATAAGAACATAAAATATAAAAGTTCTAAAAACATCTTGTTGCGTCTAATTAACACCTACCCAAGAAGTTTGATTCACACTTGTGCACTTGAGAGCCCACAATATCACGAAATAAAAAACAATACCAAAGCCGGCTGCTGGCGGATCATATTCTCCCACGGTTCAGTTCTATATAATTCCAAATATGGAATGGCAACTTCCTTTAACTCTCCATCGAAATATAATGTTTGTGAATTGAATTTCCGTTCATAAAGAACATAACAGGTTCTATGACGGTGTCGGTTCATATTAAAACATGAATGATATGGCAAACATTGGGTGTTTCCACGCACTCAATTACATCCGTATTTAGTAAAACCAAAATACTTAAAAGTTTAAAAATATCCACCCCTCTTGCTCGCTCTGATGAATGTCCTCTTGTAACCTTCACTGAAGCACCAGGTTAAATCCGGCTCTATCGGTTATTTGCCACCATTTTGATCGCCATTTTCTTCTGTAAACTGCTGGTAAATAAGTTAGGATTGTTGCGACTTCTTTCAAAATTTTGAGTTGAAAAAATTTAGCGCACGACAAGCAATATTGAGCAAAAGAGAGCGAAAGCGGCGGAAAGAGATAACTCAAAGGATTTTTCTCTCTCTCTTCCGCTGAAAAAGCTGTCGCAGTGATGATGGCTCGGTTTTCTGGAAGCTAACATAAATGTGATAATGCCTTACAAGGTAACAGTGTCTCTCCACAGGAACCTCGTCATCTTAGATAGGTTGCAGAACTGATTTATCGCCATTTTTTAAAGAATGAGAATGCAACTTAAATAAGCTCACCCTAATTGATGTACTGCTTATATTGGTTTGAGAGTCAAACCAGCGACTGCCAACCTCTTCTGTGGTGTTTTGAAATTTTGGCAATGGACATTTACAGGGTGAAAACCATTTTTATTTGTGCTCAAGCTGAGGGCCAGCCTTGAGCAAGTTACCAAACATTTTGCTAAGTAAAACAAGATATTCTTCGCTCTCGCGTAAACTGAGCTGTCAGTGATGAGTCATTTTGACCGGCAATAGAGACCCGCTTTAGTGGTCGTTGTCGTTTTGAAGTACGACTTAATAAGAGGATCTTTCCGCGAATAGTCGGTGCCTCTCTCAGTCACTAGCCGCACAGAAGACAATCGGGAATTTTATTTCAAAGGATTCGGGTTAAAGTTCCGCAAATTGGGTGCCAGTCGTGAAAATGTTACGGGAAGCGTTTCTTCCCTTGGTAAGAAAAGGTGACTCTATTTGTGTTCTCTGATTGGAAGACAATTTCATTATCTTACTTCATGTGATACTCAAAGCTGAATTTTATATTTATAAGTGTAAATTGAGCCTTACTAATTCAATTTAGGTGTTGTTATGAGGCCAAAGGCAATGGCCATATGTCAAGTGGTGAAGAAGTTTTTATGGTAGAATCTTTTTTGGTGGTTGTCTGCCGTAAGCTTGTGTATCGAAAATTTCAACACTTGGTGGTCATATGATAAGATGCTTACTGACTGAGTTGGGTCGGTTCCTAGCGCACAGAATGAAAACTGCAATTTAATGTACATATTTTTCACCGATTCTCCGAAGCAACAATTACAAACCACGAATATCGCGCATTTTACCTTACCTAACTCAATCACTCGTTAAAAAGAAGGCGTCTTGACCCGGTCTGTGACAACGTCTCTAAGAGAGCAACTAACTTCATACTGTTTGTGTAAGTGTAGTTCCAAATGAAGTTGCATTGGTAGTTTTTAGCTGAGTTAGCATTTTCTGATTCACGCAAAATGGCCAAAAAGGATCATGAAATTTCCTGAGGTTCGCAGCTCGTTCAACGTGCCAAACTGGCCACTCAAACAAATAACAATTAGGAGAGGATTGGTCATTTAAATGACCTTTTCCGATCTCAAGACGAACAACTCGAAGATCGCCGACAGCTTCTTCGGCGTCGGCGTCGTAAACTCAGAGCCATTACTATTCCACAAAAGAATATAAACTGTCTTTATTCTGTTATAGTGATACAATTACAAAATTTACTTCCTTTAATTTTATATTTTTTGGCTCATACTGTATTGTGTTCTATAATCTCACAAGTTTTTCTTTTCGATTTTTTTAAGGTCTTTTTCTGTATACCACTAACTGATAAGCAGACAACCATAAAATTCATCATTTTTCCTGTAATACAATTTAATAGAAACATAAATGTAGGTCACCCACCAACAATCGTGTCTGGTGAGAAACTGGCAATTCAAATATTCCGAATTAAATAACAGAGCAACAGCCTGGACTGCTATTTAGTAACGTAGAGAAATATACTGACCTATATGAATTACTTTTGATATATCCTACACAAAGGCTCACGGGACACTTAGTGTCATCAAAAAAAATTATCGGACTTGCTTGTTCCGTTTCCTTTGCTCTTGTTCCCTTATCTTGGCACTGCTATCAATAAAAATGTCAAAATTTGTAAAGAAGCCTATATTTAACATACACCATAAAAAGGACCACGAAAAGATTAATGGAAGCTTCAATTAAGGAATCAGGAAAAGACAGACAGAAAATTGAAGCTTAAAGAAAGATGTAAAATATAGATTTCAGGCCAAATGGCTTTGTTCAGTAGGACCTACACAATATCTGGGTAATCCCATTTCTTGCCACACCTTCCAGGAAACTCTGCAGAAATAGCTACTTTGGTTGGCTAAAAAGATAGGCAGAGAAAAGTGAACTTTAAAACACTAAACGTGCTATCACTCTAGCTATGTCTTCTGTGATTTTCCACACAACACTCTGTAAATTTTAGGGTAAAGACTTTGCCGCTTGTACCATATTAAAAAGTTTCTGCTTTGCCAGATCAGTTGGAAGAAATCCCAAACCACAGTCTGGAGCAACAACCAATCGTTCTGCTGGTAAAACAGTCAGTACTTGCTTTAGACGGCTGCGAATCTCCTCGACACTCTCTACTTTGCTGCAAGCAATCTTAACAACACCTAGAACAACCTGAAAATGAAAAAGATTTAAAGTAACTTTTCTCTCCATCTAGATCATTTCTACCTACATGCACCTTCAGTTTCTACTGGTTGCAGTAAAATGAACACCCCCATGAGGAAAAAAAGAATAAAATGTTTTTTATAACAACCAGGCTGAAATTTAATGACAAATAAGAACCACACCAGTCCGCCAAAACTGAATAAGTTCTTACTTGAAAGAAAAAAAATTGGCTTTCAAAGTTACATGCATGTAACAGTGGCCCACACCAAAGTCTAGGAGCTTGACCATTAAAACTACAGCCAAGAAGGGATTGAAATTTGTAGAGTAAATAACCGTAGTTATTCGGTTATAGGGCGCACCGTTTTTTTCAAGAAATTCCTAATTTCTACTAAAAATTACCGCCAAAGTTTGGGTGCGTCTTATAGGCGAATATTTTCCCGAAACAATTTTTTTTTATCACAGTTACTGGTACGATTTCAAGCAAATAAAAGGACACAGTGTTGGTCATTGACTTTTATAAATATGGTGGTTCTGAAAAGACGAGCGAAATCAAATTTGCATAGATATGATACGTGCTCAGTAATTTTTTTGCTTGTGCGCGTGGTCGCGTGTGCAACAATTCTGCTTTTGTTAATTAACGGTAAACTAAAATCAATACGCGACTTTTTCGCTTTTTTGTAAGTTTATGAAAGAATTTACAATAAACTTGACCGATCTTTACTCCCCAAACAACGGTGCGCCTTATAACCAAGTATTTTAGCGATATTTTCAGTTTGAAAACATGCAATAATGAAGTTGCCGAATTGGGGGTGCGTCCTATAGCCGAGTGCGCCTTATAACCGGATAACTACGGTAGGCATTCCAGTGGGGATCACTCTAAGAAGGTATTCAATGGAATGGTATACAAATTTCTTGAAACCACACATAAGCAAATCACAGAAATTATAAGTTACAAAAATAAGTCTTAAAATATGTCTCAAGTACTATACACCTCTGAGCAGCCCATGAGACAAAATCACATATCAAGAATTTCATTTCTGACTAATATTTTGGTATATTAAAATAAATAAACTAGTTGTTTTGAATCTTTTTAGAATATACTAGAACAGTTATTCATGCCAGCATTGTTGAAAGTGGTGGATATTTACCTTACTGCTTCACAGCTTGGTAAATATCCCACCACCCACCCTTCATCTCCATTTCAGTGAATAACTGTTAACTACATAGGTGACGTTGAGAAAGAGAGGGGGTTGCCAGAATGGGCATGACCTTCACTTTAATTTATTAAGAGAAAAGAATGCAACAAGCCACTATACCCCTTAATGCTTGGAAATGCATAAAAATTCTAGAAAAAAAGAGCTGTAGCCCCTCCCCCATTTCCCCTTCCCCCTCTCTAAATGCTGTGGATCTCTTTTTTAATGATTAAACAATGATAATTAATGGTAATTGAACTGAGTGGAGTGTATTTTGGGCCAAAATCATATGCATGATTTCAAAATTAAATGAGTGTGAAGCAGGAGTTCGATTTGAAATTACAAGTATGATTTCAGACCAAAATCGCACAACATGAGGTTCAATTATCACTTTATTACATCCATTTTGAAATCACCCAAATACAGGACTTGTTCAGTTCAAATATTTTCTTAATGTAATACTGAACCAGTTTGAAATTAAATTCATCCATTTTTTGGGAGGAAAAATAAGAGTTTTGGAAACAAGTTGCAAAATTTGCCACATCTTTCATTTTCCTGCAATTTGATCAGTTACTTTAAACAAGCCTTGAAATCTGATTGGTTATTTTGTTTTTAGTGTAGGCTCCTCATTGGCTAGGAAAAAGATGCCATTTAAAGCAAAAAATGGTGTAATTTGTGAATAAATTGCACCAATTAGGGCCAATCAGATTACAGGGACCACCAGTGATTTCCAAATGGGTGTAATAAACCCCTTAATTCCCTCAGTCTGACTGTTAATTCTCCCCTCTGGCTGCTATACATTTCCTTGTAAAGTTTGTTATGAGAATTTAATGTGAGATCAACATAACAACTTCTACCTGAAAAGTTAGAGTATTACAGTATGTTTGCTGGGTTATGGATGGATATTATTAGGAAAAGTTACAAGTTAATCACTTGAGGGAGATATAGGGTTAGGAACATTTGGTACAATAAGGTAGCTAAGTTTAGCATTTCCTAGCTCAATCACTGCTCAACAGATTGATTTAGGTTTTCAAAGATATGATAAGAGACAGCACTAAAATTTCTTTGCTATATTACAATACCTTGCTCTTTTTAAAATGCTCAAATAATGATAAATCATTGTGCCTATGAGCATCCTCAATTGAAATCTCATCAAAGCCTGCAGCATCTAGTTTATCAGCCAGTGTCAGGTATCCATCCCTGTCTGCCTTCTTATAGTCATCCTGATCCTATTTGAGAACATAAGAAGGGAATTTACATAATCACCCTAACCCTAAGCAACACTATTGTTCACTCAAAAGCAAAGAAGTGTGTTATTATCTCAATCAAAATATTGCACCCTATTTTAAAGTCAGCCTCATATAAATGTCTGGGCAAAACTGCTGGTTCAAAACAATGGGTGCTTGATGCAAAAATAATTTGAAATTCTGGCTCCACATTGATCATGTTCCAATCTTTTTTGCTTCATTTATTGCAAATCTTGATTTTAAAATACACTATACATGCTTCATGTCAATAATATTGGCGAGAATCATCTGTGGAGGAGACATGGCAACAGTTTTGTTAAGTTCAGATGAAAGGAAAGTTGACCATAGACCCATAGGTCTGGTAGGATGGGTGAAAAAAGTCAAACAGATAAAAAATGGCTAAAAAGCACACTCTAGGCTTGAATTCAATACCTTGCTTAGAAGGCTATATTTTAAATGAAGGCTGTGGGAGTTTTTTAACTCAATAAAATATGGTCACTAAACAAATATTAAATAAACAAATCACTAACAAAACAGCTGTGTTAATTTTTTTCATATCAATTGAGAAAAAGACTAATTTAATTGTCAACAGATCTCCCATAATTGTTTCTTTGGGCTCAAAACCCATATCCAGCACAAGTAATTTACCTAAAACTTAAAAACCAGTTTTTTAAAAACTTGACCACAAATAAACCTAAGATTATTTTAAAGACATTTCAAAAGAAATTATAAACCTAACCCTCCCTCAAAACTTTGCTGTTAGCAATAATACTCACCCAAATTTATTTCCTAGAAGAACAAACAACAGACCTCTTTCATAATGTGGGATGTGATAATCATTGTTTCCTCTCATGCAAATTAGCCTTTTTGGCTGCACTTTTGAGTGAAAATCCCATTTTTGTAAACATGATGTTAAGACTACAGAGACTAATTTACATGAATATAAAAGAATAGCAAAAAGACTTGTCTTTTATGAAAGAGTAATGTGGATAAGTTTATAAACAAACCATGGTGTTAAGTCAGTGGTAGGTATCACAAGATTGGTTTTATCAGCTGACATTTTGATTGTTAGTTCTTCATCTTTTGCACTGAAAAGGGCTAATGATAAAAAACTCAGCTTTTGAAACTCTTTACGGAGGCTAATTTACATCAACACCTCAATACAAATTGGTGGTTTTCACTGCTATGCAATCAAAATCTAAATCAAAACTGTTGAATGCCTGACACCAAGAGAGTAAGCTATTGCAGAATATTTATAAAAAAACTATTTACCCAAGTTCAGGTCTGTAGGGTTTTCTGTAGTTCGAAATGACTCTATTTTTACATTGGAGAACCCCACTACACTGAAACCTTTCCAAAAGGTTAATTTTACAAGATCTTTCATCTTTTGGAGGTTAAAATGTTATAGCCGTTGTTTTTTAGGATTTTGGATTTTTCTGACCTCACATGAAAACCAAGGATTTATAAAAGAGGTCTATCATACCCACCAAGTAGGTTGGATAACCGCAACACAAATGAACAGCCTTGACTACATCAGGAGATGTAACTCCGTCAAAACAAGTTGAAAGTTGATCAATTCCATAATCCAAAGCCTCATTAGGAAATCGCATTAACACTGGTTCATCAACCTATCGGCATAACAATGAAAACACATTACATGGTAAACAGAAAGGCAAAGGAGAGAAGTGTTCTCTCAGAAGAGAGTTGGCCAGACTCAAATACCACAAGGGCTTTTACATGTTATTATAGATCTTAAGTCACTACATGCACTTAATGACTGGCCGCTAGGGAAACACTGACATTTATCTCCCTAGATCCTAACTTTTCCTCTAGGTGAAGCTGGAGGATTGGTAAACAACATTGACAAAAATAGTGTTGTTATACCTCCCTACTCTAATACATTTTCCCATTGGAGGAGAATCAAAAGTCATGAATTTCTACAACAAAACAAAAACTCGCAAACTCCCTAAAGAAACAAGAACTTGAACTCCCAACCTACCCATTATCAGGTCATGCACCTTATAACTGAAGCAAATTGAGTGTCAGCCTATGCTCAAGAAAACATTTTCATGACAGCAAAAAGTGTTCAAACAAGAACTGAAAAGGAAATTCTACAGCTTTTTCAGGAAAAAAGGTCAAAACCACAATGCAGTGAAAACCACAATAAACACCAAAACTGAAAAAACCAAAGAGTTATGGCAATAAAACCCAAAAAGTGATCTAAAAATTGCCACAATCACAAAACTGAAAATCCCAATACCATCTCTATTATTAATGGGTCATTTTTATTGCGTTTTGTTATTGATAGGGTCAGACTGTGAAATGTTTGCATCATGCTTTTGAGTGTAACCCATGAATATCATGCCTCAGTTTGATCATTCAAAATGATAGTTTTTCAAAACACTTCAGCTGGGAGGCATAAAAAACATATCCTGACTGGTCCCACACAAAACAATGAGGATCTCCTAGGAGCAAAACTTTCAGTTTCCCTTGGGGGCAGTCATATATGGCTTATTAATTTAATTTATAATTTGGTATTATCAACAGAGTTGATATCATAAATTGACCACCGCTAAGAATTTCAAAGCTGACATTTCAACCACAAGTCCTTCGTCAGAACTTATTGATTTATAGTGGTAACTGAACTTAGTGGAGTGCAATTTGGGCTGAAATCATACATGTGATTTCAAAATCAAATAATTGAAAACAGTTGTAAAATTTGCCACATAAGACTCTTTGGCTTTTATTTTCCTGCAATTTGATTGGTTACCTTGATTAGTTGTTTTGTTTTTAGTGTAGCCTCATTGGATGGGAAAAAGATGTGATCTAAAGCAAAAAATGGTGGGATTCGTGAATAAATTGCACCAGTTAAAGCCAATCAGATTACAGGGACCACCAGTTATTTCAAAATGGTTGTAATAAAGTTTATAATCGATTATTCAAATTTAAATCCCAAATATGGTGTGCCTGACTTCCTAAATAAGAGATTCCGTCGTAAATTAACACGACCCAACAACTAAACGCGGATTAGTATACCGGTTTCGACCTACGGTAAGCTTATGACATACCTGAATAACCTTACAGCCAACCGATACAAGAGCTTTAATTTCCCTGTTTAAAATTTTTGTCAACACAGCACCTAGAACCTTTCGATCCCTGTAGTATTGATCGACGACTGTGTGCGCAATTGTCATGGGTCCCGGAAGAGTAATTTTCACAGGAAGTTTGGATAAAACCTGTGAACTCTTCCATTCTTTCCAAACCCAACCTTCATTTTCCTGCGCTGATACCTCTCCCACAATTTGTGGCAATAGAATTGTTGCAGCGTCGTCGCGAATCGACGTCAGACATAAACTTTTGAAATCAAAGCCATTCAGCTTTCTACAAAAGTAATGGATGTAGTTTTCACGCCGCACTTCCCCATCTGTTATCACATCAAGACCGGCTTTGCTCTGTATTTCAATCACTTCTCGAATAGCTCTGATATACAATTCTTCTATGTCGGTGGATGAAAAACTCTGCAAAAAGCGATTGTACTCCCTTGGGAAATTTTCGGCGTATGCTGGCTGGAACCAGTCCGGTATCTGTAGGTAAGAAGGCTTCCGAAAACTACCAATAACTGTAGTTGAAAGGGGCATCAGAAACGCTGATCGCCGGAAAATCGTAAGATTGTCAAGCGCCAAGGCGATGAAACTAAAACTATGCGCGGCTAGCCCAGTCCCCTGAGGATTCTTCCTCTCCCTATCACCTCATCCCAGGTAAACCCCTTCCCCGCTTAGCATTACGTCATGCATGCAGACACAATCAATGTCAGATAAGATAAGCTTACATAATTTTGGGCATAATGTTGCAGTCAAGATATAGAACATATTGCCGGCGTAACGACCAAACTTCTAAGAAATTCCCATGATGTCCCAGTTTAACAAAGGATAAATTCTGTAGCTAGCCTAAATACTGTCAACAGTGAGCCTACCTTTCGCTTGCACCATTGGAAACCCAAGCTTTGTATGGGAGTTAAGGCTCCTCATTGAAACTCCGTAAATAATGAAGCAAATAAACTTTAGCTTGATATAGTGTTGTTTGTGTTATTTTTGTTCACTGGTAGCGATTTCAGGCTATTTCGTCGAGTTTTAGCTGAGCTCTCATCCCACTACTGCCTGTACACTTCAAGTCCAGAGGCCAGGACCGGAAGATTGATGGCTTCTGGACTACAACAAAATTTAACAGGCCGACGATGGGAAATGGCGTGAGGGGGGTAGAGGTTGAAGGGTTCTGAAAAACTGTTAATTTGAATTATCAAATTGAGGCATAATATTCAGGGGAACGCTGAAATTTTGCGAGCATAATTCATCCGACCCTATCACAACACACTGTCACGACTCATATTGCAGGTCACAACAGTAAAACTTGCCTAACACCGCGTCTTCCCCAACCTTAACCATTATTCTTACCTTTAACATATTGAAATCCCTACTGCACGAACTACTCAATTACCTGAATACATCTACATCCAGCGGAAACAAGAGCCTTGATCTCACTGTTTATTATCTCTGCCAAAACTTTCCCTAGCGCCCTGTCATCATTGTAATACTGATCCTCGGTGGAGTTTATTATTGTCATTGGTCCCGGTATAGTAATTTTCATGGGCAACGGAGACAAATCTTGAGAAAATTTCCACTCTTTCCATACCCACGCTTCGCTTTCTCGTGGTGTCACCCGGCCAATGATACGGGGAACGTCCGTGACACAAGCACCATCGCGACAGTTTTTAGAAAACAAATTGTGGAAGTCTAACCCTTTTAGCGCCCGACAGAAGTGCAAGATGTAAGATTCTCTCCGTAACTCACCGTCACTGATCACATCAATGCCAGCTTCGGCTTGGATATCAATTATATCTTTTGTAGCTCTCTTGATCAGGTCTTCTGTTTCTTCCCTGGATGAGGTTTCGAGGAAGCGATTGTAATCCTCGGTGAATGTTCCACTGTGGGAGGTTTTGAACCAATCTGGAATGTGCAGATAGGAAGGCTTTGGAAAACAACCGACTACTGTGGAAGAAAGAGGCATCTTTCTTTCTGTTCAAGAATAAATGTATTAAAAATCGATACTCCGCTTGAAAAAGACCATACAACACGGAGATTGACTGTCATGCAGTCTGTCACGCACGGTCACTCAACAGCTCACTTGCTCTTGCTTTACATGGACAAGCCTCTGGATCACTCTCTTTTAGCAAAGCTCGTCGCTTTCATGAGAAAAAAATGTCAGTGAAATTTTTAACGCTCAGAGAAGTATATTTGAGTTGCGTTGACGAGAAATGAACGTTTTGCATTATTCTCACCAAGAGGAGAAATGGTCATCATTATTACTTCTTCTTGCTCTCAATAATTTCTCATAATAATTTTTAAATTTTGGTCGCAATTTTCATTGAAGAATGGTCATGGTGTCTTGAAAATAATCTGAACGGTGAGAGTCTGGTAAGAACTGTCATTGGTTTTCATTTTTTTAGTAGAAACAGGTGTTAGATATGAAAGCAACAGATTTTAATTTTATCTTTTCCAATCTGAGAAATGTCCACACAGAATGGAAAGAGTGTTTCCCTCTCTCTTTTTTTCTTTTTTCTTAACTGCCGATATTATAAACTCAGTGGAGATGAGAACGTTAAAAGTTACTTGGAGGTAGTAGCGTTTTATGGTTGGGGTGGTGTCACATCATAGGAGGAGGAGAGAGGGAACTTCCCATAATAGAGTGCATGGGGATGTCCATCCAAAAAGGGTATTTTTGTTATGAAGTATAGATGCAAGGGAGCCTAGTTATTAACCAAAACACTTCTTTTTTATCCTCTTCCACTCTTTACATACCAGGTTATGGTAGTGTAAGGGTCTGGATCTCAGTGGGCAGAGCTTCCTGGTCAAAAATTGATCAAGTATCTTTAGGACTCCATACACTTTTTGTATCATTCATACTAATTAAGGGGCACCTTTGCTACTACAAACATGGTGGTTAGAGAGCAAGAACAGGAAATAAAGCCTCCTGCTCTGTCTTTTTTGGTCTTCAATAGCATTCACAATTAAGAATTGGAATTGCAAGCAATGAAGGATTTTGGAAAGCAAAAGTTTTAAATCATTTCACTCTTATGATTAATCTTCATTACTCAAAAAAGTTTTCAAACTGCACATGCTTACTACTTGTGAGATTAAAGATCTTCCAAATTACACTCCTGCCCCTGAATTATGAAACACAGGAACAGTTTATGTGTTTTCCTCAACATGAACATACATCATGCCCAAATTTGTGAGGTAACTAGCATTTAAATACAACATACAACCCTAGCTCAGACTATTCACAGTTTTATTTTTCCTTGGAACCAGCACACTGGCAAAAGAGAGCAAAACAACAACAACACAAAAAAAACAACAGAAGAAAACAGGGAAAATGGCAACACAAACTAAGATCATGTTTTTTAACAAGGACACTCTTCAAAAAATGAATTGTGATTACAAGTTTAATAATTCTGAGTTTTATGGAAGTAGTAAAAATAATTGTTAAGTGATCTGTGAATGCATTGTAATAATCCCTGTTAAAAAAAAACACCCAACAACAACAACAACAACAACAACAACATAACAACAACATATGATGAGAACATTTGTATAAAATCATCTCTCTGAATTAATATAAGTTTCTTTTAATTTCTGGGTATGCACATGCAAACAATGCAGTTTGCAAAAGTATTTCTTGTTGATGGAAGATAATTCTCTTAGTTTATAATAAGTTCCCGTGTTATAAGTGACAGGACTGTCAAACTAAATGGACAACTGGCGCATTTCACCATCTGTTTTGAGAAATGTGCCCATTTTTGTGAATGTTTGTAGCTCAATTTCAGTACAGTAGCATGACATTGATGGAAATAAAACTGTTTAGTGCTGCCTACTTTGTTTCAGGGTCCAGTTTATAACTCAATATTTTTATTAACAACCTTGTAAGATGTGGTGGATATTCTACTCCTTTACACATTCTAGTGGGAATTTAAAGAAGCTCTTTCAAATAAATTAATTTATAACTTAAAATAATTGCACTGCATTCAGTGGTGTACTTGCATCAGTACTTTTAAAAAAACCCAACAATAAGTATCCTTATGTAAAGGAATTCTCTCTCTCAAGTCCTTATAAAATTATTCTTGTATTTACACAAAATATTGCAGACATGTGTAGTCTTTAAATGCCAACTATATATTACAGTTAATTATAAGGCTATGACATGCTTTCAACATGATGTGGCAGAAACACAATATCCTACATGATAATTACATGCCTGTGGGAGCACCAGGGATCTCCTTAAGTGCACTATCACATGACATAAGTCTCTTGTGAAGTCTTTCAACTTCAGCGTCACACCGTTTCCTTTTCAGTTTGAGGGAAGAAACCTCCAGTTTCATCCTTTCAATCTCTTTCAGTTTGGTGTTGACCTGTGCATCAATTTCTTTCAAGTAAAATAAATTTGAGTGTTAATTACAAGGACAACAAAGATTTGATCTCAAACAAAACTGCAGAAACACTTTGTGTCATGAGTGCAACATATCTCTGGTAAAAACAATTTTGGTAACTTGCCCCTCGCTACTCCTAACAGTACATGTGGTATTGTGTACAGAATGACCTTAATACTACATGTGCAAGTTGTAACTCCTTATCAACCCACAATGACCAAAGCAAGCAAAAGGGAGGAAAAACATGTTTGAAGAAACTTAAGTGTTTTGTTATTCTGAAAGCCTGATTTTGCCTGAACAATTATCCTTCTGCTACATTAGTGGCTCCAATTACTCAGCTAAAGTATAGTTACCCACCTGGTACATAGTCATGGCTTGTCACCAAAATTGCTAAATATACTCTGTATAGTGACCTATGGGAACAACATTGCCCTAAAGTTACAGTTTGGAACATTTGAAAGGCCAGCAAACCTACCTTTGGCTTGAGATTGTATTTTTCGCAGGTTTCCTTCATCCCTACTGCGAGCCCTAGCCAGTAAAGCAGAAACATCATGCAGCAAGCCAGCTTCTCCAAGGTGCTTCAGCAGTGGTGAGTTGCCCAAAAATTCTGGGAACCAAAAAAGAAAAAAAGTCAGATACACTTTCTAAAGGTTTTTAAGGAATCTGTTGAAATTAAAATTATCATATGTCTTTTTTAATGACAGTGTACTGTGCAACAAGAATGGATTTCTTTTCAAAGCCTTTTAAGATAAATTGTCCACAGATTTTCAAAACCAGTGGATTTTTAACATTGAGTTTTCAGTACAGTTGCTGTTGGTCAGAAAACCACTCAAGAGAAAGTCACTTCATTAGATATAGTTCCACATGGGCTGATTCTACAAGAGCCCTCTAACCAGTCAGTAAAAAGGGCCTCCATTGAATGCAAAAAAAAGAGGTAATGCTATGATGAATCTAACTTGAGTGAATGAAATTCAAATGGATGTGACTAAGAACATCAAGCCCTTTTTGCTTGTACAGAGAATTCCATGAGTTGTAGTTTAAGAAAACTCAGTCTGAAAATACCACTAAACTGAGATTATAAAAGTCTAAAATTCAAACAAACAATGTCTCATAAATTTTTAGAAAAATGTTATTTCATGAAGTCTGCTTACTCACTAAACTAATATAATTATACACAAGTTGGGGCCGAAACTGATCTCAACAGGCCACACAGAATGTTGTTACACAAGGTTAGTTGGACTTAAACCCTGCTAAAAGTCACTTAAACTCACCAGAACATGATGCACTGGATGAAGCTTGCTCTTCCTGTAACTGTTGTATTTGCTGCAAAAAAGGGAAACACCTATTAAACAGATGCAGATTAGACCAGAATTAAGTTTTGTAATCCATGCATTGATCACAAAAGCAATTTATTAATTGACAAAACAATACTGAGATTCACCCACTGAAAAGGCTTTTGCAAGCTGATAGAAACTAATCTGATGCAAACCTGTTCAGCATCTTCATTGTCATCGAGGGGCTCTACCTTTATATTCACTGACTGGACATGAGTAATGCGAGGGTAGCTGAGAGAATCGTCATCATCATTGTCGATGATTGAAGCACTTGCAGGGGAATGTCCATCAAGACTGGTTGGAGGTGATGGTGTTGGAAGACCAGAATAAGTAGCTAGCTCTCCTGTGCTTTCCGCTGTGGATAAGTTGTCAAGTACCGATTCATCTGTTTCAACCACCTGATAGTATGAAAAAATATACTTATCATAACCCATGCAGAGTAAGTTGGGATGTGAGCCCAAAAAAAGGTAGGAGACAATATATTGACACTTTCACCTACACTTTTCACAAAAAAAGAAGTATTACATTATTGAAGTCTTACTACAACTGGCCCTTTTTCCTCCCTCTCTTCTTTGTGTAAAAAGATTTTGTTAACTTAACATTCCAAAATCCTGAGATTTGTCTTGAATCATTTTTCCTGATCACTTTACCAGTAAACCTTAACTTTGTGCTTTTTGGGACCAATTCCTTTCACTCGGGCAAAGATTCAATAATCAGTATGGTCTGTTACAAAGGGAAGTTAATCTGAACTATCTGTATTTCCTAATGAAAGCCCTTCGTGAAAGCCATCCATGGAAAAAAAAATTTCCATTCCAATCATTGTAAAAGAATTGAACACTCAGGTTATCACTTTAAATTCGTAATCTGATTTAATCGCCTGTGAATTTTTCATAAAGCCAACCATGAACTAAAACTCTCAATTTTCTATTCCTTTTTCCAGGACAGCATATTTGACATCCCACCCATGACAGTGACACATTCCTATATACTAGTGTGATCAGAAGTGCTGCCTCTCCCCACCCCTACCAGTGATAATAGTATACAGGGGACATACCCTGATTAGTTCCTCCACGAGAGGTTCTGTTCCACCAGCGAGCGCAATGTCTAAAGCCGTCTGACCATCATTGTTTCTGATACTTCTGTCTGCACCAGCCACAATGAGTGATCTGATGGCCTGGGTACAATACTCAACTTTGTGTTTTTCACCACGAGCTAAGATATGAAGAACAGTCTCTCCATCATTGTTGACAGCATTCAAAATAGTATCTGAGTAATCACCCATTTTCTTGCTTTTATTTATTATCACCTCCACGCAAGACAGAAAGAAGTTGGGCTTGTGATCTCCATTAACAAGCATGCTTGCTGCAGTATGAAAAGGTGTGTCTCCATGTGCCTCATCTTTTATCAGCAGAGCTTCTTTAAGAAGGCCAACCATTTTAGAAAATTTAGGGTTCAATTCTTTCACAGTAAATTTAGGTCTAGATTTGTACAGCAACTGGATGGCTCTATGCAGGGCAGTTTCACCATTTCCTGAGGATTTTGCCACAGGGGAGAATCCACTCGCAAGCATCCACTCTAAAGCATTACACTTTCCCAAGGATGCTGCCCAGTGGATGAGTGGACACCTGTTCTCCAAGACAGCATCTGGTACATCATCATCTTTGCCCCATCCACCTTTGGTATATTTCTCCACACACTCTTTTAAATTATCAAGATTTGACAAGGAACCCAGCATATCTGTACAATTCACAATGGCCACCAACAGTTCATGATGATCTGGGCATTCCTTGTTCTTGTCACAAAAAGGAGTACATTTCCTTAACATGGGTTCTTGGTTTAGTTTGGGAAATTCTGGGTATGCAGTTGCCATGGAGGCCATTATTATCAACAAAAAACTGCAGCACTTCTTGAAAACTCCTTAAATTGCAAGAGCCAAAATCTGAGTAAAAAATTCGAAATAAGAAAATAAATAAATTAATGGGAATTTAGTAATAGACATTCCATTAGGTGGTTCTTCTTGTTTACTGTTTCCAGGTCGAATTGGAATTTGAAAATATAAAGACAACTGAAGTAAGTTAATTCATGAATGTAAATGAATGACTTTGGTTTGGGACATATTCCACAGAAGTGTCACTTCCAGTCAAAAATAGAGCGATCAGGAATAGCCATGCTTCAGAAGTAAAATTCAGTTGCTTGTGGAAATGTGATTCTCACATGCAATCACACGTAAAAATTTAGTCATTTATCAAATGTCCTTACTGCTGACACAAAGATTCAATTTATTTTAAAAAGGATTTTTTAAAGCCTGATTCAACCATCACAGTTTCTATAATTATAATTTCTAATGCAATCATAATATCTGAATCAAATGCAATTTCATTAACCCTCTACAACCTAACACCGGTGTCCATATTCTCTACACTTTTGTCTATACATATCTTAAGGTACTGACAGGGAGAATTTGTTTAACAATCAATAGCTGCTTTAGTTTGGGACCATTTCCTCTAATCTCCTGACATTTGCGTTTAATTCAGGGTGATATTGTGAGGAGAAATTAGATTTTAGTCACTCTAAGGGATTCAAGGGTTAGATAAGAATTTTGTAAAAAAAAAATCTAAAAGGAGAAGGGGACGATATTGTGTGCTAATTCACTCAATAGCAAGGGTCAGAAATTCGACATAAATTAATTTTAAAAAACAGTCTCCTTTGACCTTTAGAGTGCTCTCATGACCTCTTATGAATCAAAATAATTACAGTTATAGTAATAACCACTTTGGCATAAAACAGCAGTTCAAATGGTCAAATAAGTCTGCTATCTTCGATCAGATGACGCGACGACAAAGCAATAATATTCGCCACGTCTGCTCTCTGTTCAAAATTTCAATGGAAACATACCGACGTTCACGCCACGGAAATAAACAGATTTGATTGTTTTTCTGATGTCTAGGAAAAAGGATAGTTCGCATTGGCATAACCAGGTTAGAAAAAGTAAACAGTTCCGTATAAGATAGGAAAGTATTAACCGACGCCAAACAAACAATAAACAAAGAAAAACACAGCTTGACGTCAGCTGCCAAAAATAAACAACATCGCGCTTGACTATCCCCGTGGATTAAAGCCCCTTTAGCTTGGCATGATTTTGAAAACAACATCCGTTTTTTTTTTTTCTTGCCGGTAATAAAATGGCTATCGAACATTTCCACTGCGTTAGCGTTTCAGGAACTGTGTTTTCGTGGGCTGGGAAGACCGGAGGAAGGTTGCCACAGACGTGAGGAACAGATAACCATATCGACAACCTTCGCCTTCGTTGCCTTTGACGAAATCGCTGAGATTTTCCGTTCATCGAGAATTAAATTGGAATTGGTATTTTTATGACATATATGGCTCTTTAAACCGATAAATACGTAAATGATACTATTATTCTCTCTGACGTAGGCCAAACGCGGCGAAGTCGACATGCCACAGATTTTCATCCCTTTGATGTAAGCGACCTTCCCCTACATGAATACCGCGCAGATTTCTCTCCTGCGAATTGAAACTGTCAAACGCGCCGATTGTCGTTCATTAGCATCACAGATTCCGACTGAAGTGTATACGTTAATGTCACAGTCCTCCAAAACGCACTCAACGAAACAGAGCGAAAAGGATTTCTTTACTGCAGATTGCGTACAGCAATTTCTCACGGAAGCAGCCGTCCGCGTCTGAATGGACTTGCCTTGGTCTTTAAGACAGCGACTGCTTAACTTTTCGAAGTCGGCTCTGTTCGGTCATTCTGCGTACTGACGTACATCTTTAACTTCAGCCTTTAAGAATGAGAGAGAGCGGAAACCGACGCAAAAGCACAAGACATCGTATCCCCTACTAGGAATAGCCGTACATACGAGACGCACGCCGCCGACAAACAGAGACGCAAACATCGGTTGTAAAGCATTCTTTTCGCCAGTTCGCCGAATCCAGGCTGCTTCCAAGCGAAAAATTCATTAGGAAACTTCTACTTACCCGATATAAAGAGCTTAAGCAGAAGCAGTTGGCTGTCTACGTTTGGCCACCTTCGCTTGAATACTTGAAGCTGACGAAAATGATTACACTGCTGCTGCCACCGACATCCCTGAAGGGCGGTAGCCACGGCTGTCAATCAAACTCACCACCGCGGAAGGGCATCAAACACACGTATTATCTTCCTTCGACCTCATAGGCTGCCGCCAGAGTTTTGCATTTCAAATGTACTCGAGTTTGGCACCATAAACAAAAGACTATTGTAAGGTTCCTCAACATCTGCAGAGTGGTTGTCAGTTTTCGGCTGGTTCAACCAATCCGTAGCCTGTTCACGAGGCGCCAGTGCTGGTTATATTCGCATTACCTGTTGTGTATTAAAAGGGACGAACTGAAACAAAGTGCTCCTCAGTATTGTGTTATCGGCTGGCGGGTTATATTCGTCAGCTACATTCAACAGACTGAAGGAAGAAGTGAAACAGCCTTTCTATGTACTGTATACTTACTGTACTCGTCAACGTCGCAGGCTTCAGGAGACGCCGCCGAAAGATTTCCACTGATCAATATTTTAAGACTATGAAAGATGTTGACTCAGTTCAATTCACCGGATCTTGTGACGAGCGAAGCTGTTACACCACATAAACACGGGCGCAAAGCTTCGCTAGCTTTTATTTCGAAAACAAATTGTTTTCTCTTTTAAAACTAATGTAGCAAGAACGCAAAAAAAAAAACAAGAAAAAAAATTAGATGATGTACTAACATAAACGTCGGAAGTTTTAAGGAAAGGGAAATACGCAAAATCCGCGTTTCATCCGCGACTGAGCTGTTAGTTTCAGAGACGATGAAAGGACATCCTCGTGAAATCCGTCTGTATTATTTTATCTTCTTATAAGACAACAGAAACAACAAAGAGGTTTTCCTGTGCGCTGGCCAATCTTATTCACGTACCGTTTCCTTGAATCTTTCCGCTCTAAAGGTTTCGCAACTCGATGAATAAAATCTCAGAGTTTGACGCAGTGATTCTTATAATTCGCGGTCAAAAAAAAAAAAAAAAAAAACAGAAAAAACGAGTGCTATGCAATCTAAGGTATCATCCTCCCGGACTTCAAAGACGACCAGTTGGTTTGTGACAAATTGTCGTGAGTTCTCGTAATAGAGAGGGCCTTGGTTCTTAAACCGAGATCTTGACTTTCGCCACCGAGATTACGCAATTAAGATCATAGTCACGAGCCTAAAATTTCCTTATATGATCACCTCATCCCGGTGAGCGGCAGCCCGTTTAGAGTATCTCACCTTGATCCATCTCGGTAGCCGAGCTCAAATTTCCTTTTAATATTGAGAGCAATCGGGTTCAAAACTCAACTCGCAAACAAGGCTGAAATTTCCTACACAATGAAAATTCAAATTACGTGTTGCTAACCGATTCTTGGATTCATGTGAAGAGATCCTCGAACCATTTCAAATATTTTATTTAAAATATTGGGAAGCTGATGAATAATGAAAGCGGCTTGTTTCTTTTACTCCGGCAAATAGAGAGCTTCTACTTTGTGTATAGTTGGCCCTCAATGGAATAAATATCCCCATTACCAACAAGTCTGGCTAACTTGTGACATGAAAATTTTGCGAGTTTTAATTTTGGCGGATTGTTCTCAATCAGAATAAAGAAATTCCCGCTGGCGAGTCTAATTAAGTTTTTGATAAAATATGTACGAGGTAAAGCTGTCAGTGAAGGCCAGTTAGTCCACTTTGCGATGCCTTAAAGTATCATTAGTCAAATACACCAGATAGAGTCGAAATAATGATGAGCTTTGCCGTTCGTTATTTGGCTCGCCCTCTGAGCGATGATTTAACAATGATAGAATGTCTTTCAGCAGGTAGGAAAAGGAGACTTCAAGATATTAGTTCGACAAAATGGAAAGAGACAAAAGTGGCAATAATGAAGCATGTAAAGTAAATATATAAAGGTTTTTCATATTATGAAGTAATATGCCTGCGATCTAGTTGTTACAAGAATTTTGCTGACAGACAAGTGGTGCTCTGATGAAGGGGGGGTCCAGATCCCCCTCAATTCCTTCTCTAGATCTGTCACTGAGAGGGTCGCGGATAGAGAAGATTCTTAAGGATTGCAAAATGCAACATATGGAAAATTCGAGTGGTTTATCGCGAGACGGGAAGAACGCAGTGGCCTCCTCGAGGCCTGGTGGCCGAAGTGTTGTGTTTTAAGAAGGTCTCAATGGGGGGAGGAGGGGATCACGTTGACGGTTAAAAATAAGCCCCGTTGACGGTTGACGATTGAATTTTAGGTCATTTGAAGGTTGACGGTTAATTGCTTGGAATGTCGTTTATAAAACGAAATAAACGCACGAATTTCGCTGTAATTTTTCTTAAAAAGGTTACAACCTTTCCTCGTTTCATTTAATAATCAAGTTAATCCTATATTTGTGCGTTGAAAATTAGGTTTTTGGACTTCAACTATGTGTCTAATTAGTTTAATTACATCACCTTTGATACCGCTCGACGTATTGATAGCGTGCTCAACCAAGTGGTGTACTTGTATGAGGAGTCGCATGAGGATCTCAGAGTCCTTGATTATCAGAGACCAAATCTCATCGATGCTTTTATCTGTCTCCCCAATCTTTTAATGAAATTCCTATGTTCATCAGTCTCCTCTGGTTCTGTTTCGTTACAGTCACTGTCCGTGTCACTTTCAAATTCATCCAACTCAGTGAAAAAGGTTCAGGCATCACTGACGAAAGTGACTGCCGTACAGTCGGATGATACGAATCGGAGTACTAATTCATTAAACTCGGAAGTGGTCGAACTTTTCACGCAGCTATATCTGGAAAAAACTCCGATCCGAGTTCTAGATTTTGCCTTCTCGTATACAGCTAGTGGAAGACCGCCTGCTTTGTCTTTCGTCGTCTCGCTTCGAACGGTTCTCTGCCTCACTGGTCTGTAATGTTCTACTCATTCTCTCATGGCGATTTCCGCCTCTTTTGGAATATTCTCTGCTGTCAAAGAGGTCATGAATTTTTAGCGGTACTTCATGGCACACTAGTCCGGGGAACAGGGTAGTAAGACGTATAATGTGTAAAATAACTGACTTTCCACTTTGTAATCCATTTATGGGACTCCTTTGAGATAGTTCCAAAGTCCATAGCATACTGATTTACACTAAATGTCTCATGTTTGAAATGTGACACGGCATGGAGGTTTTCTACTACATAAGTGAAGAAAGTAGACCAATCGATGTGCTTTGCAAATTCTAGATTAACAGTGTCAATGTTTTCTAAGAGACGGTTAATTCCTCTCAAAAGAAGCTGAACAGACTGTTGCGTCTTCCGTGACACTGTGCTCTGAGGACCGTCTATGGTTGCCGCTTCTTTCAGATTGTTGTCTTCCGACTTTGGTAACTGTTGATTTGAGATAAGTGTTTATTTCATTCACATTTTCCTCCTTTTGGCGGGGTGTGACGTCCTGTGCAACAGTCCCCTTGCAGGTTATTCTGAAGCTATCATACAATAGACCTGGGTGCTTTAGGAGTTGTCCCCGACAGCTTAGAGATGAGCTTCACGTTCCCTGTTGCCGCATCCGTGACGACTATTGATTCCCCAACAGTGCAACACCTGTTATAAATAAACGACTAACGTTTTGCGACACTGGAAGTGTTTCCAGACGGAAGTCAGTTCTGTCGCTAGGCCAGTTTTACTCGCGTCTAAAAGTTAAGGGACTTACACATAACTGATATATTAAAACTTCTATTATAAAATAATTCAAACGCGGGAGGTTGGGAGAACACTCGATAAGCTGGAAACCACTCCGCTTCGCGTCGTGGTTTCCTACGCTTATCTCGTGTTCTCCCAACCTCCCGCGTGTTTACATCAGGCTATGTAAACACGGAAACCATTTTACATTTCTTAATTTGTAAACAGCAGGACTTGACCCTATTCAAGACAATCGTGTAGTTCTTAATAAGGATATTTGAGACATTTTACGGCTAACTTTGGCTTGCTTATTTGACGGTTGACGGTAAAAAAAACGCGTTTTTAACGGTTGACGATTAATATTTTGGCCATTTGACGGTTAACAGTTAACCACATTTAGACCCTCCTGTTAGGCAGAACACTTTTCTTTTACTGGGCCTCTCTCCACACAGGGGTATCAATGGGTACCGGTGAATGCTGGTGGGTAACCTTATAATGAACTAGCATCCCATCCAGGGAGGAGTGGTAATAATCGTCGCTCCATGCTATGCTAGTACAGACTTTAAATTTTTTTAACCTTTGTAAGATACACTGGGTCGGTTATTTAATCAAAGTTTAGCCGTTGCTTAACAAAACCGCGTTCTAAGCCATCTTCAATTGAACCGAACCTTTGATCTGAACATTTATTTTTGTGAACACTGTCAAGAGTAGTGGAAGGACATTTATTTAATTATATCAACCCTCTTGTAGAGTATCCCTGAGTTTCACTGCTTGCATAAAACTGCGGTTTTGGGTAGATCTCGTGTATATAGTCGGTCCAATAACTCTATTTAAGCAATTATGGTCGCTAGTTTTGAATCGTGTTCTACATTTTCCATATTCAAGACTACTTCAACAGTCAGGTAAAAAGAAATTAAGTACAACTTTTTTATTTACATTTGAAATTGCGTTACAACGGTTGCTCAAACCTACATTGTCACTACATCAGTTGAAACTTCGCAAGCGAAAGGATTATTTTTATAGAAAACACTCGGAAAAGATAAAATCGCTCTGTAAGATGTTCCAAGCGGAAGAACATTCAATTAAATATTACAAACAAATAAACGAGTATTCACTGCTCGTTCAGATCTTTGTTTCATATTTACAGCACAAACGAAATCCTAATGTTCAATTTGTACAAGTGCTGGGAAAGTACGCATGCGTAGTCGTTCAACTTCTGCCCGCAGCACTGCAACTTCCTGCGCTTGCGCTTTGGCGAGGTCCACTAGCTTTCGCCTTGCTACTATGTCCTGCAGGCGGCGCTCACTTCCAGTGTCACTCCGGCCAGCAGCTGTGTGAGAAAAAAATTATGCAAAAAAATAGTAAGAAACTATCTAAAATACATGCCTGCTTACATAAGTAAAAATTAATAAAAAGAAATAAATAAGGTCAAGACAACAAATAAAACGAAGTACACAAACCGAGATCGAAATAATCATCTCCTGAATAGCCATACGATCGAACTAAACCACAAAAAGAGAACGAAGCTAATATCCAGCCATCTCGCCCGAACAAGCTCGGTCAATAAGGGATTTATTATCCGGCAAAAACATTTCGCGTTATTGTGAATAAAGAATGAATTGTTTACTTCGACAGCCGGTAAAGAAGGCTATCTGTATTTGTAGCAAAATAAACCAAAGAGAGTCGCTTATGTTTCCTTTGTTTTGAATGTCCTCCGTTGCTGCTTGCGTCTCCATCGCCGACTTTGTCCAAAGAGTCACGAACTTTGTCAATCTGCCTCACGCAATTTTTTTTTCTTAAACGGGATCAAAGCGGGCAATCCCGAGCGGGGAAGATGGGCCCACCTTGCCCACTCGGGTAGCCAATCAGAACACAGGATTCGCTTCATATTGCCCACGAGTGCTACCAGCTTTATAACAAGGAAAGCTACTAGGCCAACTGTTGCGGAACTAAAAAAAGGCTCCAAAGATCCTAACGTTCAGGATTTAATGAAAGTTGATAAAGCAAATATGTCATTCCCGCTAGTTGGATAAGAGGCGGCTTCTAGTTTTCAATTCACTTCTTACGGCCTCATCTGAGCATCGTATCGATCGCATAGGGCGAAAAAAAAAAAAAAAGAAAGAAAAAATACAGCAGAACCTATTAAGCGTTTTTTATGACCAGTGATTAACATCTAATTTCTCCTAACAACGTCACCTCCAAATCACACATCAAGGTCACAAGTATAAAGCGAATGATCTTTAGAAGCTGTTGATTGTTAAACAAATTCCCCTTGTTAGCACCTTAGGCAATGTATAGAGAACAGTATGGAGAATATGCATACTGATGTTAGGGTGTAAAGGGCTAAAACTTTGCTGCTTGAAAAGTCAAGCCTGAGAAAAACGGGAAAAAATCAAATTTTGGATCACTGAGTGCTGTCATTTTATTTCTTCGCTTTCTGTCCATAATTTTTTCCTGTTCTATCGTGTAATACCGTGGCGTAAAATTTGCGCTTTTCATTTCCCTTTTATGGTAAAATGGCGAAAAGCGAAAAAAAATGCGTAGCACGAAGGTACAACCTATTTCACTAACCATTTGCCTCATTGACATTCCTCCTTTCAGCGACGGACAGAGCAAGTTCCTCTAGGTCCGCGTCAAGCTGTTCATTGTCTTTCTCCTTGCGACGAATTAATCTTTTGATATTCTTTATTGTTTCTCTGCGGTCATTTACATTACGATGATGCATCTGAAGGATAAAATGGTGGGTTAGGGGAGGGATAGGTACGCAGTTGCTAAAATACTGACATTGATACTTTATTTGGTACCAATTTAAGCATGAGAAATTACATTAAATTTCCTATGAATAATATACAGACAATATATTTTTGCTTATTCTAAATTTGATAAAAAAAAAATAATAAAAAAAAATGAGAAAAATCTTCCACACAAAAATCCTTGCCTTTAACCGTTCGCAAAATACACTTGTAAACGTTTCCACATTTTTCTATGTTCTTTCATTTCCTTGAGGTTTGATGTTACCCACTTTTAGATGTTTTGTGTTTCAGTGCATGAATCACTGACCTTTTCCTGTAGTGTCAAAGTTTTCTCCAGTGTCTCGATCTCCTGCTGTTGCCTGGCTTGCTGGTCACCCTCTGATAGAAACTGCTGGAGTTCCTTGGTGACTCTCAGCAGTTGAATGTCACGAATCTTGGCCTGGAGATCTTCCGACTGCATGTCCATCTTTTTGTGCTCCCTGCAAACAACAGCAACTTCGTTATGGTTATGTCTAAAACGGGAGTGTAACTTATTGAAGAAAATAAACGCTCGTGTCAGTTAAGGTATTCGAAATTTAAGTGACTATAATTAACAAGCGAACTGAAGGGAGAAATTGATAATGTGAACAACCCATATTAAAAAAATTTCTAAAGTTGAAGTTTCCAGCGTCAGTCCAATTCGCTCTGACGAAAGGCTTGGGCTTGAAACTTCTTTACTGCGGCCAATTATACATTATCAACTCAGTTGTACCAAACCATCTTGTAATACCCCCCGCCCCACCCCCCCCCCCCCCCCCCCTCAACCGACGCAGCACCACAGTTCCTTTAGACTTTACCCCTTTATATCAAAAACAATTTTAATAATAAAATAGCACAATTACCACTCCAGTCGATGAATTCCTTTCCTAAACTCCTTGCTGTCCTCCATAATAGTAATCTTTCCTTTCCCGAGAGTCTGGAAACAGTCGCCACGACAAAGATAGGATATCAGCAAAATTAAAACCTCATTATCAATCGACGAGCTTTCTCCGTTAGGATATAAAAACAGCAGAACAAAAGACAACTCAAGCAAGACAACACGGACAATCAGCGATCAGCTATTTCGGTTGATATCATTTTTTTCTTTCAGTAAAAACTAAATGTAATCACAATAGCCAATCAGAGCACAGGAAAATATCCCAAAAAGCCATTGAAAACTCGTTGCAAAGCCGAGAAAATTCCTTAAAGCACAGGAAATGGGAAGTGACTAAGTCATGATTGGTTTTAGTCAGGTTACATCTGATTGGTCGAGAGAGCGGCACCAGTTTTCTGTACCAATCATAGAGGGTAAACTGATAAAATCGCTAAATACTTTCGACACTCAACTTAAAAGCAACAGCAACAGCTGAGTCGAAGTTGACCAAAACTACCTAACATAGCAAGTCGGTTTCTGGAAATTTCAAGGGAAAACTTGTCCATCTATTTCTATTACACTACCAAGAAAGACTTTTCATGGAAACCTTTCTACTAAATACGACTTGAACAGAAAATTCCACCCACCGTGATCTGTGCATTAAGGTCCTCTACAACAGAGCGATGAATCAGAGCACTGTCTGTATAGTCTGTGATAAAGGAGCCTGGTGTAACCTCCACCTAAATTACAACACAGTGATGGTGAGCTACCTATTAGTACTGGATTTGTTTGATGACTTTGTAAAACACTGACCTGTCCCTGTTTTAGCAACAGCTGTACTTCCAAATTTATATGAAACTTCATTTTCTCGTCCCTCAATCTACAAAGGCAAAAGGTTAGTCAATAGAATAAGAAAGATGAACGGCTGTAAATATATGAAAATCATGTATGTGAACTGCGGACAAAGAAACAAATATGGAAGCGATGTTCGCAGTGATGAACACCACCTATGCAGTATGGAAAATAAGGCGTGAAAAAAATTCAGGCCCGCACAGAGAATGAATGAAAGTTATAAAAAAAATTACTTTTGCCAGTCATCGTTGGCCATAAGTGACTTGTGCATTGCATATTGCTAAGATCATTAATGTCGGAAGCGTCATTGGTGTGAGTGGTATAAGAAAGTTAGTCAAAGGAGGTCATTGATTACCTCTGTAGTTCCTGTAAAGTGTGCTCCAGCTCTCTGTTGACTTTTTCATCGTCTTCTGTTCTCCTTTGCAAGAAGGCATTCATTTCTGCTAATATCAACGCTTTGGCCTTGACCTATTAATGAAATTATTAAAGAAATATAAAACGCGCCGAGTGCATTGTTGAGTTATATAAGCACGCGGGAATTTTTAAGAACACGAGAGAAGTGCGGAGAAGCACGAGTGTTCTTAAAAAATTCCCAAGTGCTTATATAACTCAACAATGCTCGAGGAACAAGTTTTTTTAATTTCTCTTATAAAATGCATCGTGAATTGCGCGCGCTCGTACCGATGACGTAGGCTGCGCATTATATCTCAACAGTGCACTCGAGTGACGTAAGGCGCGTGCTTTATGGAAATATAATGAAATCGTTCTGACCAATCACGGCGCGCGCATTTCTCTGAACATTTCATAATGTCTATAAAATTTCACTTCATATACCTTGAGCATTTTTTGGTATTTGAAGAGCAAGCTTTCACGACGGCACAAACACCTAAACTCACCATGTTCTTATAGAGCAATTTTCAATTGAGTATGGAAAGTAGTCCGAGATTGCTTCGGTCTTACTCAACTTTGCTATGCACACTGCTTTCAACTTATCAAATGCAAAACCAAAAACAATCGCGATTTGATCATTTGCGTTTTCCCGCCCTTTCAGTAGTTTGCTTGTTTTCACTTCGAGTTCTCATTGGCTAATGCTGATGTGAAGTTTGTTCTGATTAGTCGCTTGGATTATTTTGATCTCATCAACGCTCAATTTTAAAGCTGCTCTACTCTACCAGGTGACTATTACCATAACAGCACCGTACACGTATTTAGGGGAGGGGTACCTTAGTGGTTTATGGCCCTAGATTTGAAATCTTGGTCTCACTTTCAAAATTTTATTGTCACTAATTTGATTTTATGAGAAATGGGTGGGACAGTGTGTCCAGAATCACGGGAGTATTAATCATGCATTTTGCATTGCTGGGTGGGAGGTCTGTAACTCCGGCTATGACCAAGGTCTTAAAAATGTACCTCCAACAAACAAATCACAGCTTTTGATTACTTAGAGTGGACACAACTCTTTTCTCGCTCGAAAACTTCACAGAAAACCCATAACTATGTCATCGTGACTAAGGTCAGAGCTAAGAAAAATCCCCGGTACGTTGCGAACCAATCAAATTCTGTATTCGATTTGTAATCTGTATTCGATATTGCGCCCTCTTGGAAATAGAAGTAATCAATTCACCTGCTGTTCACTTTCGACTTTCTCTCTTCTTGTTTGCACCAGTCGTTGCCAGACAGCAGATTCCACCCCTTCAGGCATGTGCTGTTCATCATCTAACTCATCCATTGCGCGCTCCAGGCTTCTTATGGCGACAGAATTACTGCGCGAGGAAGAAGGCCTGGGACTGAATGGACTGCCTCCGTCGGGATGGTCTCCGTGTGATTCTGTGGCAGCTTTAAGTTGTTTCTGTCCTCTAAGAGAAGAAAGAGTCAGGAGAAAACTTTAAATACGAGAAACACATGCCAAAAGAAATGGAGTTTCAGGGAGTCCTCGTCACGGTCCAGACCAGCGGTCGATTAATTGGAGCATTAATCCCATTTAATAGGTCTGGAAAACCCCATAACACTCGAGTTGTTTTTTGTTTTTCTGAAAACAGGATAGGACAATTGTCCATGATGCTGCAATGGTCATTAACAAATTTAAATGAAAGAAAGAAGTGATGGGGGAGGGGGGGGGGCAGCACTCTTTCTGTAATAATGATGCCAGATTGGACCCGGATTTCCAAGCCAAGACACATAGTTATCTTCATTAGACGTCACACTTGCTTTCCCTATTATGACATTAATTTTTCTCCAAAGTTGTACATCACAAAGAGGAGAACTAGATGAACAAAAGTAAGCAAAAATTTTCCACTTCCCGGAGATCGTGTCGGAGAGTGAGTTTGTAACGGTCCACTTCTTTCTATTCATCGAGTCTACGATAACAGGTCACCTTGTTACGTAATATTGAACGCGCATTTGCTTGCACTGCTATGCGCAGAACACGTTTCGCACAGCAGTTGTAGGGCATCCCCTTAACAATAGTCACTCGGCTCAGTGTTAACCTGATATATATTGCAACAGTTTTCCTCACCTTGGTCTTCGTTTGAACAGTTTATACAACTGTTCTACTGTGTGCATGTCTTGGTCTGCAAACTCTTTCTTGAAAGCCTTGTCAAGCGCCTTGTCTTCAGCTAACACGATCTCATATGAGTCACGGAACTGATCCACCTCCCGCTTAGCTTCAGCCAGCGCCCCTGCAGTTTGCGTCTTCCTCTCCCTCTTTTCGTTCATCCGCCGAGTCAGCTCGTTTTCCTGATACTCCAGCTCGGATTCAGTCAGCACTGAGACCATCAGTCGCATAATTTTAAGCTCTTCCTATGGATACACAATCACGAAAACGTCAAGGTATGCATTATTCAAAAAACATTCGGACGAAGTCCAAAACGTCCCAAATGGTAAAATTCGAGAAGTAATTAAAAAGAAATACAAGGTGAAGAATGATTAAAACTTGCTCAATGAAAACCGTGCTGTGTTGTTGAAAACACGAATCAATTTAAGGTGACTGAATTCTCTAATCATAATTTTCAATAAACCAAATTTCATTTGAGCTGCGGATGAAAATCAAGGAAAGCTATGATCCTCGCATGGGAGCTGTCATTAAAGCAATTGCAGGAAAGAAGAAACCTGAATAAAAATTCAGGCATCGACGGGATTCGAATCCAGGCCTCCCAGATACCAGCAGCACTACCAACTAAGCCACGAAACCACACGCTGGGAGCGGGGCACAGCTTAGAGGGTTCTGAATTCTCTTGATTAATACAGCGTCCTGGTTGGCCAGTTCTGACTAATTATGAGTGCTTCACTCCACCACCAGAATAGAAGATTCATGACGGAACACATAAATAAAGAACGATTTATCATGGCAACTGAACCAACCTGGTAAATAACCATTTCTGTTTTGACTTTCCTCTGAAATAGCTGACTAAGTTTTTCGTCAAACGAGGCTGTGGCATCAGTGATTCCGCTCTGTAACTTCTTTAGCTCAGTCTCCAGTGATTTCCGGTACTTCTCTCGATCCTCTTGAAGCTGTTGTTTCTTCTTCTCGAATTCCTTGGCCGCCTTCTGCTCCTCTTCGTTCCATTCCTCTTGTGGTTTGCTGGTGATGAACTCTGGCGGGACCAGATCTTTTTTCAGCTCGTCTTCTATATTCGCCTCCAGTCTTCCCTGCATCATCATCATCAAGGCTCGCTCTCGTGCATTGTCGCCTTTCTCCGCTAAGCGGCGTTCTACAAAGTATGAGGAAAAAATTAAAACCGAGCTGTACTTTTGAGCATTGAATAATGTAACACGGGCTTGTCTTGGCTTTGCTGTGATTGATCCAGAAATTCGCGCCACTCCTAACCAATCAAATGCAAACACGAAATCGCAACTTGGTCAGTCACGTTATCCCGCGTTTTAGTCAAGTTGGTAGTTTTCTCTATAAGTTCTTATTGACTCCTACAAAAATACTTCTGTGTGTTCATAAACCGTTATGATTGGTTTTGTTTCTCAGTCTAGCTAAATATCTTCCAGAACAACTCATAACTTGATATTTAAGATTATTTCTGCTAAGCTCCTGAATGTCAGCGACGGTGACACTCCAACGAGTAGAAGCAGCGATCATCGAGCGCATTTCGATTGAAGATCGAAAAGGCACACCCAAAGTAATAACAACAGCCAATCAAAACAAAAGAAGGTAAACAGAAAGCCAGTGATAACTCAGAGCAAAACAACTGAACAACCTGAAGCGCGGGAAAACGCGGGTGACCAAGTCGCGATTGGTTTAAATTTTGAATTCGATTGGTTTAGAAATAGACGCGATTTTTCTGGACCAATCAAAAAGTGAAGTAAAGCTATACCAAAGGAATCCCGTATTACTTTGAAAATTGTTCTATGGACACCAAGGTTAATACAAGACGATGTTCGGTTTCAAAAAATTTGTTCACAAATGAATTGTCCCCTCTCTCTTTCCTTAGGCACAGGCTATGCTGACTTAGTTGTCCTCAAAGTATATCTACTTGTTGTTCAATACAAACCTTCTTCAATCTTTGCTTGTTCTTCAAGCTTAAGCTTCTCCTCCTCACTAATGTACTTCTCAAAGGGTACATCACCATCCTTCACTTCCAACAGCAGCTCAGGTTTTTCGTCCACACTCATCCCCGGCTCAAAAACCTTCTCATCAATCTCAAGATCACCCAAGATCTTCTTTATCCTGTCGTTTCTTTCTTTGACTCTTTTGATTTCGGCCTCTTTCTGTTTGAAGATTTCGTCGAACTCCTTGTTGAATGCCACTTTGATTCTGTGGATAGCATCCTGGAATTACAGAGAAACGTTACTCAATTTCAGCTAGTTTTAGTTTGCATGAAAACTTTGAAAAAACTACGTGCGGCTGCTTTGAGTTTGTATCTCTTCTGGCCCTAATTTTGGTTGCACAAGGGAAAGAAGAGAAAAGCTTTAATCTTGCAATCCAAACATCGCCCACCAACACCAAAGAGGTTTCATAACACTCACACAGCACGAAAGATAAATCATCTCTCATTTAGGTTTATCTTCATGTCAACTCGGTATCAAAAGGTCTGGGTTCGAGACTTGGCCTGGTCATGCGCTGTGTTCTTAAGTAAGACCCTTTACTCTCACAGTACCTCTCAGTATCTGAGCAACTGCGCACCTACCCCTCCCCTATGCCAACAACAGTTAATTGATTGCAAAATAGGATTAATGTTGGGTAGAGGAGGGGTAGGCGCGCAGTTGCTCCAGATGGGTACAATCCAACTTATCGAAGTCCCGTCCCGCCTAATGAAGAGCAGAGGCAATATCATGCTTTGGAAACCGGGATAAGTTCGGGTGGTAATGGGCAACTAAGCTCGTAAGATTAAAATTCTCAATTTTATCAGACCTTGATTAATTTATGTAGCACGTAACAAATTTTGTCGACTTGGTCGATACCTGCAACAAAACAATCTGGTTGAGTTTCTGCTGCACCGTGTGGAGCTGGAACTGACTCTGAAACAGCTCCTGGCCGCCGCCATAAGCTGCACCACGACTTCCGGTTGTAGCCGGGTTATCTCCAGACCTCTCTCCTTCATCCTCGGCCAGAATATCCTCGTCTTCAAACTCTTGTCGGTCATCTGATTTTAATAAACGAATATTAATTTATTAAGCACTATACTGTACCTCAAATCTGTTTACTGACGTAACAACCATCTTAGGATGTTGAGGGAACACGAAGAAAGTTCAAGTTGTAAATCACCAAAGGCAAGCTATTAAAAGACTTTTCGGATGTGCCACTAACACAATTGGGTTATTAGGCCAGCAAACCAATAAAAACTGCGGTAATCACTATTAAACAATTGCTATGAGTTTATCGGCACACAAAGTAATAGTTTGTTTAACCAATCAGAGCGATAGTGGTATACTCATTAACTCATGACTAATAATAAACGAAGGCTAAAATAAGGAGCAGAAAGAGCACATAGAAGCCCACGAAAGCTACATGAGTATAACTAATTCTGTTTTGTTTGTGCTTCTTACAAGAAAGCGAGGTTACCTAACAAACCCAATGCAGAATTAAGCACTAAAAAAGCTTGTCACAACCTGAATAACAACTTAGTCAAAGTAGTTACGTCAAAATCGTTGAGTCAACAGGAAAGGAACCATAAAATATTCTTTTCAATTTCAAAATGGGTGGAAACAACCAACAGGGAACAAGAATGGATTGACATGGATTTCATATCGTTCCTTTGAAAAAAAATTCAGGCTGAATGTTACGAGAAGAACAAAATCTGACGCGGCTCTTTGAAACCAACAGCTTGTTTTCTTACCAACAAGAGGTGTATTTCTAGCCGAAGGCGGACTAGACACTACATCCTTGCTTGCTGCGGACTCAGCTTGCTCGATTTTCCTCTGGTTGATGACATACTGAACTTCATCCAGTTCTGCTTTAGTTCGCTCCTTCATAGGGTAGTTGGAGACAGACAGAGGAAGGTGAAAGGCATTCACTGAACGTCCTTTGACGACCATGGCGTCCCAACATTCTTTTTTTATTATCTCGCGCAAGTACTGATTGGCAAGATTTGCCAATTCTATCTCCTCACGGACCTGTTGGAGAATAATCCAGCAATAGACTATGAATACGTGTACCCGGAACTAACAGCACGAATTGGAGTGATTTTCAACGGGTTTGTAATTGGTGTTACTTTACCTCGCTCTGAGATTGGTTAACCCAAAAAAAAAACAAAAACAAAAACAAAAACAAAAAAAAAAGCCATCCTCTCAACCAATCATACGCAAGAATTAAGCCAATCTCCACAGGGTCAAGCGCGCTTTCTCACACTTCAGAAAGTATGCTATTTCTTTTCTTTTGATTACTTCTCATTTACTCCTTACGATTGTTATACTTATCCTATATCAGACTTGACTGAATTTCTGGTTCAGTATGAACCCAAAAAATATTTGATTGGGAAAGCTTAGCGAGGTTTTCACACAAAACCGTATTCAGTACGATCATGTGGTGTTAAGAATAAGATTTACACTCCTTCATGCAAATGACAAAAAAATGCTCAAGTAACGAAAGAAATAAATTTCTTGAGGAATTTACGTTGGAACCTTGTTAAACAGGTTTTCTACAGTCTCCCTACGCATTACAAACCGAAAGGAAGAGACGATAATGTAAAGCAAGGTGTGGTATTGCCGTAAATGTTCAAACCTGCTTTCCGTACCTGTTTAATTTTCTCTTCCCCTTCTAAAATTAATTTCTGCCGCTGATCGACATCCAAGTTGTACTCATATCTATCCAGTTTTTCTATTTCCGGTGCTTGCTGGTTGTCACCCATCATCTGCAGCACGGTGTGACGTAATTCTTGAATCTCCTGACGTAACTTCCGCTTTATCTCAGCGAATTTTTTGGCCTCTTCACGTTGGGTCTGCAGAAGCATATAAAAATTTGAGGGTGCAAATATCCTCCAAAACTGAGATTCCCCGCCCCTCAAGTTTCTTTTTGACTATGAGCACGATACAACACCTGCAATCCATTTTTTTACGTTTACGTTTACGTTTAGCGCAAGTCCAGAAACGATGGTATGGTGCTGTATGTTCAATCAGTTCTCTATCTCCTCAATCTCCCTCCCTTGCACTTTCCTCTCCTAACCGCCCTCCCCTTCCATCCACGTCCCTTCCCTCCCGTCCCCTATCCTGAACTGTCACGTAAAAATAGCCAAGGCAGTTTAGTCCATAGTTTTCTCTTGGGTTTATGGTCCGTAAGGCAGCCTTAAAACTCTCTGACACGAAATCCCTCTCAGTACTAGATCTTTCATTTAATCGTAAAAAGAGACGAGAATTTGCAAATGATATTTCCGCATCCAGAAGATCGATCCTTGTCCAGAAATCGTTTGCCTGGAGGTCATCCAATACACAGAAAAACATAATACTGCCACGAACATGAACCCTCGATCAACAATAATCAAGGAAAAATTGCCCATTTCCATGGTCATTCTTCCATTTCTATACCTCGCTGACAGCTTTCTCAAGCCAGGTTGCATCTTCTGAGGGAGTAGGGGTGGGGGTGGTGTAGATACCATCTTTGACAACTTTCTGTTGTTTCTCGCTCGCCTCAGTGTTCGCTTTCTCGACCGGCGAGAGAGATCTGGGCACGTATTCCCCTCGTTCAGCCGCCAGACTGTCTTCGTCCTTTCGCATGGTGGTCAGCAGTGATGAGCGCGCACGCGCAGCATCTATGGCTGCTGTCGCCTTGCCTTTGCCTGAAGAAATAAATCAACGAATAAACAAAAAGAAGAATATTTAAAAAAAGAAAAAAAAGAGGGAATTTATTTCAAGAAGGAAAGATACCTATAAAAAGTTAAACAGATTTATCATAAAACCCGATATAAATAATAAAAATTCCTCAGTATTTTAACATCTTCATTTTTCATACACTACGATACCAGATATTGTTGTCATAGCCAGAACCTGGTACATCACCATGGGGTTTGTGTTCTTATCACAGGGTTCATGTTTTGAGTCGTTTCCTCACTATTCAGTTTCTATCTCTTAAAGTAATACTACCGGGAGATTTTTATCTTCGCTTACTCCTGAGTGAAAAATATAAGTCGTACATACGCAATCGAGTGGCAGAGTAGAGGACTTAAACCTTCGATCTTCAGATTACAAATCCAAAGTTATAAACCAACCTACCTCTTAGCCTCCTAAGAAGTGCTTTTCATCCTATTAAGCCATTATTCGACAAAGTGGAAGTAAATATCTACTACTTAAATCAACACTGAGGTGGATAAATATTTTAGAAAAATACCACACACAAATTGGTTTATTTCTGCAAATATACCAAAAACCGGTCGGAAAATTGAATCTTGACGCGCGACTTAGTCTCTTCGGCTGTTCCGATGTGAATAGTACTTGTTAATGACTTACACACCAGCCAAAAAGCGCACTAATCACCTGTGTAATGTATTCTAACATAATCTATCGCCATATTACCTGTTGATGTGAAGTTCCAAACCCAGCAGGCCAACACACCGTCAGCACCTGTACTGAGCACGTGTTGTGAGTCACCGGTAAAACAGACGTGAGACGCTCCGCCTCTTTTGTAATGATGTGCAGAAACACACAATGTACGATCCTGTGAACATAGAAAACATATTTTAATGTAGTGACTGAACAAAGAGATAAAATACATCTAAATTGTTAGGCAGTGACGCAAAAGTTTGACGGGAACGAGAGAAATACGCGCTCCCGCATGTGCCAGTCCTAGTCACTCGTGCAAACCTGCATTGAGCGCCTTACAAAAGCGTGCGCCTGTTTGGTCGTCCAATGCACATAATCGTCGAATTGAAAGTCACGCTGGACCTCTTCAGAACGTTAAGAATGATTTTAAAATATTGTGAAGAAATGACATACTCCTACAATAATTTTCAATTCCCTAAGATACTTCATAAGGAGTTCCTCTCTGCAGAATAATCTCTTGAAACAAATATTTCCTGGGGTAGAAAAAACCCCTTGAAGCAAGGAAAAGAGAGAGAGGCACGAAGATGGCAAGAAAATGGCAAGAAAGAAGAACCAAGATGAAAACCTTTGAGGAAGAGGCATGGTCCACAAACCATACAATCTTTATCACCGCCACTAAAAAGTATACGAAAAAAGGGTATAGCTTAACACGTTTTGAGATTTCAAAGAATACCCTAGTCGCTCAAAATATTGTGGACAGCTGAGGCGACTTTTCGACTATGGTCGCCGTCATTACACACACACATTCACAGAAAATCAAAAAAAGAAAATCTAGTTCGCTGGCCGTACACTCATCAAATAAGTGTAAAATTCACTAACAGCTGCTGTTCTGTTTATCAAAAATAATAATTATCTTCGTAAAGAACGCCTTTTTAGCGTAGCTCCTAACTGTTTAAGCGGATCGCCAAAAGTTGAAAAAAAGAGAAGCCAGATTTTGTCACCTGACAGGTGTAAAAGTCAATCGTATTTTAGACTCAAAAAGGAAACAACAAGAAGGAACCCATCAAAGTGCATGCAATTGACAACCGATTACCGTAGATGACCAATGGTAGGCGACCAGTCACAAAGACGTTGAAATCCACGTGATCTCTGGCGAGTAACTTAGCAAACAAACACAAGAAGAACTACTCAGCACGAGTGCAAATCACAAACAGCGCGCGCTGTCTTTGAAAATTTACTCGTACTTATTGAAGAAATAAAAAACGCGCCGAGTGCATCGTTGTGTTATATAAGCACGCGGGAATTTCTAAGAACACGAGAGAAGTGCGGAGAAGCACGAGCGTTCTTAAAAATTCCCAAGTGCTTATATAACTCAACAATGCTCGAGGAACGAGTTTTTTTAATTTCTTTTACAAAATGTATCGTGAATTGCGCGCGCTCGTACCGATGACGTAGGCTGTATGCATTATATCTCAACAGAGCACTCGTGTGACGTAAGGCGCGTGCTTTATGGAAATATAATGAACTCGTTATGAAAAATCACAGCGCGCTCATTTCTTTGAAAATTTTATAATAAAACCATATTGCACTCGAAATAATGTTATTACCAATACAAATTTCGTTGAAAATCAGACTGGACCAAAATTGGTCCATAAAAATTACTTATCTTTATACAAAATCTAAAAAGTTCTCACCAATGCACCAACAGCTCTGAGAAGAAGTTTTCCATCAGGTGAACAACTGGCGAGCCATCTTAAATGTGGAGACAGAACAACGCGTCCTCCGTGCAGCTCATGACCAGGGTATGTCCCTGAAGGCTGCAGCTTGGAATCTGGTGGAACACTCTGAAAAAAGACATTCATTCATTGCATTCACACGAAATAAAAATTGGACAGAAATTTTTCTTTTCGTTGTACGTCTCAAGGTAATTCCTTGAAATTTATTTCTATAATAGTTATACTAATACTACTACTACTACTACTACTAATAATAATAAAATAAGTTATAATGATACTGAAAATTGACTTTGTAAATATCTCTGAACACGGATAATACTAAAGAAAGGGACTAAAACATTTTGCGCCAACCGCCGTGACGGTAACAAATGACGATTATGATAAAAGGAACTGAAACGTTTTCATTGCTATTACCTTGCCCTCTGCGGCCAATGTAAGTTTAACTATTTCTTTCCTTGCATGTGCCACTGTCAAAGCGGTCTGCGGACTGGTCAAGACAACACTGTAACAAGGAGATGCTAACAGATGCACGACTTTCTTCACCATTTCATCTCTGTACAGAAGAGTCTTGTTCAAGAAGGCTTCCTTGGCCCCTGTGCATGGCAGGAAAAAAGATAACAAGTTTAATGAGATAGTTGTGAAAAGATTACATGCCTTCGGCAAGAACACAAGAAAATACGCGCAAAAGAAGGTCGTTCGCCTCTATTCTCGTGCACACGTGCCACTTGTCACTCGCTTTTCCCACTCTAATTATTATGCAACCTGTCAAATCAAATCAATCGCCTGATATGTAGGCTATTTTAAGTGCTCACAGATATCCCGGGTAGTCTGCGGGGGGGGGGGGGGGGGGGGTTACAAACACAGACACACCTCACTCGGATATTTCAGACATATTTTGCCTGTCCACTATAAAAAAGGACTGATACCAGTGAGTACAAGAAGGGGATTACCTCTCGTTTTCTCCCTTCCCATCACATTTCACGTCAATACTGTCCGCGTAGGACGATTCAGCAAGAAACGGGAAATATTTCATCAAGTGTAAAAACAAAAAAATAAACAAAACACAACTGCGGTAACTTTTGAAGCCTACCGTTCAAAAAATCCATGGTAACTTCAAATTCTAGTAGCTTTGTTGCTAATGTTTTATCACTATTCGTACGGTAGGCCACAGCTATCTTCCATGGTCCCTGGCTGTCTTTTTCTCGAGCATTCAGAGTGGTGATTGAACACACTGTGCCTTCCAGGTCTTTATGCACAACAGGACAAAATTAAAAATTAATATGAGCCACATTAAAAAATACTTGTTACTTGATTTAGTGCACGTTTTTTCTTTGTCAAACAGTATCTCCACATTTATTCATTAATGGTTTAGCACTTGGTCGTGTCATTTTATCTTTTGGACTCTGTTGGTGGGAGTTACTGACGTTTTGACAACCTCAGCGACAGTCCACATCAGAGTCAGGAAAAGCTTTTGCCAAGCGAGTGTTACAGATCTGGTTCGTGTAAACTGATTGGTCAGTTTTGCCGTTAGTCGGTCTCGATTGGTCAGTTTCGATCTATCGGGATAGTGAAGTTATTTCTTGAGCGGGATGAGAAAAACTAAGGCTGATAGTGGAAGCTCTTATGGTAGTCTAATGAATGCTCCCAACTTTTCTTGCTGGGAAACCATTCAGAAGAAAATACTACGCTTGAGCTTATAGTTCTGCTATCTCTGTTCATAAACAAAGCTCCTAAACCAGTACCTAATCGCCCAAGCACTTTGAAGTTGTTGCTGACTCTTGCATCACACACGAAGACATGTCCATCATTTGAGCCTGTTACATATATCTGACCACTCCAATCATAACTGTGAGTGAAGTTAGAGCAATAAAATACATCAGTTGTCAGGAATTCAATGCTTGGATGAATCAAGTTACAGTTCAAACCATAAAATAAAGAAGTTATTGGTGAATCTCTAGCGAAGTTGTATGTAGTTGCACCCGAAAACATAACAACCCCAACTTCCCCCGGACCGCCTGTAACTGTCCATAAAAAATGGCGATCGTATTACAATCTCGCCCCACTCTTCCCCAGTAGATCTTTGTGTTTTGTTTCCATAGTGACTCGGGAGAATAATTAAGTAGTAAAGAAAACCAGGCTTGAAAAAAATTCAGGCCTGTATAGGATTTGAACCCATGACCTCTGCAATACCAGTGCTTCACTCTACCAATTGAGCTAACAAGCCAACTGGGAGTGGTCATTATGTCGGTTCCTAATAAACCCGTGAAGTAATGAATCAATGACTGTAAATACATGAAAATCATATATGTGAACTGCAGTTTAAGAAATGAATGTTGAAAGCAAACTTTGCAGTAATGACCTACCTAAGTTGCAAAACTGGCCCATGGTGAAGGTGGATCCTGTAAATAAGACGAGGCTGCTCAATGTTTGTCATCTCAACAAAGTAGATATGGCCAGTAAGAGAACCTATGGCCACTGTGCTGGAGGATGGACTACACTGTATACATGAAGCCTGTAAAGAAGAGTGGGGAATGATGTCATCAGTACTTACATAGAGTGTAAGATGTGGATCTTGATATTAAAAATACAAATCAAGACATGCAAACTTTCAGACATAGGAAGGGGTGTACAAAACACAAGGGTGAATACCAGTTACACCCACATGATGCATATACACTGGGCTATTGGTGCATAACTTTGATTGCAGCAGGAAAAATATAACTGCATTGCACATTTTCCCAAAAGGAGGCAAATAGAACTAAGAATCAGTGATAGAAAAAAATAAAAAAGGCTGAAGGCCTCCAAACCCTAGTTTCTCTAGGGTTTCTTAAATATGTACCTGGCAGTCAAGATGGATTTTGGACAAAAGTTTGCTTGTTTCAATATCCCATGTTTGCACCAAACCATCTGCTTTACAAGTCTGTAAAACATAAAAGTAAGTTGGGAAAAATAATTTTTGGTTCACCATCCATAATCTGCTACTGTAACAATAACACTTGAGGCCTAACTGATGTACATTCTCAAGGTTGAAACTGTAATTAAACATACTTACTATGAACTGTTAACATACTAAAATAATAATAATGCTAAGAGTTAAGAAGTACATTCCCCTTTTGTCAGGAGGGTGTGACGAAGAAAAAAATAGATTCCTCTCCAAGAATCTTACAATAAAATTATAGAGTTTATGTTCCAGGGCATAAATATATTTTGGGCCTGACTCAGAGTTATTTTAACCTGAGCCTTTAGGCCAGGATTAAAATGACTCTGAGTAGGGACCAAAACATATTTGGGCTCAAAAACATGAACAGTAGTACAGACCATTATTACAACTTTGGAGGGCACTGAGAAAATAAAAACTGAAAAAAATGACAACATGGTTGAAACAACCACAAGAGTATTTCAAGTCTTACAGGTTTTATTTTCCCTCAATGAAAATACACCTTCTAGTGAAACTGGCAAGAAATTTCAAAATCTTGCCATGTGAGTTTTTTTTCAAAAATTGTTAAAAGCATGAAAGGGAAATCCAAGTTTATCTACAGTTTATTTGTTCATTAGCTGCTTACATTGGGCAATTGTTTGAAACAATTTAACCCACAAAAGGCACCATCATGCCCAACATAATGATAATAATAACATTGAATCTCAGACCCTCTGAAATTGGATGTTAACCCTGTTTTACCCATTCAGTTACAAATGCTTTGATAGCAAGTCAGGCCATGTGAACATGACAAGCCATCTACTAAATACAAAATCATTGTATTATTTACCGTAAAATTAAAACACTATTCCCTCCATCTCTTACCACACAATACTGACTTCCTCCTGCCAGACAGTCAACACCCACAAACTCAGCATTATGAATATTAAACAGCTCTGCCACAGATCCTTCAGAATCATAGAGATGTACAGACCCCTGAAATAGTACAATGTATCATTGCAATTTTTTCTTTTTAGTTTAAGGTTAAAAAGCCACCAGCACTTTTTTTAATTCATGTGTGGAAGAGATCATTTTTTTACTTTACTGTATTCTCTCATGGATGTGTTGATCATTACCATTACAATTTACTCAAATATGATAGGTGCGTTGGCTACTTTATTTTTCACTTATCATTCTGTATAGTTATAATCAGACAGTAAAAGCAGCCAATCATGCTAAGTCCACCCAGTTAAATCCACCAATCACAGAATTGATCACAATAACCATAGGAACAATCACTTATCCTGAAAAAAGAATCTGGGGAATTTTCTCTTTAGACATAGTTTCTACTGGAGATGTTTGTCCTAAATATATATATATATATATTTTTTTTTTTCAAAAAATGTAATGGTAATGACTAATTGGTAACAGGACTTCATGTTGTCCAGTTCTGTCTGTAATCATACTTGTGATTGACAAATTGGTCTCCTGCTTTGCTGTCTTCTGATTTTGTTAATCACTCATATCATCACAGACCGAATATTGGTCCTCCACTCAGTCCCATTATTGATGAAAATCCATTGGCACCTACCTTGGAACTCCCAAGGGCTAACGAGCGATAATTTGGTGACCAGTGAAGACTTGTCACAGCACAACCAATGTCCAACTGCTCCAAGACTTTAAGCTCAGTTGATTTTATGTCCAAACATCTCAACACTCCATTCTGTTAAAGATGGAATTTATTCAAAAGGTATCTGGAAAGTGGGGTAGTAAATATTACCTGAATAGAGGGTGTGTAGCCAAAGCCACACATAATTGCATGTATTCATCATTTATTTAAAAACATCCACACACCTATCATCCTTAACACAAGTAGGAAAATACATATTAGAAAATGAAAACCTGCTAATAAACTCTCAACAAAGAAAAATAGTTACCTATATAGTGCATAGCTTTACCAGGGAAAATAAACACAACAATGCTGCTTCTTAAAAAGTGGACACACTGTAAACATTGATCCACAGGACTAATTTTATACATAAAACCTGACAAATTACATAACATTAGACAATGGCATAAATATCAAGTACACAATGCAACAAATGAAACATACAAACACTCACATGTAATTTACAACAATACACACAGGAAACTGTATGAAAATAATTTTTGCAATAACAGGGTTCGTGAGATTTAGTTCTCAGAGGTTACTTGTGAGATTGAGTTCAGCCATTTTTCAGACCAAATAACCAAATTATCTTGCTTCAATGTCACAAAATGGTGCAAAAAAGAAGAAGATAGGAATAGTAAAACAAAATTTAACAGACCTGCCCAGCAATATACAGTCCCTTCTTATGTAAAGCCAGACAATCTGCTGAACCTGGTCCAACATCCAGGGACAAATCACTACCCTTAGGCTTTTCGTCATTATCAGGATCTCCATCTAGTAAGAATAAATCAGATTTGCTGTCATAAATGCGGTTACCGCTAAATGCAATTTAACAGAGTTAACAACAAAGAGCATCAGTGTTTTCTGGTAGTCAGTGGTTTTCACATATGTGCATATGCGGGAATTCCCATTTGCTCTGCATTAGAGGCATTCTTGTGTGTACTTTGAGCATGTGCTTGTAGCACTGCAAGGAGTGGTAGCTCTTCGTCCAGGCAGTTTTTCCCCACTTATACCCTCCCTCTTTCTACTGTCTATTCAGTGTGACAGGTGCCTGTTCCCCTTTCCTATGTGGGGGCTCATAACTGGGTTGCCAGGATTTGCCAGCTGTGGGAGAAGTCTCCATCTAGGAGCTGGCTGCCAATAGTGGAAGCTCCTGGATGTTTCAGGCACCCAACCTCCAATTAGTGATGCAGTTGTTAATTAAAATATAAGTGAAATTATTACAACTTCTGGAGTCTGTAAATTACAAACACCAAATGCTACCACTCTTGAACAGTGGCCCATTTTAATATATTGCCTACTTGCAGTATTTCTTATTTTATGACATTAATAATGGTAATTGAACTGAGTGGAGTGCAATTTGGTCTGAAAACACATGCACAATCTCAAAATCAAACAAATGCTGAGCACAAGTTTGATTTAAGATCACAATTACAATAGGCCATTTTACAGTTGTGTACTTAGTTGCCAAGCCTTTGATTTGGAGTGAGGCTGAAGGTGACCTTGTTGTGATAGAGACCAGTATCCAATAAGCATGATAACAAAGTAATTTGCATTTGAAAACAGCAAGGTTTGTATCATAACAAGGTCACCCTTAGCCTCACTCCTGTTCAAAGGCTTAGCAACCAAGCATGCAACTGTAAAATGGACTATTTCGGACCAAAATTGCTTGACACAAACTTCAATTACCACTTTTTGCATTATAATTCAGAAAAGAAACATGTGAAGCTTCTCTTCTGCCATTTCTACTGTGACTTACTTTTCCCTTCTGCCATTTCTGCTATACTTTCCATGGTGGCTTTCCTCAATAAAGATTGAGTATCTGTTCTGTCCTGTTGCAAACCCTTTGCATTTGGGTTCAGTACCATAGTGACTTGGTTGTTTTCTGTGTCAATGCAGATCACCTGACCTCCTTTACAACCACAGTAAAGTTTACTGTCTGGTGTCCAACAATGGTTGACAGGTTCACATCTTTCCTTTTTCTCACCTAAAACAAAGAAATGCCACCCTTTATTAATTGACATTAAAAAAAATCACAATTGTATAAAATTATATTTAAAAAAATTACAATTTACACCTAATATATGCTATAGTTCATAAATATTGCAAGACAAAATGCTTTGAAACCTGATTAAATTTGTATTTTCCTCAGTTCCAGATCAATTATTAGAATTCATTCTTCACAAGAAAAATATAAATCAACCAAATCTGAAATAATTTCAAACTTTATTTCAGCATGACTGTACTATGGAATGAGAATAAATGTAATCTGAGAGAACAGAAAAAAAAAAGATTATTCAAACTTATAGAATTCAAAATATTTCTGTTAATTAAGGCCTCTCAAAGAAAGATATTCTTTTACTGGAATAATTGAGATTATCTCTGACATATTTCAAGTAGCATATGTAATAAAAGTAGTCAACTCGAAAGAATTAATGTAATTATAGTTATGTAGTTATCTAATAAACCTCAAAGTCATTACCAATTTATGATCAGGTATTTCCTGTTTTTATATACATGCTAAGCTGTATATATCCTTAACCCTTTTACTCACAAGATCTCTTTTAATTAGTAATTCTTCTTACTGTCAGTCATACAATTCATATGATATTACTTTGGAGAACTTGGTATTGGATCAACTAACAATCAATACCCAGTAAAAAGGCACTAGACTATTTTCAAAGAATTCCCCTTTTTTCCTCTCTCTCTTTTCATTTAGCTCAGCCTATATCACAAAAATTTGACAAGACAAGCTGAACTCTATTTAGTTTTTCAAAAAGAAGAAAAGTATCAAACTTCTACCTGGCTCATAACTCTTTGCATTCTCTCCTACTAATCCAGCTATGGCTGCTTTAGTGATTCTATATCCTTCTGGATGGCTCATACGACTAACGGACTGCCCCAAGTCCTCAAATTCATCATCATCTAGACTTCCATCAGCTGGAGGCAGTCTTACAGAACTAATAACAACAATAAAATCTTTTATTAGCTTCCTAGACATTTTACCAAAAGCTCTGTTGAAATACTTGTGGGTGGACAGAGATACCATATATAAATTGTTCTTCTCAGAATATTAAACTCAATCCCAGCAAAGAGTTGCACCCAAAAGACAAAGATATGAATATTATCATTAACTTGGAATATAAGTATAACTGCAATAAATTATGTGAATTGATATATACAGTGGATAGTCTGGAACTTTGAGTGTGATTTCAAGAACTATGCTTCAGTCGCACTTTCTAATGTGATTACATATATAATCACACTTTAATTAGTGTGAAAAAGTGTCATTTCAAGAGTCACACTTTCTGAGTGTGATCACATTTACATGTATAATCATACTTTTATTGTTATCAGGGGGAGGCCAAAGACCATCACACTTCCCATGTGAAGCATTTAGAAACCAGGCTTTAATGGCTGACACTTCGAAAAAGACCTTCAGAATGTTTTGTTACCTTTTTTTACAAAATGTGCACAACAATTTGTATGAGACACAAACACAGACCTTAAGACTAGTGAATACTTGGTATTGAGCTGGCCAACATTCCAAAGCATCAGGACATCACTTGACACAGTACATAACTGACGCCAGTTTGTTGGGTTGAATGACAGTCCAGTACACAAATGTCTTCCAACATCAATTGAGCATAGCTTTATCTTCTCAAACCAGTTCCTGAAGATGTTCAATATTTAATGATGATCAAATATTATAATATTTGCTGGAACTTATGTCCATATTATCTATCATTTTAAGAGGAAAGCAAAATTTGTATAAAGTAATCAAAATTTTTAATTCATATCTCTTCATGTTTTAGATTCACAATTTCAACTGAATCTCAATGACTTTTGAGACCAACTTTTCTAGAAGTTGAAGATTTACCATATCAAAGAATTTTTAAAACAGTTAGAGAAAAAAGTAGGTCCTAACAATGCTTACCAGTCGTTTCGCACCCATGAATCTTTCATTCCCAGACAATTCGTACCCAGGCTCAGATGTTTCGTATCCACTTTTGATCAGTTCATACCCAACCCTCTGGTTGATTCATACCCAATAAATTATGACACAAAATGTTTAAAACAAACATAAACATTTATTTCATTGGGTATGAATAGGTACAAATAAATTATTGTCTGAGTATGAAAGATCCATGGGAATGAAACAACTGGATACTCCAACAATTACAATTGTAAAAGTGAATTTTAAGGTGTAACAAATTTTAGTCACAACACAAAGAGCAAAATTACCCTTGGAAAAAAAAAATTTCAATACAGCTGAACTTCTCACCAGACAGTAAGTTGAAAATCTGGAATCCCTGAATGTGTTGCCAAAATGCTGCTATTATTGGCAAAAGCAATGCAGGAGTATTTCAACCTTGCACCACCTAAAGAATGAAAACATATCATATTTATTAAATTAGTTATAAATTGTGGCCTAAATAGGCCATTTCCAAATTAACTTTTGCCTCTTTTTAAAAATAAGGCCTGGTGCTCAACCATTCATATAAAAATTAGTTTAATTTGTATGTGAATAAAAACTTATAACCATGTGAAAGGATGAGCACCAGGACTCACTTTGAAAATAAGGACCAACCATATTTCAGAAATGACCTATTAACTTGAGTGTTGGTCTTAAGGCTCTGCTGAGTCAACAAAAAGATATTCAGTATCATGTTTTTATTTTTCCAACATTCTGAATAACTATCCCTGCTCTTTTCTCCTGCTCTCCTGTAATTCTTTAACTGTCTGTTCTTTCCTGAACCATTTCTAGGCCATTAAATTTTTTTTCAGGTTAAATTTGAGTCACAGGTCTGTTCATGAATTTTACATATGAGATTCTTAACACATGACTTGGGCCTTGTAATCCTTGACATGAGGTTTGAGCAGCTGTAATAGGTAACTATCAAGAAACAAAGTTTACCTTCAAGAACAGCTCGTGGTCTTGAAAAGTCAGGGAAAGTATAGATAAAAAGCTTGGGGTTAACTCTCAGTTCAGCAAAAGCAATGTTACTGGTGGAAGAGTTCACAGCAAATGCTCCAATTCCATCCCCAGGACTGGATAAAACTGACTCTCTCTTGTCTTTCGTATTTACAAATTTAATGTTGTTCCCACAGATAAAGCAGACAGTGTCCCTGTTGACAAACAATGCTGGGGAGCCATTATATCCCTGGGCCCACCTGGTAAACATAACGAACGAAAAAGGTTAAGTCATATTACTGCTGCATGATTAAATGCGTCGCAAAGACATATTTAAAACATAACCCTCCTTCTAAATGAAACACTTAACGCAAATTAAAAATAAAATGTCCCTAGCCTTGGAGATAAAAACGTCAGCTTTCTCCTGAAAAACGAGCACAAACAACAGTACATCCTATTTTGTAACAAAACCATCAAAAGCGATAACAATTTTCAGTGAACAATTTGAGCTAATCCCTTGCGTATTTTAAAGCTCGATCATGTAAATTGATCGATATGATACTTCTACTAAACTGTGTGACATGAGAAATTATATCAAACATCAACTTTTATGAGATCAGCTTGAACGAGGCTTCTGGCTCTGCAAACAGACATCAGAGACGTTGCGTGTTACTACCTTTTTGATTAACCCAAATGTCTGGATTCAATCATCAAATGGTATCAAGATATATAAATAATTCTTACCCGAGCTCAAGGGTTCCAAACTGATCCATTTTCAGAGTCAAAACAAGTAAACATCTAAACTTCAAGGGGCCCTGCTAAATTTCACCGCCATTGCTATTTTTTTCTATCGTTGCCATGGACGCAACTCCGCTGACCGATTTTTTATATCATGTCCTTAGCTCTTCACCAGTCTCCTTACTTGTTGAGAGTCAAGGTAAATCGAGGTAAATCGCGGTAAATCGCGGTAAATCGCTTTTTCGGATTTCAGTGGATGGACCCAATGAACTAGCATCCTTTTTTGCATTCACAGGCTTCTCGTAGAGTCTCGCTGACCCGCTCTGCCCACCCGAGGAAGATCTATAAGTGGCTGGGCACGAGAAATGTCTAGATAGCCAATCTACTTCACACTACTTTTGAGAAATGGACTCCTTGCAAAAACGAACGGCAAGTCTTCGAAAAAGGAACGGCGCTGAATTTCTACGTTAAAAACAACAACCGCTGTTGTCCTCGTAAGCAGACTGTCTACACTGACACACTGTCAGAACAAGTGAAATCCTTTTACTTCAAAAGATATTGGAGAAATAATTGACATCTTTTTCTTGAAAAACACCCTATGGGAACAGTGTCACGAAGGGCATGCGCAGCTATTCTCACCAATCCTGATGTTATTTTCACGCCACAAGGCATCTCTATTTTGTCAACAGTCTTTTAGTACACGAGTGGGTTTCAATTTTTTTATTTGTTTATAAAGTTTGACAAGCCAGAGAGAGTCTGTACAATTTTCACATGTAAGAAGGGAGACAAAGCGTTTGAAAAAAAATGTGATATTGTCTGGGATGATTTCGCTGTTAACATAAATGTCCAAAAGAGAGCGAGGAAGAAAACAAAAAACATATCGCAAGTTTCTCTAAACCCTTGATATCAGGAGTTTGTTTGTTATAACCTTAACTGAACTAAAAATACTACAGAAACGTCGAATGCTAAAGCTGACAAAGAGTAAACGACACAAGAACTGAAAACTGCGGGATGAAAAATAGAACTTACGAAAAAATGACTGAGACATCGCAGTTACTCCCCATTCAAAATACATTATTATCGATTCAAGGTGACTTAAGGCCACAGCAGTCCGTCGTTCACTTCATTTCTCGTTAATATCACTCTGCAGTGATGACTACATTACGCATTAACAGTAACAAAAAAGAATACATTCCACCAATAAGTTATAACATCACAACTACCTCGACTTACGAAAAACCCTTATGTACAAGTTAGTTTTACTGCCGTTAGCTCAAAATAACAATGAAAACCCTCGTAAAAAAAATTTTCACTGGAAAGCGAATCTTAACAGTTGAAGAACCAAATTGAAAATAAAGTATAAAAGTAATTTTCAAGGTATGGTCTGCGCACAGGAGACATCGATCCCACCAAGGATACAGAGAAAGAGAGAGCGAGAGAGAGATGTAGAGAAAATTCGCAACTTAACAAGAACTAGGGGCTAACGACATCATGTCGAGAATCATTCATACACGATTACAACAATTTTAGCTTAGTGTTAACACTAAACGTAGGTGGCTAAGAATACCGGTGTACTGACAAACATGGTCTCTTTCGTAGCCGTCTTTTGGGATGCCACGGAACAGGGCAACGCTAGGTTACATGCAAAAGAACGGCTTCGAGGGAGACCGTGACAAACAAGACCCCTTTTTAAACAAGAATGTTCTCCCTTTGTTAGTAGAGTTCACTGATTAATTGTCTGGCTCGTTATTGCTTTCTTAGGAGCAGGAAAGCTAAGATTTCACCAATCCCCCGTCACCTTCGCTGACAAAGCGCTTTCGTCCTCTGCAACACAAAGGAAAACACACTACTTAGAAACAAAGAAGAAACCACACAATATGTATATCTTACCGATAAAAAGGATTGAACAAGACTACAACCATTAGGGGAACCGTGGACAATTTTCTGTTACACCGAGGAAAGGTAACTGGTCATAATTTCAACAAAGGGGTACGTTTTTTGAAGAAACTGTGGAGCTGCGTCAGTGGGAGAGTATAACAAGGTAATTTGGTATTATCAACTAAGTTGATAGCTTAAATTGGCCACCGTAAAGAGTTTCAAAGTTTACGTTTCGAGCGTTAGCCCTCCATCGCTCTGATCTCAGCTCTAAAACTCTTTACGGTGGCCAATTTACGTTATCAACTCAGTTGATGATACCAGATTATTAGTCATAACTTCAGCCTAGCTTGCCTTGAATTTACCGGAATGTTATAGCGAAAAAGGGAAAAAAAGAGGTTTGCATCCAGGTGATGGTTGAGTGACACTAATCTTGGTCCAGCGGCAAAAGGCAAAAATAATTTTCTAAAACTTTACCCATTATTACAGAGAGTATTTTAGCATATGTAGAAGTTTAAACTAGTAAATTGAGAATAAGTATTTCCTGGTAATAAAATGTGCTGAATTAATTCTTTTAAAACTAATTCGGCAAATGAGGAAGACTTCTCCCAATCATTGTTTGAGGCTCGAGACTGAATCTACGGTTAAATAGTAGTAGGCATACGCGGAGCCATTACTATTAGTATTGGTGAAACCTTGCACGTACACATACCTGGAAGGGACTTTCATAGTAAAGGAGATTGGAATGATTCCATCGCGGGCACACATGTCGGTGAACTTTTCCAGGAGTGTATGAGCATGTGGAATATCCAGTTGGATATCGGAAAAAGAGTCAAACACACGTTGAAAACCCTGTTAAATAAAGCAGAGAAAAAAAACAGTCTTCAATGAAACAAACCTTTTAACATTCCAGAGACTAGGGGTACCACACGATTTTAGTTTTTCAACTTTCTTCGCCCAAACAACCAACTTACATTCTTAATTTGGTCCGGTTTGACAATGTTAGTGTTTGAGAAGAACTGTAATAAATTCTTCATGAGGGTCATCACTCGATCATGCTCATCTTCCAAAGTCATAATGATTGCCTGTTGACAGATAATAACAACAACAACAACAACAAAGTCAGACCTGGTGCAGATGAGGAATGATCCAAATCTAATGCCTTATCACACCAAAACTTACGCGTGTTTTAAAGATGTTATGTTAAACACGTTTTAAAATTGTAATCTACATTGAAACTGCTTCAACCGATATTTGTCGACTTCAAATTTAGCTCAGTGAGAAAAAAAAGTTAGTGAATAATTGAAACCTATGGAAAACTCAGGTGACATTGCCATCCTTGAGAAAACGAGATGCTTGTGACATGAACCTTCAGTTTAATATCTTCAGCAGAGCATTGGGAATATTCATTTAAAGTTTAAGGTTGGATAAATAAGGGCATGTTTCGGAGCTCAGTTATCAATAGTGACCATCATACCTCATAAACCAGCTCATGATAGAAATGTGGCACTTCCAACTCCTGGACGCAACGACTTGCCTGGGAAAGGAAAAAAAGACAATCAACCATAACAATACTTCCTCTAACTCTTCCAGTTCTTACTCACGCCAAGGGAGATTTGTTTCCTTAATGGAGAAGGCATCCAAAACAAAATAGACAAGTAAAAAAAGAGGCTGCACCACTTGCTCTTCTACTGTTACTCTTCCAGTTGTTGTTAATGAACCAAAAAAAAAAAAAAAAAAAAAAAGGAGGCTGTTTGGTGTCACATTAAGCAAGTGCTTATCATTTTTGGGTCAAAATTGCCTTTTTTAAATGTATTTGGTTCTCATCTCAAAACAACCATCCAAAAAGATAACAACCATTTATCACTTGGAAAATCATTAATTTGTTTAAGTACTGAAAACTTTACTTACTTCTTCAATATCTTCTGAAGACAAATACTCTTTCAGCAACAAAACCATCTGCAAACAAAAACTACACATAAGAGAGTTGACTCTTACAGGATGGGTTACAATCCCATGGCTATCAAAGCTAATTCCCTCACAACGCTGACACACCTCAGCTAATGGTTCATGAACTGGAGAACTGCAAAGACAAATGTACCGCACAAACCATTTGCAACAACTAAAGGTTACTTTTGGTTGATAAAATGCATTGAATTTGCCTGCAATTTAATTGTTTGTGAGTGAAACCCTGACCTATCTAAATGTAAAGCTTCTTTTTTATAAATTTTGCAAAGATCATTTTCATCAACATTATTCACTCAAGGTCTCTTGAACTCTGCTAATTAAACAAACCTTTTTCACAAGATACTTGACTGGGCGTCTTCCTCCAGCCACACCCCACACACTATCCAATCGTACCATCCCATGTTTCATTTTCAGCAGCACACCTGCTTCAGTCAAGGCTTTGCTGTCAAAATAGTGAACAAACAGGTTATTTTCTTGAACATGTTATCAGCTACAAAATGAAACAGGCAGTAAACTATCAATAGAAAATTGTACTTACGCTTGATTGGAATTAGGAGGAGCATCTCCCAAATTACTAACAAAAGCTGGTGGCAAACAGTCATCAGCAATAGCACGAGCAATGAACTTTCCCACCATCTTGGAAAAGCAAAAAACTCTAGTTTAGTGCAAACAATCTTTGAATAGCATCATACAAGGTTGTTGAAAAAAGAGAAAGAATTGGACTTGTAATCATAGTGGCCCATATGGCTAACTGAGCCTGTACTTATCAGTAACATCTAAGTTAAAGTTACCTCTGGAGCATCAGGGGTGTCCAAACTCAGATCATCAAGGTCATCTAACAGCTGCTGGAACCCTGGAATCACAAACATAGGACAATAACATTATCAAAAAGAGCACAGAAAAAATTAAGAAGTGAAACATGCATTTGAATAAGCCCACTTTAATTAGCAAGATTAACTTCTATTGCTAAATCTCTCCCCCAAAAAGTGCTGTTGGCCAGCCTTTATACTTCTGTATTTTTGGGAACTCTTTTTTTAAGCAAACTGTTGGGTATTTGCTTTTTGTTTATGGCTTCTTGCCCTGCCAAAAAACCTTCTTATGCCACTTTAATAAGGACTGGACTAAATGCTTCATATTCAATACTTGCCATGAAGATAAAGAATTACCAATATGTCCCAAAACTCAGTATCAAAACAACAGCACCAGGAGATCAGAATAAAATATAATGGTGAGGCACTTCCATTTATGATCTCCACATGCAACACAATGCATCTGGCTCTTGTAAAACTTCATTTCCTTTTCCGATGGTGTGTCACTGCCCTTGTTCCAATATTGCCTTCTCCTCATCAGCCACAATGAACATCTTACATAAGTAATGGTACTGACCACTAACTTACCTTGTGCTATGTCGTCTTGGCTGAGATGCTTGCCATACAAGTCTGAGATGAGAACTGATGCCATTTCTCTCTGAGTTGCCTGTAAGTAAGAAATTTGTGAAGATCATACCACATAAGTTCACCAGCTTTTCAATCTAGTGAAAACACTCTGTATATATGGTAACTGGAAAAGCAATCTTTGACCAATTAATTGTGGTTTATAGATGTAAACTGTTAAATAATTATTGTTATCAGAAAGAGCCTTAAAAAGTCAGTGATTTATAACTGAACATATTCACATGCTTACCACAGAAAGCAACCTTAACTCCAGTGAGATAAGGGAAGGCTAGAAGGAAGATCCCAGAAATTCTGAGGTGGGGAGTTGTTATCAGAATTGTGCTATTAAAAGATGCAAGTTTAATGCTGAAACAACCTAATTCAACACACAATCATGTTGTCATCGAAAACACTTTTTTCCTCTCTTGAAAGAAATTTGAAATCAAGCTGCGTACAACTTGTTATCATTATACTAAAAGTATCACAATGTTGGACAGAAATAAAATAGTGACAAGCCTTGTTCAGTTCTGGCATTTAATCATATCTTTTGTCTGTTTATGAAAGAGTGGTTTGTTTTTTCTAGTAATAAAAATGGAATAATGATTTCAGAGCAAGAAGATCAACTCTTTTTGTATCACATATTTATCAATAACTGACAATGTTACATACAACATTTCTCCTAGAAATAATTATTATTATGACTGAAAATAATAAAAATAAAAGTAGTAAAAACAATAGTCGGTAAATAAAAATTATCATGTAAGATAGCATCTCCCACTCTTGAGTACATTTTAAACAACATTTACCTTTTTCTCCAGTGCAAGACTGACAGCAAAGGCAGGAACCTGTATTTTAGAAAACAGGCTTATTTAATAAATATATCTCGGTTTCCTAAATGGCCATAAACTAAAACAAAAAGAGAGGCAGGAACCTTTACCTTACAGTGGTATTTGGAGATAAAATATATTAAGTAATTACAAATTTCCTCAAAACAATAATATAATAACAGAGGTTATAATGAAAAAGGGACGACATTCCATCAGTTAGTATTTGTTATGACACAAATCATCTTAATTATAACCATAATAACAACAATAACAACAAAAACAACAACACATTACACAGAGATTATGGAAAAAGTCTGAGATGGTTAGGTCTACCTTGTACTTCCTTGAAGATATGTTAAGTTCCTCCAGGGAGAGCTGTTTAAGGAGTCATATTAATACATGATTAATCTTTCACTCACTCCCTAAAAAAGACTATTAACCTCTCACAGTCAGGAAAAAAGCTTCACATAAGACAAAAAACCCCCCCAAAAGAAAACCATGTGTGATAATTACTCAAGGCACAATCATTAACATTACAATAAAACCTTATTTGTTCTTCCATGTTTTAATCAACAAATTGCCTTTCAGTGCCACCACTACTTTTCTTAATTATGAAAAAAACAATTATGTGCAATGATTTGTAAACACTAAATATTACAAATGATAAACAGACTTGGGCATCAAGCGACTTTCTTCAGTGACAAAAAACAAAAACATCAATTTGCTAAACCAAACTTTAGAAACCAAATCAGTTATTTTTCCTATCATAAATACTAAAAAATGGAAGATATTTTGGTCTCCCTAATGACAAACTGTAATAGTTTATCCTTGCAACAAACTCAAATTGTATTTGACTTTGGCAAAACCAAGTGCAGCAAAAATTGAAACACCTTAACTCATGTCCCATTTATTTTTCTGAAAAACATTATCAACCATGTGAATTTGATCGTTGTCATGTAGGCATTGCCAATTGACTCACCAAGACATCCTCTGTGTCTCCATGCTCAAAATATTCCTGAAAAACAAATAAACAAACAAGTTTATCCAACAGATATTCAACATCCATTTTTATTTTTTCTTTCTGTGAGAGACATAGTAACCTGTCAATTAGTGCAATGAACTCTGGGTTGTGTTGTCCGAGTTTGAAACCTAACTGATCCATTGTATTGTTCCCTTGGGCACAGCACTTTAATCTTACCGTGCCTCTCTCCTACTAGAAGTATACATGGACTATGGAGAGGCTTTAAGAAGGCCTGAAGAAATGCCAAACCTAGTCACACCCCAAGTTCAAATCCAAGTAGTATGCTTAATTATGACAAACAAACATACATGCAATGAGTTGATTAGTAAGACATTAAAAGTATTATTTGAATATATTTATTCCTTTTGGCAACCCTAAGGTCTTCTATCCTTGAAATTGTGGTGTGAATCCCAAAATGTATGGCTTTAAATGAAGAAGAAGTCTCCATGATTTTCTGATTAATAACAATGAGTGTATTCTTACATTTTTTAATTCTAACATTTCACAGATATTAGATGGATAACTCCTTAAAGAAAGTGAAAGCTTTTTTAGGACTACCTCTTCTATGTTGATGAAATCATTAATTACCTGCACAATCGGTGTGATGTTTTTGCTAAACTCTTCCTCAGTAAGCTCTGGTTTGCACTCCTTTATATCAAAAGGCTCCTACAAGATATATATACTTCATCATATCCATAAGCTCTAACACAAATATAAACTCAATCAAGGTAATATACTCTTGAAATGATTCATGAGCATGCTGCTAAGAATACTGCTGATGTTAGCTGGTGGTCAAAAAAATGAACACGTTCAAGACATATCCATTGTGAAAACACGTATAAGAAGAAAGTTCTTTATTGACAAACACTTTTGACGACAGAAAACTTATGTTTGTGATTCTCAAAAGATAAAAAACTATACTGACAACGAAATACATATTATGACATAAAGAGCTGACACCCACATCCTCATCTTCCTCTGATTCATAATTTGGATCATGTTGGTCTCTGATCTTCATATCTTCATCAGTCAGTACTTCACCAATGGCTCCCCAAGTACCCTTTCCCCCTGCTCCACCTGCAGAAATTCAAATGAATGACTATTCCCAACTGATAGGATTTGCACATGATTACTAATCTAGGGTAAAAATGGAAATAAACTTTCATCTTTCATCTTTCATCTTTCACCCTCTACCACTCAGCAGAATTCATTCACACTTTTTTTGCAAGAAAAATATCAAGTTAAAAACTTTTTTCCAGATATTTTTAAATCACTACAATCCCATTTTCCAGATTTAAGTCATAAGTTATAAGTCACGTTACACAGCGTAACCTAAAATGCACCAAATCAAATGATTCCAATCTTTTGAAGTGAAATGTTCACGTATTAATTTATTTTGGCAAAGTAAATTTATTATGCATTTTGACAAAAGTTTTCTCCTCTTTTGAAAAGGTTGTCTTCACCATGTGCAGTCATTGTCCCATAATGATACCAATTTACATCTTCACAAGCAAAGAACCTCATGGTAACCAAGGTGAACAAAATGTAAATTTTATTTTTAAAGATAGCTTTTCTTTTTAAGACCATTAACTAACGGTTTGGTTCAGCTTTTTTTTTGTCTTTGTCTGCTTGTGGATATGAATTTATCACACCTGAAGACAAAATTTCAGTCCATGCTCCACCATGCAATATTCCATGTGTAATAGGTTTCAATGGTAATGACATCCAGTGTGGATTTAAACTTAGGTCACTCGTACATAAAAAAATATCAAGGGTTGCCCAGCTTTTAAAATGTGGCAGAACCAAAGAGAGAAATTATGCAGGCAACATTGTTTTGTTACCCAAACAGCAGTTGAGGAGATGAATTTGCATGCCAATAAGGCTTGAGGGCAATTATGTGATTGCAAACCTTTCCATCAGGTAACTTTTAGACATCCTCTTCTGATGAAAATAATCTTTTAAAAGAAGTAAAATACATAGAAAAATTTCCCTCTAAACCACTAAGATTCTAGGTGAACTGTGAACTGTTAAATGTTCCAGGTAATTGAGGTGAGAAACCTCACTTTGTATCATAAAACGTGCAAACCAATCAGGTTGTCTTCCTTCCTTTATTGTTATTAAACCCCCATTTACAAATGACAATTAAAAATTTCTTCCCCTTGAGACTTTTCATAATCCAAAAACACAACATCCAGAGCAAGTTTCGGTAGAGATTTGGCTACATTGCGACAGTCAAACTGTGTAACATTTCAATTGTAGATTCTCTTTATAGAGCTGAATACACAAGTTGATAAGGGTAGATTCAGCTGTAAACAACTTGAAAAGGTTTCGACTTCGCTACGAAACAGTATAGAAAAGGAAACTTATCTACAGCCGTTCGAATTTTACCCTTAATTCACACGAAAGATTTGCCTTTTCGTACACATACGCTGGAAAACCTGTGAACCATATCAGCTATGAAATCAATCCATCTTGCTTTGTTTACAAATTTCCAATCGAATAAGTTATCCAATATCTCGTATCTCTGACCTCGAGAAATACTCCATAGTGATATGACGATCAGTATTAGCGATACTTGTATTGCACGAAAGGTTTTAAATTATTTGCAAGCTTATGGTAATCCTTCAAACAAAGGCACCCTTTCTCAGTAAAGAGCCATTCCATGCGTTCAGGAATAAGGTAGTCACACTTCCCTCATACGCCAAAATTTATCCGACATATACATAAACAGAAGTCACCAAAAAATTTTAGCTTTAGGTACAGCACTATCTTAAGCTGGCAGAGTTTAAAGAGAAACAAACCAACTTTTGGCAACACAACACAACACATTGAAGGATTACAGCTCATTAGCACAAAAGCATTTCAAATTCAAAACACAATATTGTACAGTTGTACACAAGCATGATTGTACGCCCGCAAAAATTTGCAACACCGTTGGTGCTCAACTCTCATAATGACTCTGAGACTTTTTTAAATTTATGTTGTGCACGTCGGGAACAAAAGTAACGCTGCATTTGGCAGTGATAAATGAACGAACGCAGGTCTAGGTAAAGTAAAATTACCACTCAGGGCCGCGTGGCATCCACGATCAACCTCACCGTATTCAATATTCATGAGCCAATAGTGTTTTGATACGAAACCATGGGTTGTTCAGAGATTTGTGAACCATGTCAAACACAAGTGCATATGCACGGAAATTTCAAAACAAATGGCAGTGCTGTTTCGCGCTAAAAATAATCCAAGCTGATTCTATAGAAAATGATACACTGGCTTACCTTTCTTTGGTAGACCTCGGCGACCGCTCCGGGATTTTCTATCGTGGTGTTTGTCTTTGGGGGCTTTCACGAATAACGAAGACTCTTCGCCATTTTGCGTCCCGTTAAAACCATTCTTTAGGCCTGCTTTGACACCGTCAATCACCACTCGCCTTCCATTGTTCTGTGGAGCCTCTTTCGCATCTTCAACAGCTGAGGTCGACTTGCTTCGAACACGCATCTTCTTCGTGGAGGCTGTTGGAATTGTGGTTACACCGCCGGAGGAAGGGGAACTGGCCATTTTCACCGTTCCAGAGCGAGAGGGAAAAAGTTTAGCATAGAACTCTTTGCAGAAAAGCCTTGCTGGCAATCTCTGCTAGCGCGGGCCGCGAAAGACAAAGCTAGAAGGTTAGGTCGTCTACGAGTGTAAGTGGTGCGTAAGAGAAAACCTGCTTCTGCTTTTGGAAAAGTTTGTTGTTTTTAATCACAGCGAGGTCAGCTGACATAAATTCGCCTTCTGATTGGTTCGTAGAGAATAATCAGGAAAGGTACGGTGGGGGAGGGGGCCTAGGTTGTTTATAAGGAAGACGAGGGTATAGGTGTACTCAATTTTCGTGTACTTTAGACCTTGCTCCGAATTCACGACCTACAACTTACTTTTTTATATTTTTCATCAAATTTTCTAGTATTCTAATCAACAATTATAAAAACATCGAGAAAATTTGCGAAAATTCTAGTCAGAAAAGGCACATAAGTCTTTATGTGACCTATATGTTCGTTCCGCTGCGGGAAAAATATATTTTTCAGCTGAAAGTATTTGTTCTGAGATTTCAGAAATTCTATCCATTTGAACCATTAGGATACAGGGCGATAAAGTTATCATGCATATATTGTTATGCGTTTAAGTTATTTTTTTATCTCAACAACGGCTTATTTGAGTTCAGGGTGAAAGCTACTAAAAACCATATTCAATTTCTGCTTTGAAATGTAATCAGTGAATTCTTGTCGATAAATTTCTTAGAGCCTCTTGCATTGTTGAGGTAATGTACTTGTCACGCGTTTTAGGCGTGACGATGAACTTGTCACGCAGCTCCTAAAGGCGTGGCATTTTAGCCACGTTCGCTAAATGTACGTGCCTGCACTCAACCGCAAAACCATAACAAAGCCTTCCAACGGTTTAATTTTGTAGGAAGAATTCTACAGAAAATCCAAGGTGCTTCCTTAAACCAGCTTGATAAGCGACTTAAATTCACAGAAATATTATCATATTTCAGACACTGGATTGATAAAAAGTGATGGATACAAATGGAAAACCTATCGCACAAACCACATCGAAGTTACCTTACCTACAAAGCTTGTCAAAATTTTTTCCTGAGCAAAGCAGAGATTGCTAGAATACCAGTCGATTCGTCTCAATAGAAACCCAAACCATTCAAAATGCCCGCAGATTTTCACCGCACAGGAATATGTAGTTCGTCGATTTGAATTTTTGTCGATCTCTATTCGTGAATTTGATCGGATGATGCGTCTGTTATTATTAGTATAACGATATGAACAAAATTGTAAACACTACACATCCCGTGTTCTCATTGGTCGACTCTTCGAAGGCTTTTGTCTGGTGTTTCATCAGCTTAGTCACGTGTTATTTGAAATAACAATGCGAGTCACGTCCCCAAAATAGTTCGTTTTTGCGATTAATTTGTCTCACCTGGCGCCATCCACCTCGATCTTTATTGGTTTTCAGTAGACTTACTGTGGTTTCTGAGTGAAAGTCTACAGATTCTCACTTTAAGTTTAAGATCAATGCCTCTTTGTAACAAGGTAACCTCTCGAAGCAAGGAGGTCACCTGTTGAGTTAATTTCAATACGTGACTTTTTACGCGTTTGATAATTTGTGTGCGCTTGAGCACGTCGGGACAAAAGTGCGACCAATACCTATTCAAGATCACCGCATATTCAAACAGATGAATATATCACTTAATATTTGGGCGCAAATGCGTTCCGTTTTAAATTTTTTTGTTTGTTTTTCAATTACTTGTTTTATTTATTAATTTTATTTTTCGTTAGCACAACTTATTTTGATGGCTGCCGCATAAAAACATCAATGGTCATCTATCATTGCATTGGAGTGTGTGACGCCCAAATTGTTTGGCAATTTTTGTAGGAACAACAGCACTTGTCAAAAGTAAACTGTGTTTGCAAGAGACATTAGTTAAGGAAACGTGTTGAGGGACATTGCTAAATGAAAAACTACAGGACAAAGAAACTCGTCGGTGACTGGTTTTAAAATTACATATTGCAAGTCACTAAGAGGGGGAGGGAAGGGGTGTTAAAATAAAATGTAATCTCAACTTCCAATACTGTGGGAGGAGGGGTGTGAAGTAGCCAGGGCTCGTTCTGCCGTATTGTGCACGGCAATTTTTTTAAGGAGCTTTTGGCGTTTGGAGCAACTTTTTGCAACCTCGAGCAATTTTTGCCACTCTGAGCAATTTTCAAGCAAAATTTAGGTTAGACCACATATCAAGCACGAAGAAGTCAACAATTTAATACTGAGAAAACTCTACTCCATGCGAACTTCTTGAATGTTTATCAACCTTTTTTAAGTCAAAACCTGTCAGGTGACAAAGTTTTGCGGCCCTATTTCGATCCATACCAGGAGCGATGGGCTCCTGTCCTTATCCGAAAGACCAGTCCCTTTGTACAAATGGTGGGGTGAACTTACTTCATTGTACTAAATGCGGGATAACTTCCGACAGTGAAAGGCCTCTTGGCTTGATAAAGTATAAAATGACTTTTTCTCTACCAATTTTATTTTGTTTTGAGCACAAGAATCACCCAAAAAATGTAATCAGTCTTGAAGTCTAGGTATGGCCAGTGGAGGAGTCATATCTTCTTTGAGACAAAGGTTAATCAGATAGATCTTTTCAAATATCTGTCTGACAACTGTTCCTTTCACCAGTTTTCCTCGGCAGTGTTCAGGGAAATTTTGACATAAACTCTTAACTGACCCTTAAGACTGTCTTACTCCTAATTATATCTCTCGCTCCTTACAGAATCACCCGAGCTTGAATAAAACTGCATAAAAGGTCAAAAGAATAAAATGAATTATCTCTAATTTAAAAAGCTCCTGATTGTCAAACAAATTCTCCTTGTCAGAACCATAGGAATTTGAAAAGGACAGTGAGGAGAATATAAATACTTATGTTAGGAACGTGATAGGAAGCACATCTTTGACGTAGTTCTAGAAATAACAAATTGGGGTACTGACTGATTGATTAAAGGGACGATTTGACGTTTGTTTCATTCCCGCACACACGGACTTGCTACAAAACTTCCTTTGGTGCATAATAGCGACAAAACAATTTTTTGCAACCATACGAATGCTACAACTCTTGTATAGCTTTCTCCGTTGTAGTTTTCCCAGCCGCTTTAAATAATGTTCTGCAACAGACTCCCATGTTGTGCGTGCAAATATGCACGCGCCGAATAATTAGTGAAACGAAACGAAACGAAATGAAAAGGAAATCTATTTTGTGTTCTTTGCGTGCCTGAAATCATTTTCACAAGCAGTTTAGGACTAGGATAATTATGAGATAAAACCCCATTGACGGTGTGCGAGGAAATTAATGCGTTCTTCGAGAACTTCTTGGGTGAAACAAAACTTGCCAGAGTAAACCCTTCATTTCGGACACCATTCAGTGGACACAAGCTCCATTCGCAACTTACAGAATGTTCTGATTATCATTTCCTCAACAAATGTTACCTAAATTGAATGGATTGCTACTCAATACAACTTTTCAGTTCGGGGGGCCTTCATCTGTTAGAAAGATGTTGTTCTGATTAGCTTACAAAAGGTGACAGTTGCCAGGCTAGGCTGTCAATTTCAGTTGACCATCGTCACCATATCACACTGCCCTAACAAATCACTTTAAGCTACATAAAACAGATCTCGCATACTAAGTATGTACCTTTGAGGTGTTCACGCATTTCAAAATGAGTTTCTACCTTAAATTTTACCTTCTCTTGCGGCTAAGATCGGGCAAAACAAAAAACAAAATAATTTGGTTTTATTAACTGATTTGACAATGTAAATTAGCCATCGGAAAGAGTTTCTGAAAGCTGAAGTTTCGAAAGTTAGCCCTTCGACATCGCTCTGAGGAAGAGCTAACGCTTGAAACGTCAGCTTTGAAACTCTAAACTATGGCCAATTTACATTATCAACTTTGTTGATAAGACTAAATTATCTTTTTATACCACCCCTCCCCCCAACGCAGCACCTTAGTTCTCTAGAAACTTACCCCCCCTTAAAAAAAAAGAAAAAAATGGCGATATAAAAATTATAGTTAACTTACTGAAATTAAAACTTAACTTAGGAAGGGATCTACAGAGAAAATTACCTTTGAGGACTGTTACATAACAATAAGATAAAACAGAGAGTTTGGAGGAGAAAGGTCGTACCCAAGGTACCCCCCTCAGAGAGCTACGTGCTTCTGAAACAAGTTGCCTGATTATAAATTCGTTGCAGATGATGAAACCAGAAGAGGTGTCAAACGAGCTAAAGACTCGTTTTTCTGATCGGGAATTCGACTTGAAATTAACCAAAAACAAGCTTGAGAAGAATCGAAAATAAAAAGATGCAATTTCCCGGAAATCCCTGTACGGACCTCAATTTTGACCAAATCAATTTACTTTCTATTTTATCGAGCGGATTAAAGTAATTGAAATAGCACTGACCGTGAGATAATGGAGTATAACTACTAAAAGTTTTAATTACTGTTTCCTTACTCGGAACTGGTTAGCTCAAACCTCATAATATCAAGCCAAACTTTGATAATTATTCGATTTAAAAAAACGCATTTATAGTTCGCAGTCAGAACAAATGAAAATCAAGTCTTTATCTCGTAGCTAAATTAAAAATCTTCAATATAAACTTACTTCTGTGGCGGGTCGTTACAATAGTCTCACTTTACAGGTTACCAGATTCACCAGGTAAGTGGATTCAGAGACAGAAAAATAATAACAAAATAACTTCTTTGTCGCTTCGATTCTGCTGAAAAAATGATCTGAATCATAATAAACTAACGCTTTTAGATCGATGTATTGAATTAACGTCAATCACGATTCTTGTCATCGAATAAATCTGTCATTAAGAGGCGACGCCTACTTGATAAACGAAACATTTACCGTAGAAACTGAAGATCTGTTTTTGTGTCAAGTTCATAAGAAGAGAGTAGGCAGCTTAATTAAAATTAAAAGCCCACTTCACGAAAACGTTTTTGAAACGCTCTGAGCCTTTGATGGTGTTTTCAGTCTTGCTCATTTGTTTCACTTCTTCAATTAATTCATTTTTCACTGCTTCGAAATGAGACACTACTGTTTCAAAAAGACGACTGGAAACAAAATAATTTTTTCGCTGTCGATAAGCGACCTAGGAACCAATAAACTCTAAGTAACATTTCCCGAGGCAATTACCAAATTAATGAAAAATACGACCCGTCTCAGCCAATCAGCATTTATAAATTGTCCCCCCATGATATAACTGTAGCAACTGAACATCTGTGTGTAACTTAATCAAAATTAATATTTTGCAAAGTTAAACACGCTTTCTCTTGCAATAAAAAAAAGATAAGTAACGGGCTCCTGATAACACTTACTGTAATTGTGAAGTATGACTGCTAAGGAAATAAGAGACAGTCAACCAGCTTATATTTTTGCTGAATGGCTTATGCTATTAAGTTATATCCATTTCTTTTTCCCAACACTTAAATAAGTTAAAAACGACAGAAAATTCTTGCTAGAGTAACACTATTTTCGACTCCCTTTTTCCTGAGGACGGCCATCTTTTCTTTAAATGAAATTCATTCGCCGCCCTTTTTTTTTAAAACAAAAACAAAAAAGGAGGAAGTCTTTCTACCACCTTCTTTCATTGTCTAAAACGAAGCGTTCCGTTTCTCATCAAAATTTGTGTTTGCGATTTGTCTATGAAGCCGTGCCGTGCCGACCTTATTGATTATCAGGCGTTGAATGCGTGACACTTTTACATAACTTACTTATCCTACAGTGACCAAAGAGGTACGCAGCATCAGCGTAGCAAATCAAATCAAATCAGGGAAAATTTTTAATTTTTGGCAAAAGGCCATACTCGTTTGGGAAATGGAAGACTGATGGAGGCATCATTAGGGTTTTCTTGACACGAAAAGCAAGGAGCAGATCGCGGGAAATTCTGCTTCAGCATAAACGACGTACTCACATAGCATACTATCCCCAGATCCTCGCTCCGGCGTTGGCATCGAAAACATCAACAATGTCAACTTAGTGGCTTCAGTGGTTGGCGTCTGTCTTTCGATAGCCAACGAAGGCAATTCAGTGAACCTCTTATCAAATTTTGAAGATGGAATTAACATAGTTAAAGGGATGTCTGCCAAACTGCTGTCTTCTCTTGTTCAGACGAAGTCAATCGAGTTCGTTTTGGCGCCAATTGCCTCTCAGGTTGGTTAATTTGTTGATCGAAGATGATTTGCATGCTGGATTAATTCCTGGGAGAAGTATAATTTTGATTTTTTCAAATCGACTGCGCTTCTTACAATGTACAGTAAGTATAACCCACCATGCTTCGTGGAATATTCTTCTTCTGACTCCATGAATTAGATTGCGGAGGTCACGGAAGTGGCTGAAAGGAAATTGTTCAGGAAAACTGATTTCTAATTCCATTGGAAACATTATTCGCGTTACTTTATCCGCTGCAAGCAATGACTTATTTAGAGATTCTTGCGAAGCGATTTGCTGTAGAAGCTAAGCAGTATGATTCCGGTATGGTAGTAGAATGAATGTCTTATTAGTGACTTTTTAACTCTGTTAGGAATATGGTATGGTTTAAAATGAATTTGAGGCGAGAATGGTATTAAATTAACCTTAGTACTTTGATTTGCTCTTTGTATTTTGCCTCTGGTACAAATAAAATTTTGTATTTTGGCATACTGGCTCATTTAGCTGGAGCTTATTCCAGTTTCCATGGAGCATGAAGCAGCAAGGAGTATCACTACTCCCTCCTGGATGGGATGCTAGTTTATCACAAAGTTATCCCCTAGCATTTCATCAGGCTTCCCTGCCAGTTCCCAATTATACCTCCTGGGTGGAGAGAGGCATGGGGAGAGTAAAGTGTCTCACTAAAGAACACAACACATTGACCCAGCCAGGCCTTGAACCCAGACCTCTTGACCAGGAGCACAATGCACTGACCATTAAGCCATTGGGTCTCCCTACTGGTACATGTGCTTCATCCTTAACCCTTTACACCCTAACATCAGTACACATATTCTCCATACTGTTCTTTACACATTTCCTAAGGTACCAACAAGGATAATTTTTTTAACAATCCAGAGCTTTTTTAGTTGTTGATGATTTCCTTTATTCTCGTGACCTAAATGTGTGACTCAAGGGTGATACTGTGATGAGTAAGTAGATGCTAGTCACTCTCAGGGATCAAAGGGTTAAACTAAGAAAAATAGATATCCTACAAAGTTTCAACATGATTAAGTTAACAACATACTAAACAATGTAACACATCAGGGAGTGTCTGGTAAAGGTAAAAACTGTATGAACAGTCCCCTCTAATAACAGCAATAAACCTGTGCTCAAAAGTTATGTATAAAAGAGAGTAACCAAAAATAACACAGGGGAGATTGTAAGGGACAGCAGCAAAACAGCAATGGTACAGGAATGAGCAGCATAAGGTGAAAAATGCACAAGTCAAGGAAGAAACTGGTGCCAACCTTCTCTTCCTTCCTGTGCTAATTACAGTGCAAATTAATCATTAAGCATTATTTTCTGTATAAAACAGGAAGGGTTACTATTTGTATTAGATGCATTATTCTTAATAATCTTCAGGTGTCTCAGGTGATTTTGTTGAATGAGGCAGCACAAAGGGATGGTGTTCCTTTGCCAGACTTGGTTTCCAGTGCCCAGCAGATCAGGGAGGCCATCAAGAGCCTTGTACTGGCTGCTCAAGCATTGGTCTCTGAAACAACAGATGATGTAAGTTGTATATTGAACAGGCCTTCTGAAAAGATACATTCATTTTTTTCTTTTCAATATCTGTAGGTAGCTTAGTAATACTCCAGTCTTCAGAGATTCTTTTTATAAATGTTATGTTTTGAAAACTGAATTAGCACAGATCAGAGAGAAAAATTGTAGTAAATGTGTTCTTATGATGATGGGAAGTGAGGTTAGAAAATCAATTTTTGGTAACTTTGAGCTCTTGGAAAAAATGAGCACTGTATTAGTGATTGTGTCATGGTCACTTAGGTGCAAACCTTTAAATTTTAACTGATCAGGCAAATAGGGAATCCAATAAGTAATGTTTGCCAAATGTAACATTAAGAACTTTGTTAGAAGTTTGAACTTGTGCACTTGGTTGCTTAATTCCCATTGAAATACAAAACATTATTCCCGTAATTTCCGGTCGATTACCCGCGGGTAATCTGTTGATTTTGCATTAAATCCGCGCCACTGCGGGTAATAGGGAGGTGCGGGTTATGTGACAATTTTAAATTCTTCTGGAAGTTGAATTGAAAAAATTTCTCACCTACCTGCGTTTCCACCTCTCAAATGAATTTTATTGTATCAAAAGTGCCACAAAGCGGCACGAAAACATGATGCCAACTCGAGTTTATTTCACGCATAATTAGTTGCGTGACAAACAAATTTTTATCGGCACGCGTGAAAACAAAACCTTGATGGTGACAAAAATAATCCAAGGATATCCGGCGCATCAGTAACAAATTTCCAGTTTTCACTAGCTTGAGCTAAAGAGAATTTTCCCGTTTTAAGGGACTTGTTAGGCCTAGTAGAACAGGAGATATCGATTTTTTGAGAAATTGCCGACAGTTATTTTAAATCCCAAATGCATCACCAGAATGTTGAAAATAATAGGTGCGAAACTTAACTAATTTCGCGCTGAAAAAGTATTTTAACGACAAATGAACAATGGATATTGCTCATTACGCTCCTACATGCTATAAAAAGGTAACTGACTGAATAAGAATTATAAACCTCGATCATTCGCGATAAGTGTATCTACGAGTCACCAATTAAGTTAAAATGCCTGCTGTGAAACGCCCACGTCACAGTTTTACGTTTGATTATAAGCTTAGAGTAATAACTCTTGCCGATGAAATCGGTAATAGAGCAGCAGCAATAATCAATCAATAAAGTATAAGCTAATATTGACACAGAATTGTGCACATGTCTGAATCGAAAGACTGAAATGTATCGCCTTAATGTCACGTTTTCGCCACCGAAAAAGTTGAATAACAACGTGCGGGTTATCCACCGGTGCGGGTAATCCGTTGACTTTTTTTTTCGCCGTATGCAATAATCGGCCGGTGCGGGTAATCGGCCGTGCGGGTAATCGACCGGAAATTACGGTACCGGTATTATAGTGACAGATGGCAAAATTTCCGATCTGCATAAGACATATCTAGGGGGCCCAAGTTATCAGTCATGTTTTAAACCTCTAATTGGTGAAATTGATTTTAAAGTTTAAGTTAAAACAATGCAAAAAAGATTTTTGTAATGAGAGACTAGTTGTCAAGACTTGGTAAAATTTGCAATGGACCTCTAAGTGTTTATCAACTGTCTTAAGTTTGTTTATTCTAGAGATTGAAAGTTAGTCATAATTGGATGAATATTTGAATTGATATAGACTTGGTATGGATTAATGAATTGTCAATCTTGTCTCTGATATTACAGGATTTGAAAACAGAAATGCCTCCTGCATGTGATTCTGTAACACAAGCAGGGGATGCATTGTTGAAGGCAACACATCAGCTTAAACAGCAGCCATTCTCAAGCAAAGTGAGGTACAACCTGGTAGACTCTGCAAGAAATATCCTTGAAGGAACTATGAAGGTGAATTTAACATTTAACTTTATTTTTTACACGTTCACAAGACTCTGAATCAAAGAGTGACTGGAGTGAACCCTGATTGGGTCATTGCGTGGTGGCTTCTGACAAAACACTAATCTCTTACAGTGCCTCTCTCCATCAAGGAGTATGACTGCAAACTATAAGAAAAAGCTGGCTAAATGTCAGTGGATAACCCTGCGATGGATAATAAAACCTGTATGGATTAAATTGATGAACATTGCTCAAGAGTCTTAAAAGGATATCATGCAATAGTTTCAATATTGAATTTAATTACCATCCTTGTTAACCTGTACACTATATGTACACCAATGGTTTTATCACAGGTTTGCACAGTAGTGTAGTTTAGTAAGGTGTTTATAGTGTATCTTTTAATGTAAATCTTTCAAAACAGATCTTGCTTGTATATGATCAAGCTGAGGTGCGCAAGATTGTACAAGCAGCCCACTGGGTAATGGACAGACTTGCACTAGTAGAGGGTGTCACTTCCATGAGGAGCCTGGTCATTAATTTCAAGGTAATTACCAGTACTAGTAGTTATAGGAGTGCTATCACGATGAAGAACTAGGATTTTATAGAATAGTTTCAATACCTGTTCATGTGTGCCCACCTAATTTGGAAAGTATTTTAATATTGTGTATTATTTCTGAGTTTTAGGACTTCACAGAGTCTTTGATGCTCCTGGCAAGCATGTGCAACAAAAGGCAGAAAGTAGGTACCCTTCATATATACTGTAGTTACAAGTCTGAATCAATTTGAGAGAGAGTGTGACAGGGTTTGTTTGGTTTTTTTCTTCAGTCTATTTCTCCCCTATTGCTATGGATTTTTTTTTTTTTAAGAACAAAGGTGCTGTGAAAATATTTAACTTCCCTCTCTCAGTTTTTATAATATTGCACATTCAATAAAGAGGTCTTGCAATTATTTTTACTTATGAATAAAGGGGTAAGTTTCTAAAGAAACTGTGGTGCTGTGTCGGTGGGAGAGTATAGCAGGTAATTTAGTGTTAACAACTGGGTTGAAAACATAAATTAGCCACTGTAAAGGGTAAAAAAGCTGACGTTTCAAGCGTTAGCCCTTCGTCAGAGCGATTAGAGGAATTGTGGGTTGTGTGTGGATTTATATGCAGAAAGTGTGGCTATGCTATTGGTGGGAATATGGTGACGAGAAAACAGGAATAAATTAGTTAATGAAAAGCGCGCGTTGATTCCGTGGGGATTAAGGGTGCCGATTTGGAATATAAATTTTTGTTCTAGTGTTTTACGGCTTTCCGAACTGCCTAGATGTAAGGAAAGGCCGCAAACTGCCATATGCTGCTTAGAATGATTAGGAAGATTAAAAGTGTCTAGCGACTGGTTTGGATGCGTCCTTGTCATTTCTTTCCACATCGCAAAGGTGTTCTCGGAATCAGTCACCCAGTCGTCTTCCTGTTTCGCCGATGTATAACTTATTGCAATAAGTGCAAGTTATGCAGTAAATAACATTGGCGGAGGTATACGTAAAGTTATCAATGATCTTAATGAATTTTTTAGGTCCTGATATTTTCTCTACGTTGTGAATGAAAGGACAAGTTTTGCATCGTGAGCAAGCGCATTTAAAAGTTCCAGATTGGTCATTGGTTTGAAATGAACTCCTGACTAAAAAGTTGCCTATGTTTTTGTCACGTTTGAATGAAATAAGTGGGGGTTGCGAAAAGATAGTGCCAGTCTCTGAATCGTTTTGGAGTAATTTAAAATTTTTAAGAATGATAGATTTAACTGCGTGGTTGTGAGGGTGAAATGTAAGAGAAAATGGAATGCAGTCAGTATTTTCCTTCTCGGCCATTTGTAGTGCTGACTGTTGATCAGTTTGTTGGGTGCGGTGGTAGCCTGCTTGAACGACAGAAACAGGATAGCCATGTTTATCGAAAAACTGGCACATTGCCTCTGATTTTTTGGAAAAATCAGAGTCGTCACTACATAAATGACAAAGTTTTTACTTTTTTACTTATGTTCAGTTTTAGAAAACTTAAAGAAAATCTTTACACTGTGAGAAAGCATCAATTTGGTTGTCAGGTTGGCCAAGAGCCATATCAATTTTACCCAGGTCTGAGCTAAAAACTACTCTTCTCAGACAAGTGCACAGGCTAGATTTTGTGTCTTTGAATGATAAAGTCATAGTATGTGTACAATAGTGTTGTTTGTTATGTACTTAGGAGCTGAGTAACCCTCGTCACAGAGACAGACTCTTGTCAGCCATGATGGTTCTAAAGAAGTCTGTTGGACTGCTATCAGCATCCATGCAGACATATCTAATCAACACAGCCAATCTTCAAGCCAAGGTATCAAGAGAAGTTTTTTATAGATGGTGGAAATTTGGTCTATCAAACTTCTTTATAACATAATTAGATATCATCCAAAATTGAAAGATGACATTTTTGGACTCAATGACACAGGGATATTTTGAATCCTACAGGGTTACAGCCACCCAGGTAAATGATTTAGATCTAGGTTTCAGCTGCAAAAATGAGAAAGAGGGTTGTGAAGGAGAAATTTAGATATGGTGCTCATGAGCTTTATTTTAACACCAGCAAACTAGAAATTCCCTTTGGTTGAGAACACTTAATATAGAATATGATAATTATTTGATATACATTCTTTTAAATCATGTACACGTATCCATGGTAATAGTAAACCATTACATCTCAGATCTCTGCATTGGTGGTCAATTATTTCATTTAATTTGAGCTCTTTTAAATTTTTTTTTTTGATTTTAAAAAGTGTGGTGTTAAAACCAACAATGTCTCTGAACTGATATTTTTCTTTCTTTTGTTCTCCTTTATGCTGGAAAATATATCCATAATGAAGGAAAAATTCCCTTTTGGCCACCCCAAGGAGTGAGGTGGTTAAGATGTAAAATGTAGGGTATTCTCATCTGTTGGTAACATACTTGCTTAGCTTAACCCTTTAACTCCCAACATCTGATTGTTAATTCTCCCCTCTAGCTGCTACACATTTTCTTGCAAATCAGTTATGAGAATTTGCTGGTAGATCAAGACAACTTCTACCTGATAAGTTGGAGTTTCTCAATACCTGTTTGCAGGATAGTGTTTGAATATTATAGGAAGAAGTTCCATGTTAATAACCTGTGAGATTAGCCTGTAGATGTCCTTTGTTTGACTCTGGATGAGATACACAAAGCATGATGGATTTACTTCTCCTGGTTACAATACTCTCTTGGACTGTTTTTTTTTCTTCACTGTAGGCAAGCCGTGACTATGTGGTTGGTCAAATCATGTTGGCGTGTACTGAAATCATTAAAACTGTTGAGGCTCGGGATGATCTTGGTTGGAGTGTTGATGAACCTGGTTACATGGCTGCCACACTAGAAAAGGTATTTTTTTTGGTGACAGAACAGTCGAGAGACTGAGACAAAGACCCTTTTTGTTGCGAGGCTTTAAGTGAGCAATGAAAGGAAGATGGACCACAGTTGATGTCAATGTACATGTACTCTGACAGTGCTATTACTGAAACAGAATACGGGTGGTTACTAATTGAGTGAGAGTGCTTACTAGGGACGCTCAATAGGGGCGCTCTTGATTAAATCAACCAGTAATCCCCTAATTGATATCTGTCTTTATTCTCATCACTTGTCTCCCTGATATTGTATCGATATGGTAAGGAGAAATTCTGTCTTGGTCATTCGTTAGAGTTAAAGGGTAAACAGCCTGTGTGAGAAGTTAGATTTTAATTTAGTCAAAGGGTAACTTGGACAAAAGATAAGAATGTAGATTTGTCTTGTTTTCACTTCATTGTTGTTATTAGGTTGAAAAGTTTTAGTTTCGTGATGATTGAAACCAAGTTCTTAAGACTGATGCAAAGTTTTTGCTTGTTGTTTTGCCTTTTTTGGACAGGCTCATAAGCAGCTGTCTCCTCACAGTAGGCTGGAAGCTGGTAATGACCTTGACTCTTACCTGGATGCTATTGTCCGTAGTAGCATGGGTGTAGCCAACACTTGTGAAGGAGGAAGAAGGGATCGCATTGTGCAGGCTTGTCAGAGTGTGAGTGTTGTTAATTGGTAACTGTAATTAGTGACCTGGCCCCAGTTGTTCAAAAACTGGATAACACTATCCACTGGATAAATTGGTGGATAGCACAGTACATTTTTTTAACAGTTATCCACTGGATAGAGAAATATCTATTGGATAGTGTTATCCACTCTTTGAAAAATTGGGCCCTGTGGTATAAACCCTGTACATTTTGGTTACTACAACCTGAGCTTCAGTGAGGACCACTCTCACTTAGTCACTATTATGAAAATCAAAACTTATCCCTAAAATTATACAGTATTGTACTGTCTTAGGGTAAGAATATTTTAAGTTAGAGTCAGAAAACAGAGGATCTAAGCCTACAGTATGACTTTCAGAGCAGAACTATCAGAGACATGTGGTGGCTGTTTAGGCCATTGAAATGAGGTGTTGAAGTAATGCATTCCTGTCACCTTTAGGTAGTAGTTTACATAGAAAATGTAGGTTAGGGAATACAAATGCTTTACCCAGTATATGGACTATTATACCTTCCCACAGAAGATGTGATGGTTATACTTCTCAGTCTCTTCCTGCTAAGGAACAGCAACCTGGTTAAACTTGTGGCTTGAAATTCCTTTATTGACTCTAGCACATACTAGGCATGATTATAATTACATGAAAAACTTTCATCATGCTCCAACATGGGAGAGTGGTCATAGAATATACCTGAACAGTACATTAAATTGAAAATAGGTTTCAAATATGAAGTTCAAATGAAATGACTGTTTTTTCTCTCAAAAGTAATAAGTAAGTACGATTTCTGATGCAGTTTGGAAAAGATCAAGTATGCAATAGGTTTTCCAAATACCAAAAAATTTTCCAACCCTTTTTTTTTCAAAACTGGACTTAAAATAACTGTAATAAAAACAGATTTATACTTTCAGTATGTAAGGCTGTTAACTATAAAATCATCAGCCTAAAAAATATATGACAATATAATTATTCCATGTTCTTCAAGGTTCTCCAAATGAGAAATGAACTTGCAGAGCTGCAGAAAACCCTTTTAGCCAAGCCTTTGTCACAAAGAACAAGGTGAGTTAAGGATATTTTACAAGACCAAATTAGTGCTCATGTTGGTTTGGGTCTTCAAAACTAATACAACTTTTTAAAACTGATGCCAATTGATTGAAATATGTCTCTTATAAAAGAAGTAGCACAGAAAAGGTGTCAAAATTTTGAAATGAGAAATTAAATTGATGCTTCTTGTTCAAGTGCAAATGACATTTCTTCAAGATTTAGAGTATAAGTCTGTAAGGCAGAGCATGTTGGTAAAAATTCTCTCGATGTAAGGCTGAATGGAAGAATCTCACCAATTTGTGCATTCTGTACTCTAGGTTCAAACAATCTGATTATTTAAAAACATTTATTAATAAGTGGTTACCTTACTCTGATAATATCCTTAACCCTCACCCAGACAATTTGATGTCTATTTAGGTTTAGATTTTTGTATTTTTTATTCATATCAACAGGCTTTAATTTTTATTCAAATCAACAGGCATGAACTGGACCTAGCATCTGAAAGGTTATCAACTGAACTTAAAAGGCTTGACCGCCATGTTTCCACTGCTGTTGTTGATCACGTCACGACCGTATTTGCTGATGCTGAGCTCCCTGTACACAATATGATACAAGCAGCTACAGCGTCACTCTTGGTACATAAACTAATAGTGTATCTTTAGTTTAATATATAGTTTCAGCTTTTTTAATAGAAATGATAGACATGTATGCACTATTCGGTCCATTACACACCTGAAAAATTCATGGGGCCCTTCTGGTTCTTTAACCTTTTCAGTCCCAATATCTTATTACCAATTCTCCTTAATGTCTGCCATACAATTTGTATGATATTAGTGCAGAGAATTTGGTATTTGATCAACCAATAGTTCCCCAATTGACATTTTTTGTTATTATTCTCATCACTTGTCTGCTTGACATTGTATCAACATTGTAAGGAGACGTCCTGTCTCAGTCACACCAAGGAGTTAAAGAGTTAATTATGTGACAAAGTAGTTGTCTTGTTCTCTCTGAATTGCTGAGCTCTCATGTCAATAACCATGCATGTAGTTTCATCTCAGGTCGTGTTCCTAGGTTTGAACTTGTGAGTAGTCACCACTAAATTTTTAGCAACTGAGCATCCAAACCCTGTGCATTAAGTTTCTTTGCCTTTTTCAATAAGGTTCAGGACAACAACAATTCTCTATTGTGGCTCTGTAAAAATTTTAAAGTAACAGAAGTTACCGTACATCCAAAGGGTTAATTGTGCATCATGCATAACTTCTGTATGCAGGATATGAGTGTACAAAGTCAGGAACATGCAGTGAACCAGATTGAAAGGGAAAAGCTGAGGAATTCCAGAAACATGCCACAATGCTGGCAGAGGTAGCCAGACAGTCTGCAGCTATTTCAGCTGATGCAAGAAGTAAGCATTTTTTATAACATGATTACATTCTTTACATGAAAGCATGGAAGGTCTTCTATAAATTAAAGCTTAAACCTCTTAGTACCCTGTATGATGCTGTCCTGACCCAATGCTGCATAACTCTCACCCACCTTCCTTGCTGTTAGGGCTGCTATGCCTTTATCACCGTACATTGATTTGCTATAAGTTTGATTTGTATTGTGTTACATTAAACCATGATAAAGATGTTATTGTCCGATAAGTACTGGAATACCTCAGCTACATTAGTTAAAACAGTCTAGGGCTTGTCTGTGAAAATATGTCCTTGCTTCATAGTGCTTCTTCACTTGCAAAACTTACTAGAAACTAGAAACTTTCTTCAATTGTGTCGGCTGCTACACTTGCACATGTTACATTCTCTTGCATGCTTAAAATGAAGTAATTTTGATTGGGTATCTCACAAAAAAAAAATCCTAAGCAATGAGAGTGACCAGTTAGAGCAAAGGTAAATATTTCATGGAACCAACAAGAATGCAACCAAAGGATGAATGCTCAAAACTTCTCCTTTTGAAAATTTGTTACAATGGCAGACCTACATTATCAACTTTTAAATGATAACCAACCAATAGTCTACTTTCTCATCATTGCACCAAAACAGTTTCTTTGGAAGCTAATAAGCTTTCAGTGTCCAATTTTCTAGTTATTAGGTCACCTTCAGTAAATCCAGTGTATGCATAAGCATCACATCAACTTTTGAATTCATAGAGTTCCTGTTCATGATCTCTTATCGTTTTTTTTTTTTAACTTAAAAGGAGTACAAACTGTCAACAGCATGGCTGGTGACATAGAGCAACTTGCCCCACAATTGGTGTCTGCAGCTTTAAGAGTGAAGCAGACACCTACAGACACAACCTGCCCAGAACATCTTGGCCAGCTGAGAAGAGACTGGACAGCAAGGATTCATGCACTCACTTCTATGGTGGATGATATAACAGACTTCAATGACTTTGTTTTGATGACTGGTATGTTCCTGTTTAATTTGAGACTGCACAAATAATAAAACAATAATAAAGATCCTTCTTGATGCATATTGATCTGTAGCTCTGTCAAACCAGGCAAGCAGTTTATAAAGAAAGGCCTGGTGTTTCAATTTATATCTAAATGATATGCAAAATAGCTGGACATGTATCTACTTGTTAAGTTGAGTTTACATGTAGCTGATTTATTGTAAGTTTTGAATGCTGCTTTTTGCAGTTTATAGATAAACAACTAGATCTGTCTGAGTCTCCTCACCTCACACAATTATCATTATTTATTAATATGACATACATTATACATGCTTCTGTTAGTTTATGTTAGCTTCCAGCCAGAAATCCATGATGTTTAATGGAAGTACCAATTTTCATTCATTGGTAGATTTTAATGTCCAACAAGATATTTCCAACTGTCAAAAAGCATTGCAACAACAAGATATTCACAAGGTGTCTCAGATCTCCCTTAGAATGCTTGGCCGAGCAAGAAGAGTGACCATGGTTGCCAAGAAGGAGATGGATGTAACTGCTGATCCAATGTACAAGGGAAATCTGCAAACAGCTTGTGGCCAGCTAGAGTCTGGTACTGTATGATAATAAAATTAATCATAGTAACAATCATTGGAAAAATGATTGTGATTATGACAATGATCACAATAATAATGATGATGATATGTAATGGTAATTGAACTGAGTTGAGTGCAATTTGGTCTGAAATCAGATGCATGATTTCAAAGTCAAACAAGTGTACAGCAAGAATTTGATTTGAAATCACAAGTATGATTTTAGAGCAAAATTGCATGACATGAAGTCCAATTACCATTTTATTTCATTCATTTTGAAATTGCAAAATTCAGTCACTTAGATACATGTCTTTTCTGTGAGTTCAAATATTTTATTTATCCAGTAGTGAGCTGGTTTGAAGAAAGTTGCAAATGTTGATTTTCATTTTGCTGCAATTTGAATTATTTCTTTCAAATCTGATTTATTATTGTATTTTAGCTTCCTCATTGGCTTGGAAAAAGGTGGGATTTAGAGCAAAAAATGGTGCAATTTGTGAATAAATAACACCATTGAGAGCCAATCAGATGACAAATATCACCAATGATTTCAAAATGGATGTAATAATAATAATAATATTAATTTTGATGTTAATGTCGATATTTAAAATGACAATGAAAACATTAGGATGTTTTTTTTTTTTTTTTTTTACAACCAATGTACAAGGAAATGGGGAAATAAGATAAAATATATTCTTGTATTTAACTTGACGTAAACTGCTTTAAAATAACAACTGACTGGAGGCAAACCAGTTGACCATGTACAAAACACATCTAAGGAATTGTTAAACTCAGGTTGTTTGATGCATGCAAGAACCAATCTTATTTGCAAGGGCTTGAGCCTGGGACTACAGGGCAACAAGTACAGCACTCAGCCATGCTGCCCTCATCTGGTAGAACTGACATTAACCCTTTAAAAATTAATATGCATATTCTCCATACTGTTGTTTTTACATTTCCTGAGGTGCTGACAAGGATAATTTAATTAACAATCAAGAGAGTCTTTAGTTGGTGATCATTTCCTTTATTCTCATGACTGTTAGTGTGTGTTTCAGGGGTGATATTGTAAGGAGAAATTAGATGCTGGTCACTCTCAGGGGTCAAAGGGCTAATACTTACAGGTCAAGGTTCGATGCAAGTAAAGTTAAAATCAGTGTGTTCACATCCTGTTTTTATTTTTTCAGTACTTCCAGCTTTTGTTCAAAGTGTTGAAGGAGCCCTGGTAAATATGACTGATGATGTGCAACAAACCAACCTCTATGAAAATTGTCTACTGCTGGGAGAGAAAGTAAAGATAATGAAATCAGCTTTAAAACGGCCAACAGGAATTAATATAGGTGTGTGTGTATGAGTGAACTAAGCAAAGTCTTCGTTTTCTTCTTTTCATTTTGGCTTTCAGTTTTATTTGTTTGTTTGTTTGTTTTGCCTCAACTGCTTTTTGTAAAAGCTTTTTGATCAGGCATAAGTAATGTCAACATGGTTTGCAATGACCTTGCAGTATTGGGAGTGATTGTTATGTACATAGAAAAAGATAAATATCTTGATATTTTTTTTCCTGCAGATTTAACTGACTATAGCGCTGAACTGGCCGGCGCTAAAGGCTTGAGTACAAAGGACAACATGCTGGATTTGTTTGAAATTTTAAGAGGGCACTACTCTCCTGCAGGTAAAAGTAAAAGGATTCCTTTGTTTTTATTGTTGTTGTTTTCTTGTTGACAGGGCAGATACACATAATATTCCATAGATGGGTAACCCACAACTGACTGAAATATATTTGCGTAAATTCCTTGAAGCTCCTTGCATCTATTTCGAAGTTGTGCACGACTGAAAGAGTCAGATGTGATTGCCTGCAAAATTCACACATCACACACTATTACTGTATTAAATTGTTTATGCATCCGTGATGCTCTTCGACTCAGTGATGGAAACTTTAATTATAATTGTGCCTCATTTCGGTCACAAATTTAATGTGATGCTGTACTGGCAAACTTTACAATTTTTTTTTTAATTTGTCATTTCTCATAGCAAGTGACACAACATCAGTTGATGAAACAGATCAACTAGCAGGTCTTGATAGTGAGCCCTTTGGAGAAACACTTTTGGAGCCTTCTGGTGGAGAAGAAGTAAGTTAAACATTCCAGCGAAAAAGATCATTTCTTCAGTTAATTCTGCAAATCCAAGAAGTGGTCATCAGTATTGAAGCTTGAGTACTTCTCTCTATAACGCTGACAAAAGTGTTTTGAATTTCGCGAAAAAGCAAACAAGCGAACAAACCAGAAAAAAAAATATTTGCGAGATTCTTGCGTAACAAACAAACAAACCAGACATGAAACACTGCGCGGGATTCTCGCGTAACGAAAAAAACGAAGCAGCCATGAAATAGTGCGCGAGATTCTTGCGTAACAAACAAACAAACAAACCAGAGACGACAAAGAAGAATCGGTGTGTCATATTCTTTAGTAACAAACATACAAACCAGACATGAAACCCTGCGCGGGATTCTCGCGTAACAAAAAAAACGAAGCAGCCATGAAATAGTGCGCGAGATTGTTACGTAACAAACAAACACACCAGAGACGACAATGTGCGCGAGATTCTCGCGTAGCAAAGAAACAAAACAGAGACAGAGCTGTGCGCGAGATTCTCATGAAACAAACAAACCAGCCAGAGAAGAAACAGTGCACGAGATTCTTGCGTAACAAACAAACAAACAAACAAGAGAGGAAACAGTGTGCGAGATTCTCGCGTAACAAACAAGCAAGAGAGGAAATAGTGCGCGAGATTGTCGCGTAACAAAAACACAAACAAGAGATTAACCAGTGCGTGAGATTCTTGCTTAACAAAAAAACAAACAAGAGAGGAAACAGTGCACGAGATTCTTGCGTAACAAACAAACAAACAAGAGATGAAACAGTGCGCGACATTTTCGCGTAACCAACAAACAAACCAGAGAAGAAACAGTGCACGAGATTCTTGCGTAACAAACAAACAGAACAAGAGAGGAAACAGTGCACGAGATTCTTGCGTAACAAATAAACAAACAAGAGATGAAACAGTGCGCGAGATTCTATCGTAATAACCCACCAAACGAGAGAAGAAACAGTGCGCGAGATTCTTGCGTAACAAAAAAACAAACGGGAGATGAAACAGTGCAGGAGATCCTCGCGTAACAAACAAACAAAAAACAAACAAACCAGATGAAACAAACAAACAAAACGCGAGATTCTAGAAACAAGAAATAGAAAACAGTGCAGTGCACGAGACTCTTGCGTAAACAAACAACACAAACAAACAAGAGAAACAAACAAGAGAAGAAAACAAGATTTTTGCGTAACAAACAAACAAACAAGAGAAGAAACAGTGCGCGAGATTCTCGCGTAACAAACAAACAAACAAGAGAAGAAACAGTGCGCGAGATTCTCGTGTAACAAACAAACAAACAAGAGAAGAAACAGTGCGCGAGATTCTTGCGTAACAAACAAACAAACAAGAGAAGAAACAGTGCGCGAGATTCTCGCGTAACAAACAAACAAAGAAGAGAAGAAACAGTGCGCGAGATTCTAGCGTAACAAACAAACAAGAGAAAAAACAGTGCGCGAGATTCTTGCGTAACAAACAAACAAACAAACAAGAGAAGAAATAGTGCGCGAGATTCTTGCGTAACAAACAAACCAGAGAAGAACAATGCGTGAGATTCTTGTGTACAACAAGCAAGCCAAAGACGAAACATCGTGTGAGATTTGTACGCAACAAACAAACAAACAAACAAACAAGAGAAGAAACTGTGCACGAGATTCTTGCGTAACAAACAAACAAACCAGGGACGAAAAAGTGCGCTAGAGTCTTGCGTAGGAAACAATGCCTAATCTGCAATGTGGGATTTTAACTCTTTTACTTACGTTTCGCCTTTTCGTTTTTATTCTGAACACATTAAGTAAATATGGTTTAGAAGTATTGTTTAAAAAATCACAATTTGGAGCTTTGTTGCTTTGAAGGAATATACTTCTTGGTTTTGAAGTTTTTTTATTTACTTTAGATCAAACCAGAGCCCAGAGCTCACCGTAGCAAACTTCCATTAGAGGCAGAGAAAAAGGACTCTTCAAAAGACAGATTCCAGCCTGCCTACAGCACCGATTCTGAAGACTTGCTGTTCAATTTTTCAGAAGATGATGAAATGGATAGAATCAACAGGAAAGCCTTGCTTGGTACAGTGTTGTGAAACTTGAATTACTGATGTGCTGAAAAACTAAAAAAAAAACTGAATGAAAAAATAAAATTGTTTGCGTATTACAGAATTTGGACTTCTCTGAAAATTGGTGGTCAAATTATCTTGATCAATTTTCAAATGAAAACTTATCAGTTTAATGGGTTACACACAACCTTTGTCATGTTTCGTTAAGGTTTTGATGCGACCCAATTTTCCGATTGCTAACACTGACAAGAAGTAAAGGGGAAATGTATGGATAATTTTAAAGAGGATTGAAATGTGTTTAGTTGCTTTAAATTTCACATCAAAAGGATGGTTTCATTACTTTTCATAACTTTGATGCAATAAAAAAAATTATTTTGACCTGCGCATGAAATGCAAGTATAGAAAAAATCCTCGCATTGACGGAAGAGGTAAATTAAGAAATTGCGGAAGAAAATTCAGAATTTTTCAGGATTTGAGACGCAAATTATTGGCTACCGCTACCACCCCATGTGCTGGAGGAGAGGTAAATTTTCATAGGGTTTTCGTTCTCGCGAAGGAAAAGTTATCTGTCAACTCATACATGTAAACTAATAGAGCCAATTTTTGTGTCACGTTTATTCCAGGGGTAACTGAGGAACACCAGGATGAGAATTTGTGGGCAGTAGGCTCTGTTCGCCCCACTAAACCGTCCCAGACCTCTCGCGCACCCGTGTCTAGATTACTGAATGCTGTGAAGGCCAAAGACTTTGACTTAGCAGAGGTGGAACTAAGGAAAGTGGAATCCAGGGCCTCTGCGCTGAGTATGTTGGCGAGCACGTCAGCAGACAAAGCACGGAATTTGGAGAGAGTGAGGTGAGCACCAAACTTGTGTTATGGCAAGTGTACTTTTTTTCCTCATAGTAAGTAATTTTCCTTCGTAGCTGTTGGGATGTCACGCAACGCTCCCCGATAGTTTGTTCGTGGGAGCGTTGTGTTACGTCCCAAAGAACAGCTAAGAAAGATCCGGAGACAAACAGTTAGTAGAAGGGAACAGTTATGAAATCCGACAGTTTTTTTTGTCACAGGTTGTTGTTAGGCTTTTTGGACGTGACTTGGCACAACGTCCTAAAACAATTCAATCCTTGACCAACAGAAAATTTCTGTATCAAATATTAAGGCCAGGAGAATAAAGGAAATGATCACCAGCTAAAGAAACTCTTGATCGTGAAACAAATTCTCCTTGTCACCACCTTAGCAAATGTTTAGAGTACAGTATGGAGAATATGCATAGTGAACTTAGGATGCAAAGGGTTAACTTATTCAGCCACGATTTAGGAACGCAAAAAGGAAACTGAACGAGCGCGGTCATGAAGCTCCGGTGGTTTTTCTAAATCACTTCTACGTACTATGGTGTTTTCCCCTTTCCACCTAAAATTTGTCTCATTCTTAGCTTTGATTTTCCATCTTCAGTTGTCAATGACCTTTTTAATTAACTATTTTCCCTATTTCCTAGACGACAATGACCTTTTAATTAACTATTTTCCCTATTTCCTAGACGTGTTCGGGTCTGTGCAGGAGAGATCGAAAAACTCACACCACTTATCATACAAGCAACACGTGGTATTAGAGATGATCCACGTGACTTAGTGACTGTTGAGCGACTTCAGACTATCGGTCGAGAATGGGCTTCCAAAGTGCATGTGCTTTCTGGAACTGTTGATGAAATTGTTGTGCCGTGGTCAGCTGCGGCATCTAAACTCGCCCTAGCTGCCACCTCTGGTGATGCAGAGAAATTGAAAAAACAGGTTAGGTGGCTTGAGATCCAGTAGCCTCTCAAATTACAAGTATGTGACTCAGATTGACAAAGAGGCATCTTCCCTTGTTTGTTCTAAGGAGATAATTTGGTTTTATCGACTAGGTTGATTTTGTTAATTGGCCATCGTGAAGTGTTTCTGAAGGTGACGTTTCGAGCGTAAGCCATTCGTGATTCGCTCTGACGAAAGGCTGCGAACGCTCCAAACGTCAGCTTCAGTAACTTTCGGTGGCAAATTAAGAATATCAACTCAGTTGATAAAACGGAAGTATCTGGTAATACTCCACACCGACGCAGCACCACAGCTTATTTAGAAACTCCCCCCCCCCTCCCCCCCCTTCCTTTCTAAAGTGGCTGATCCATAGAGGTCTGACTGTGTTAAAGACACACACTGGGTACTGTATTCCTTCCTCCAGGTGGATAACATAAACAGACATGTGGTCCGCCTCAGGCAGCTGGCTGTGGCAGCCAAAGCTGCAGGGGACGCAGAAGAGTACGCTATGGATGCAGGGAATGAAGGTGAAGCCCCTGCGCGTGATCCAGCCTCTCTGCAGCGTGTTGAGCTTGTTCAGAGGACATCAGTAGAGGTTGAACGAATCACACCTCAGCTGATTACTGCTGCTCAGGTTTGTGTTGCTCAACTTACAACGACTTTATAAAAGAGTGGAAGAAACCAGGAAAAGCGAATTGGAAGAGAATTGAATTTTGTCTTTGTATCTTTGTATTATTATATGCGTAAAGGTCTCATGTAGGGAATTTTCAGAAAATGCATCTGATTTTTTGCTGCACAAGTAAGACTGCTCTGAGAAAAGGCTTCCGCTCGAGACGTTACCTTTAGAAACTCTTTACGGTGGCCAATTTACATTATCAACTCAGTTAAGAAAACCACTGAATATCTTGAGACTACCATGGTTGGGATGATGTAAAAGGGAAAACCCTCTCCGCTAATGGTCCCTGTTTAATCGGGGTTTTTTTTTAAATATTCTACGTGGTAATTTAATTCCTCTCTGCGTTGGAAAATAAAGCATGTTCCAGCCTTAAATGGTCGCAAGACCAATCGGAAAAAAAAAAAACAGCCCAAAGTTATCTTTCGTTCCTTTCTAAACATATGTACTGTTAAACTGTTTTTTCCTCTTTCTCCAGTAAAATATCTCTCTTTTTCTTGCAGGCACTCTCAAGGGACCCGGCAGATATTGCAAATGTTGAACGACTTGAACTTCGGAGGAGGGACTGGGCGTCGAAAGTTCACAGTCTTGTATTTGCAGTGGATGATGTCACTGTTGGTACTTCTGCGCCCGTGGAACAGCTGGCAGCGGTAGCCATGGCAGGCGATGAGCATGCATTACAAGAAAACTCGCGCATGTTAACGTCATATGCGCGAACTCTTAAGGGAATGGTTGATGCGGCAGTAGCTGGGTGAGTGGCTGATAGTGAGAAAAGGCTTTCGTATTGTGCCATTTTTTCTTTTTGAAATGTGAAATGAGCTTGGTGATGATGATCCAGGAAGTGCGCTGTTTCTGTTGTAGATTGATCCAATATTAAAGTTGACAGACCCTCACTGTCCTCACAAATATAACGATAATATCACAATTGGTACTCTTCTTAAATAAGTTCTTAAAAATGTTCCTCTCTTTAGATGTAATGATCCCAAGAAAATTAGCTTAGCCAAGGGAACAGTCAGTTCGATTGACAAGGTGACCGCTGACCTCCAAGACACGTCGCGGTTAGTGTCCGAGATGGCATTGCGAGAACACAAAACATTAGAGCAAAGTTTGTCTTACATGGGGGTGGTAGAGAGGATGAATCTTCTTCAAAGGGAATGGGCCACTAAGGTAGGTGAACATAAATCGAGATGCCTTGATTGGTGAATTACACCTCATTTAAGCTCTACAGTTTCTTGGTGTTTTCCAGTTGTTCTGGTGTTGCTTCTCAAGACACGTTGGCGTAAAAAACACGCGCGCAAAAGGGCAAACACCCGAAACCTCTGGCTGTCGTGCGTGTTCGTCTTGGATCTCGCGTGCCGGTCCATCACTCGCACTCAACTTAATCGATTGCTTTCCACGCTAGCGTGGATGTGGTTGTTTATTTTGTTTTGTTGCTCTTGACGTTAGAGATAACTGTTTTCAGCTGTTAACAAAGAAAAAGAAACGCGGCTTTAGGAAGAATCGTTCTTGAAGAGAACTTCAAGGATTACTTTCAAATGGGGCTTTAAATACTCAGTGGCTTTATAACCCAGTGCAAGTAATGAGCCAAGTGCACGTTCGTATGTTATGCAAAACAATCGAATAAAGAATGTATTATTTCACTACTATTTTCGAGTTTTTATGTAACATGGGTTTCCTACATTTTCATTTTCACTCAACTTGTGCACATCCAGGTTCATTTGCTGACGGCTCTCATTGACGACTTAACGGCTGAAGCCTCGGCACCAGTCGATCGTCTGGCCGGTGCTGCCCTCGCTGTGAGCAAAGCAGAACTTGGCGAAAGAATGGAACAACAGCGTGACTTCGAGATGCAGGCTGATGAACTCAAAGCACGAGTTGCACGTGTTAGAACACACGCCAGTAAAGCTGTGGAGAATTCTCGCCATGCAAGTAAAGTGAGGACAGTTCGCGTGACTGGGGACTTTATTGATAGACTCACGCCACAAGTTATTGCTGCTGCACGTGCGCTAGCAGGTAAGATAAGACTCTGTCACTTTGATGAGTGAAAATGTAGCCAAAGAAACCTTGAGACTTAATTATTTCGTGCATTTTTGCTTGGCCAAGACCCGCCAATCAACTGCCCACATGTAATGATCCTCTTATGCATGCGGGTCCTCTTTTGTTTTGCCGTACGCGATATTATGCTTTTTCAAACCAGTGCCCCGCTTGTTTGTGGAAAATGGTTTCTCGCTTTCTAAAGCTGTCAGAGTGATTTTTGAATGCAATTATGAAAAACAAAACCAAGAAATCGAACGATAAGACAATTATTGCACTTGGTTATTGTAGAATATCGTGATTTATAAGTGTCGAGTTGATTTTCCTTAGACAATCCAGACCAGCCGACTGTGGAACATTTTCAGATGTTGAGGCGTCAATGGGCGTCTAAGGCGCAGCTTTTGATGGCGACGCTTGATGAACTTCCAGATGCTGACAACACAGCCGTGCAAGGTAAATTGTATTGTGTGCTATTTACACAGCGTGTGTAATTTACGAAGTATATTGAAATTAACCCTTGAGTCATTAGCTCTTTCTACATATCTTAATCAGTTATCTTTGCTAACTTTAATTTTCTTTATGGTCGTCATGTTATTATCAAAAGCTCGCCATTTTTATTTTTGCAGCCTTATAAATTGGTATACGCTTTATTGGGCTTTGGCTAATTAGGTTTCATTTTTTCTCTGTTTATCAGATGTTTTCCAGGATTTATTAGGCATATCACATATGGATCCATCCCAGAGTTTTGAGTCTCTCAATGAAGAAGAGACGGGAGCTATCGCGGGCTCATCCCGTTGGCCATCTGTAGCAAAACCTGTCCCCTCTGAGGAAAGTATGTTACGATCCTCCAACCCCTCGAGGAGAGAGTCAGGAGAGGGGAGCCAATCACCAGAGATCAGCTCTTATTTCGATGACATGGCTCTATATGATGTAAGTGAACTTTCTCCAAGCACAGTTGTGTTTAAATCAATCCCTTTAACCCTTTAACCCCTAAGAGTGATTAGCATATAATTTCTCCTTACATTATCACTCCTGAATCACACATTAAGGTCATGAGAATAAAGAAAATGATCACCAACTAAAGATGCTCTTGATTGTTAAACAAATTCTCCTTCTCAGCACTTTAGGAAATGTATAGAGAACAGTATGGAGAATATGCATACTGATGTTTGGGTGTTAAGGGCAAATAATGAAGTTGAAAATTACGGAGAAGTCAGTTTCTCCCTGACATGTATCGCACTGTGTTAGCACCAATCGTATGATAACATGGCCACGATCTTATCTCAGTGGTTCAACGAAGCACTCTTAACCCTGTAACCCCCAAGATCTCATTAGTAATTCTCCTTACTGTCTGACATACAATTGCTATGATGTCAATTTGGAGAATTTGGTATTGGATGAACTTATAATCCCCTAATTGATATTTTACATTATTCTTGTCACTTCTATGCTTGATATTGTATTGATATTGTAAGGAGAAATTCTCTCTTAGTCACTCGTGGGAGGTAAATGGTTAACCTTGTGAACAGTATATCTCTCATTTAAGTTAATTTCACCCTGATGTTAGGATGCAAAGAGTTAAATAAGCAATCCGGTTCAAATCATTCTCCTGATCTCTTGGAGGTTCAAAATATTGATTGGCCTTCACTGACTTTAAAACTAACATCAGTCATTAACTGCCTCCCAAATTAGAGAAATGATTCCTTGAAGAGAAGATCTTCATTTTCCGACACGGACAGTACTCCAGAAGTGCGCCGACTGCGAGGACCCTGGGGATCTGTCAGTGAAACAGACCTGATGAGGAAAGCCCTTGTTGATGAGCTCCACCAACGATTTTCCTCGACTGAGTCTCTGAAACAGAGAAGAACGAAGGCTCGGTATAGAGCCGCGAGTGTCTCAGGACTTACCCGAGGTGACTCATCTGAATGGAAATCAACATCAATTGAAGAACTAAGGGCAAGGAAAAGCTCCAAGTCAATTGAGGTAAACAGTGCCTAAATTCCGTAAACGTTCAACCCCCCCCCTCCCCCCTTCTCATCCTTAGAGTGTATATCTGGTGTTAAAAGAAAATTTCAGAGGGGGCCTCATCAGAACGGGGGGGGGGCAATTAAAAAAATCCTAAGGAGTTAAACTGCGTGTCAAAAATGCGAGCCACATTTTGGATCTCTTTTCTCCAGATTCTCCTTCACATGTATGTAAGGTGCATCTCCAAGAAATTTATTGAAGTTTTTCAAAACATTTTTTTTATTTTAGCTGGCAGCTCAACTCCTGCAAGAAGAAACAGATAAATGGGAGGAAGAAAACAATTCCATTGTCAAGGTGGCCAAAGAAATGGCGCAGCAAATGCTTCACATTGCTAAATTAGCTCGAGGACGAAATCGAATTCAGGTACTGAGGTTGCGAAACGATCGTTTTCTTACATTGAGAGTGACTCATTACCTTGTCTAAGAATGGTCCGAAGAGGTTGTTGTGTTCTTTATTAAGGCAATATTATGTGAGAATGGCCACGTTTCGGGGCATAGGAAATTAGCTTTTAAGTGTTGGCATTCCCTTTTGAGAGAGTCTGTCCTTTGCTCATTCTGATAGTATCTTAAGTGTTTTGACTTTTTTTATTTTCATGAATCCTTCAGTTATCCAGAGTATTGCGTTATCCAAGTTCTCCTTGGGGAGTATCTCACCAATTTCTCAAAATATATCTCTCACAGTGTTTGTCTTCCCTGTTAGAACAAAATGGAATTGATCAACACCGCAAAAGGTATCGCTTCCAACGCCAAGTTTATCCTCAAGTTTGCTCACGTTATAGCTGAACAATGTGCAGACGAAAGGTTAGTGGATGTTTCCAGGGTTCTTAGTTATGTTTTGTTTGTTTGTGAGTGTATTTATGTGTGTGATTTTGCTGAGCCATAAACTGAGTGAGGTATTTTTCTGTTGGTTGTGTTCAGAAGTAAGAGTGACCTGCTCTACTATGCGGAATACCTGCCAACTATCAGCACACAGCTGAAGATCATATCGTCTGTCAAAGCAGCCACTCCCTCGGACATTTCGGTAAGTTTCACAATACGGGGAGCAGACGAGTCGTATCTAAATGTATTTGCACTCGCGAGGGATTTACTCCTGAAAAGATTGTAACCGTTGCAGGAATGAATGAGTTAAAACCATCTTTTTGTGCTTTATTATCTCGCTGTTGTAGTATATACTAAAACAGCTATTCACATCAGTGCCGTACTTCGCCCCTTCGCAGCTCGGTAAATATTCACCGCTAGCCAATTCCTCTTCGGTGAATAGTTGTAAATTATCTGATTTCGGTCTTTTTCATTTTCCACAGGCGGACGCGATGCTCGTAAAAAACGCACAGAATCTGATGCAAGCTGTTGTGAAAACCCTAAAAGCAGCTGAGGCGGCTTGTGTAAAGGTAATACGGCGAGTCTCTTTAGAGTTCCTTTATTTAAACATAAAAAAACTTTGGGAAAACAGATGAACACGGTTCTTATTACGTTCCAGGTTCTGCATCCTCCTGAGCAAGACGCTTCGTCCGATCGCAAAGAAGCTGTTGACATCGCCTTTCAGTGGAGGAAGAAGTTAAAAAGGCAGCGCGCCTTCGAGGCTCTGACTGCATCACGTGATCAGCTGGGCCTGCGCAGACGGGAGAGAAACAGTTCCACGCCCTCTTTGGCAGACATCGTTCATGTGTAGCACATGTGCAATTTGAAAATTTACTGTAAATTGTCGAAAAAGGAAGCTAGTTTGTAGTGGTTTTTGTTTTAGATGAAACACGTGTAAATACTTTGAGTGAGTGAGTGTCTGTATGCTTTGGGACTTCAACGTCTTTGTCTTTATGAATTAATAAAAGTTTTTCATCTACAAAGTGACTGTTCTCTGGCTTATGTTCTTGCGATATCGTCAGATCATTTCGGCTCCGATTTCTCCAGTCGTGGTAAATAAGTAAAGATGTCTTTAGCGCTGTGGCGGTACATCATGGTCAAGACGTAATTTGTTGAAAGAAAGGAAAGCCCAATCTTACGTTAAGAGGAGAGAGGGGTGGGTTGTGGTGAGGTTGGTATTATGAGCGTGCGGTAGGCGATAGTTCTTAACCCTTTTCCAATTTCTCATCTCGTGTTAAACAAAATTTTAACAAAACAATCCATTTCAGCCACTTGAATGAGTTATTACTTGTTCTTTATGTTATATTTCATCGTGCTATAGCAATGCAGCTAATCAGAAAGACCTTAAGAATCAGTGCTTTTTCCATAGTCTTCGTTGGGAAGTGGGTTCGAGGAATGTTTCCCGGCAATCTTCGCAATTTCTACAATAAACAATGCCTAACTTTCTCATTTACAGCACGTGCACTCGTCCGTTTGAGATTCTTCTCGACTCATGAATAGCCTTTGAACGAGATTGCCGATTTTGAAGTAACGAACGAAAAGAAAAAGAAAGTGATTTTTAAATGTGATAAAATATTCCTTTTTAGGGCAGTCATTATAACCCCCCTCCCCTTACCCCTACACTGAAAAACCCTCATCCTCCTCCACCCATTTAACATCCTATACCTCTAAGCCTAGAGATAGTACTTGAGTCATTCCGTCTTAGCCGAGTAAGACTCGTTTATAGGGCTCGTGTAGAGAAAATTATGATAGAGAGCCCTTTTCAGTTTTATTTCCCTTCCTTATCCAATACTTCCGGATATGGGTTAGGGATGTATATGGTGAAGGCATTGGCGAAAAATTTGCAATGCAGCTTGTACTAGAAGGTTGATGAAGTGAAGGATATTCCATGACGGATACATGACAAGCCTAGCAATAGTACTTAGAAGCGTTGCTGACCCGCAGTTGAAGAGCAGCAAGCAACGCAAGCAAATGGCGATAACAATAATGAACGACAAAAAGACGTCAAGGAAGATTATAACAAAGCAGATGAGTCGTTAAGAACAACAAATATCTTAATCGTTATGGGTAAGTGATATACTTTAATTTGATTGGTTTCTTTTCGTTCGACCGCAGATCTTAAACGCGACGTTTCGACTAGCATGTTTACAGCTAGATCTTCTGGGTAAAATTTCCGCACAGCCCCATACTACATTATGCATTCAGTTCTTGGACAGAGAAAACAATGACAAAAACAATACATTGCCATAGGGAAAACAGATTGGTTTGACAATAGTATGGGGCTGTGCGGAAATTTTACCGTGTCCTTTACTCAGTAAATGACGATTTCAAAACTATATAGCCACGAAACTGACCGAAAATGAAAGATTAACAAATAAGACTGCTTAAATTAGATAATAACTGTCATTTACAAGCGTTCAGTCGCAAGGAATTGTGAATCCTAAGTGGGTGGGGAAGGGGAGGTGGTACATGCAATAGTGTCGGATTGGAAACGAACCTTAATTTGTTTATATCGACAATGTGGACGAAAGAATTAAATCACATTTATGTGATTATCACCAACAAGGTCTGAATAATGATAGAGAGTCCTTTTAAACTAATATGGGTAGTTCAGAGGCAACAAATAAGTGCAGCACTATTTGTTAAGGCTAGAAAGTTATTGATGTATGACAACAAATGTTAATAAGGACACCATAAAAAATGAATTGTACACATTGCTTGTTTTGGAAATCTCTCCAAATGATAATAATGTATATTTGTTGAGACTGTTGACTTCCTCATTCAACATAAGTCAATTTTTGACTTAATTCCTGTATGTAAACATATAAATCTTCCAATTGTAGATGACAGCAAAAAGGCATTTATTGATCGGTTTGTGCAATCAGTACTCCACCATGGTCCATCACTGATTACATTGACAAGAGATGAACAAGGAGATGGGCAAGGTTCAGCCACAGACTTCCTTCATCCTGCCACACAGAACAGTTCTGCCTTGAATTACTTCAAGAACAGGCTTCATGTGAGTATCAGGGTTTTTAAGAGGGTTGTGTGAAAGGTTATGTTCCTTAAGAAGTTTCTCCATTCAACCCCTCAACTGCTAAGAGTGATAAGCATCTAATTTCTCCCAATACTATCATTCCTAAGTCAAACATTAAAGTCATGAGATTGAAGGAAATGATCACAAACTCAAGAAGCTCTTGATTGTTAGACAAATTCTCTTTGTAATCACCATAGGTAATGTGTAGAGAACAGTATGAAGAACTTATATACTGACACCATTTTTATTTGGGTATCATGCATTGAGAGGCAAGAAAAAAGAGTATAGAACTTAACTATAAATAGCGTGTTCTAATTGAAGAAACAAGACTCAGTACTGACAGATAGAACATCAAGTTTTTATGTAGTGTATGCTTTGGGCATAATGAATTCTTACTAATTAGTTTTTATTGCCAAACCCATTTTGTCTTGAGGGTGAGAGATTTGAACAATGTTTTGATTACTTCCTGCAAATGACTTGTCTTTATCCTTTTAGTAAGCCAGGGTTAATTTAATCATTCAGTTTTTCAATAAACACTTTCAGTAGTTTATAAATTTATTGCTTTTAGGTAAGCACCCCCATGGATGCTAAAAGTAAATTTTTGGAAGCAATGAGTGAAATAGATCAGAAATCTGGGATGAAAATGGGGATGTACCACTTATCAGATAGTCAGCAAGACATGAAACGGTAATATTGTATTAAATTAGTGTATGTGTTTTACTAAAATGTACTTTTTAACAAAAGGATTTCCCTTATTTTAAAGGGAAGGAAAATTGACTTTTTACTTTGCAGCATAAGGCCTCCTGGAAAAATTTTCACACAGCCTCATACTTCATTATGCATGCACATCTTAATGGTGATGCACTGGATAATAAAGCCCCATATATGGATGCATAATGAAGTATGGGGCTGTGCAGAAATCTTGCTGGCCTCCTTCCTTTGTGCTACTGCTTCTTTCAAAATTTTAGAATTTTTTTAGCATATTTTCCAATAAAATGATTTTTAATGGATATTACTTATCATAAACTAGGTGTTCATTAAATCAGTTTGATATTGACCAATAATTATTTTGTTTTGTAAAAAAAATAATTACCTTTTAACTTATTAAATACATTTAGATGTGAAGATGAAGACTTCTGCCTCAGAGTAAAACAACTTGTTGCCTCCAAGGCTGACTTGTTGTTCTCCATGGAAGGAAAGGGTAAATTAAGGAGAGGAATTGACTATGGCATGCATTCAAACCAAGAAGGTAATGTTAGCAAAACACTTAAAACTGAAGAGTCTTTTGGTTTAAACAAGAATATGCTTTTGAACAACTTTGTTTGTTTCATGTTTTTCTTTCTTCTTTTTTGTGTTTCAGTATCTTGAAAGATAACCTTACCCTATTTATCAAAGACTTTTTTGTATTCTAAGTATTATGTAATTTCTTTGTATAGGCAGTGTTCTCTTGTGTACATGAATTAATTTTTTTTTTTCCGTTTTTAGTGTTAGATCTCTATGCTGATGCACCTCCTCTTGAAACGTTAATGGAGGTTCCTTTACATGTCCGAAGGAAACGGCTGTTGAATGTAAGGCCTTACTATAAATTATTTCATTTTCTGATCAGTCTTCCTTTACAAAAGGCTGTTAGAGTTATTTACATCAAAGGACCCTCTATAGAAAGGATACCAGACTCGTGAAATGAAAATTTTTTTTCACAAGAAAAATAATAATTTATTCAGGTTTACACAACTGTAGTGTTTCTTTGTTTTCTATTGCAGTGTTTAAATGAAGGTGACATTGTCATTGGTAAGGTAGCTTTCAAAAGACCATTTGGTATCACAGTGACACTGACTATGCTGGAGTTTGGTTGCAAAAGGGATTTCACTGATCTGGATATACAGGTTTATATATTATATATATAGGTTTTATATTACTCCTCTTCTGTTGAACCTGTATTCAGCAGTCAACCTGTATTAAGCGGTCACCCTATCATTCTTTGTGGGCAACCTCTTAAGAGAGGTTTGACCTTTGATAAATTATGATTGCTGCTTGTAATTTCAAGCTTTCTTACATTCAAAATGATTTACACCCCTTGCTAAGAAACTTTAACAATTGTTTGTCACTGCAGCTTTTTTTTCTGTTAAGCAAGTTTTTCTGTACATTTTCACACCCACAGGCCCAGTGTAAGGTATCTGAGTTAAATGATTCAGATATGTCCAGGGAATACAAAGATCCCACTGATGCTTATCTTGTTGGTGATGTTGTCCGAGGTATGCTGTATATGTGTGGGGATACATCTTCTTTCTTAGTTTGAGACTTTTACAACCATAATCTTATGAAACTTCAGTTAAAAATAGGGCTCTTAATGTTAAGAATTCTCCTGTAGTCTGAGAGTGAATTTTTTCTTTTCTCAGGTTCAACTCAATCACAAGTATCTTAGTTGGCAGTCATGACTGTATACATATAACTTAAGCTGAATCTAATCTATAGGCTACATTTTTATAAACAAAGTTTGCATCTGCCTGTGAATGTTTAAAAGGTTTAGCCCACCAGCTTTGCTGACTATTTTCAAACTTCAAACTCAATGCAGGGCCTTGATTAGAAAACATGATATTATGGAAGAAACAAAAGAATTAGCTTTACTTACATTTTTAAGTGTTACTTGTGTGAGATATGCACAACTGTACTATCATTCTTCTATCATTTTAATAAGAGGGAAGCATACAAGCAAAAGTGTTGAATAACCACAGAATGAATTGGGGCTCTTTTGTTTTTCAGGAGTAATCACAATTGTGAATCAGCAAGAGGGGAGAGTCTTCATTTCATTCAAACAATCAAAATTACCTGAAGAACATAAACACTTACATCTGGTAATTTATTGGCATACTTGTTAGATCTTCTTATCAACAATGGTTTTGTTGGTCAAATTTTTTTATGAGCTCCTACTGCCACACTATATCCCAGTTTTGGAAGAACAAATTTGCCAAAAGTGTTCCTACTCCTCATAGATGGGATGGGATTTCAGTCCATAGCAGCTGACTTGATTCACCAATTTCTCAAGTTTCTCCAGTCTTTTCAAAGTACCAATTAATACTTCTGACCCTGGTTGTTATATAGTGGGACAATGCTGTTCACTAAATAAATATCTACCCATTGGATAGTGCAGTAAATTTTCAAGTGATTTATTCTTGGGATATTATTATCCACCTTTTGAACAATTGGGCCATGGATGAAGTATTCTCCTTTGCAGCCATTCTTTGGTATGTCACGCAACACTTTCACAGGGGGAGTGTTGCGTGACATGACAAAGAATAGCTACAAAGGAGACTAAGGATGAAGAGGCACCATGGGGGTTAGATAACTTTTGCAAAAACTCAACACAATGACATGGCTAGACCACAAACCAGGACAACTTGATCATTTTTGATTGCATAAATAATAAATATAATGTTATTCACCAGCCAGGAGGTTGGTATTCGGAAAAACTGTGCCAAAGGTCTCAATACCGGCCTCTGTGGTTCTTAAGACAGAGGGCACAGTTCTTTCCATTATGGACTGACCAAGGCTGGTGAACAGCATTTTAATTTTCATTCCAAAACCTGATATAATAAATATATAATGCTTGCAAAAAGAACCTGAACAAGGAGGGCTGTAATTTTGGCAAGATCCTCCATAATTAGAGCAATTTTTAAGAAATAGATCACATATAAAACAGGCAATGTAAATTAAAGAAAGAGTTTACACTGAAACATTTTTATTTGAATAATGATACAAAACAAACTTTCAAAGAGTTTTTTATTGAAGGAGAAAAATATTGTGTGCACACTTCTGAATGAACAACAGTACTGGTTTGGCCAACAAACTCAAATTAAATGACTATGACAACAATCTTTTCTTCAAAAACAGTCAGTGATCTTACAGAAAGTATTATTCAAATCCAACAACAACTAATGTACAAAGATTTACCTCTGTTCTGTTTTAAATGGTAAGGAAAGTCACTGTAAGTAAATTTGCTCATTTGTTTCCGATAATGGTATGAGTAAAACTTGTCTTTCTTCTACTGAAAAACTGAAGTCACCTGAGACAATTTTTCTAGACACAAGGGAATTTAATGTGGCTTTTACTCATTGAACTCCTTAGGTTTCTGTTACACAATTTTACAGTAGAAATGGCCAATGAAATTGGACTCAAAAATTGTGTTTTTAGTAGAACTCAAGGCTTAGCTCAACTTTTTACAATAAACAAATTGTTTTGGAGAAATCAGTAATAAACTGGATGTGAGTAACATTAATTACTCAAAATTAAAATAAATACCTCATATTTTTAAATATCTGAATTACTTTTTGTTAAGGGATATTAAATTACAAACAGTTTTTAGACAGAATCCATAATTCTCCATATTTTTCTCTATGTGTTTCATTTGCTCCTGACTAGGAGAGTTTGTGTAACACTCAAAGCAATCATTTCCTCTTCTTGATCTTGATGTTTCATAGTTTAGCAGTATTACTGTAGGGAGAAATTAGATGCTGGTAACTCTAAGGGTTTGGTTTACTTCCTTCTAGGGTGTTATTGATGATCAAGATACAAGTGTTAAGAGGTATGGTTATTTATTTTATAAGTTGTTTTCAATTGGTTTTTCTATCACCCTATTCCCTAAGACATATAATTCATACAATTATTCTTGAAAAGTATTATATTGTAATAAGTTTTTGTGGTCAATTTTGTGTTACAAAAGTTATGCTTTTTTGTAGTGATGCTGTTCTAATTGCTGATAAGTTATATTTGAGATCAAATCAACAAACAAATAAATACATAAAGTCATTGCTGATGCACTTCAGCATTAGGACATGTTTAAGGGGCTCTACTACCTTACATTGCTATAGATTACAGGCAATCTGCACTGTTTATAAAGCAATGAAAACCCCTTAAGAACAATACATGCAGCATACTGGTTGAAGAAGGAGACAATGCTGTAAAAAGATGATGATAAATTATTAGAAGGTGCTTTGTGTGGTTGCAGGTTACTGAGTTATCCAGAGGGACTGGGGTTTGAAGAACATCTGAAAATGAGCAAAGGCTTTAACAACCCAAGAAATATTGATACACTCATTGATGTGCTTGGTATTGATACATCTGCCCCCTGCTCCCTGTTGAGAGGATTCCAAAGGTGTGCTAGACATCATAGCTGTTTTTTCAGAGTTATTTGGCTCTAAAACTCGGATATGTAAATAATAGTACATGTTCTATAGAATATTTTGCAGAAACACAATTACCAATGCATTGTTAACTTGGAATTGTTCCTATAGGTATAATTGTCCTGAAGAGGAATTTGCAGAACAGCTAAGAAGACAACAATCTGCCAAGTGGTCAATGGATACGTAAGAAATTTATTATGTAGCTATTACATGGAGCATTAAGTGACTGTAACATTTTGGAAAAATTCCAGCCATTGTGTGTTTCATTCTTAAAATGGCAAAGCGATTCAGTCCATTAAAGGTGAAAGTATCAATTGATTTTTCAATTTTTTCTACAAAGCAATTTTTTCATTATTCTCTGATAGTGAATGATGTCTTTCTATTAGTGCTTTACTTTTCTCTTATACTCAAAGGTCACCACACTTTTTTTTCTAAGAAACTTTGGTGTCAAGTTAATTTAAGGATCTTAAAATTGTTTGTTTTGTAGCACTGCCAAGGGAGTGGAACATTTTAAGACAGGAAATTATGACACTGCCTTGAAATACTTCAAGCATGCACTGCAGATTGATGGTAAAAATGTTGAGGCAATGGTGGCACAAGGAGCTCTGTGAGTCAATTACAGTTTCTCTATTTCAGTTTCTCGCCTTTTAGAAGTTTCTTTTTAATGTTGCATGGTTCCTTTTTCAGTTTCCATGGGTCACTCCTCAATTTGTTTTGGGCTGTATTACCTTTTTGTTTTTGCAACAGTATGTTGCATGTTATCTTGCATGTTACACCTGTTTAGCTTAAGTTTAACAAAGGTCAAAACTTTGCATCAGTTACACATGTTATCCTGTTCTTATCCCAATTATTTGTCATTTGTGACATTACCCCGATTTAGTCAGTTGATGTAAGTGACAATAGTTGGTTAGAGGCAGTCAAGGTTGATTCAGGCCAAGTAAAAGTTAGAGATTACTGTGAGTTACTTTTGAGTTACTTTTGCTTGAACAAATTTTGCCTTTACATGATGAGTTGCATTAACTGTTTGTTTAGGTATTTTTAAGTCAATTCATTGTTTTTTCAGGTTTGCCAACCAAGACCAGCTTACTACTGCTGTTAAGAATTTTAAGGATGCACTAAAAATTTGTCCAAGCCACAGGAATGCCAACAAATATCTCACAGCAACTCTTGTGGAACTTGGAATACAGTTAGTACTGGTGGTCTAGTTTTTATTTAATTTTATTTTTATTTTCTTTTTATCATGATTGGAGATTGATGAAATACAGAATATCTTTAGTTTGAAACCCATGATATCTTCACCATGTGCAGTGAAGGTACCATTCTTATCTTCCGACTTGTGAATGTGACAAGGTTTTCCTGTTGACTGGGTTAATCAACATAGCAGTTTTACTTTTTACAGATCATCTTAATTTTTAAGTTACCAACATCACTGAAGATTAAATTTAACTTTTCTCTAAGAGGAAAAAATTTTTATGACAAGATCTTTTCTTAATTTTATGTCGGAAGTTGAAATAGTTCACTTTTTTTCTGTAGCTGCTTCTATGTCACAGTGATCTCTGCATTCTACATGTATGCTCTTAACTCTTTAACTCCCAAGATCTCATTAGTAATTCTCCTTACTGTCAGCTATTCAGTTCTTGTGATGTTAGTTTGGAGAATTTGGTATTGGATCAATTTATAATCCCCCAACTGATATTTTTCTTTATTTTCATTACTTGTCTGCTCAATTTTGTATTGATATTGTAAGGAGAAATTCTGTCTTGGTCACTCATGGGAGTTAAAGGGTTAAAATATTTTTTAAAATTGTTTGGTTTATGCTCTTATACCTACATAATAATTAGAACATTACATGTCTAATATTCCATATTTTATTCTGCTCTTTTTCTTTTGAACTGTTAATGTATATTCAGACAAGAAAAAGAAGGTCTTTTGAAAGAAGCCATGCAGACTTTCAAAGAGGCACTGGGACTAGATTTTAACCAGGAAACTGCAAAAGAACATCTGGAAAATTTAGAGCAGCAAGTTAAACTGATGGAGCAGGTGAGTCACTTGTTTTGGGTAAGAAGTGCCTCAAGTAACTATTTGCATGAAAGTCAGATATTATCATTTTCCCCAGATGACAATTCTGTATTCAATCTTAATCAAACCTTTTTACCAGGAGGGGGAAAAAACCTATAACTTCAATTTGGGCCCAGAGGCTCTTATAATACTTGTATTTCTCCAAATTTATCGAGCCTTAGTCAGCTGGGACAAGCAAAAAAGAAAGTGACTTCAAATTGGCAGTAGTTATGCAAGGAGAGCTTGGGAAGGGGTTTTTTTTTCACATGAATTCCCCTGACAACCACAAATTAAGTCGTACACCTGTCTTTTTGCTTGACTTCACTGGACAAGAGCCAGAGACAGGCCAGAAATTAGGGCAAGGGGTTTCCTGTTAAATGTGTAACACATGTTTTCAAACATTTTTTCATGTTTTCAGTTTAAATTCTTGCTAATGCGGTTTTATTTTTTCCTTTCATGTATGGCTGCTGTGGTTCACCCCTTGATTGCTGGATGAATGAAATTGCTGATTTGTGACCCCTGTGTTGTCAATTATTAATCTGCTGCAACACTGTAATTCAACAACTGAATTTCTTCCCTGGAATGTGCCCTTTTTATGGAATTGTTTTTAAAAATTTTTTTGTCTGTTTCTATTGCAATTTGAAATAAAACTATTGAACCATTTTGTCCTGTTGCCATTTACTTTAAATCCTTCCCCTTTCTGAATGTGACGATTGTTTCACTTACTACTATCACATCACTTTTAATTACCACATTATTTGAAATAACTTTTGTTTTCACTTTTTGCTATCATGTTTAAAAATATTTCTATGCCTTTTTTTTTCACTTTTAATATTACTTTCCATTAATTGTTTTATTTACAACTTTTTCCTTCATTTTATTTTTTCTCTTTAATTCATTTACTTTGCTTTGTTGTGATTTTTTTATTTACTGTTTCTTTCTATCTCTATTTTCTTTGTATACATCCTGTTTAATTTTTTATTTTTTCCTGCCCTATTTATTAACTTATTCATGTCCAATCACACCATTGGTAATGCATCTGGCATTGTCTTTCTTCATGGTATTTTAACTCACCTGGTTTTTTCCCACTGTGAAATTTCCTGTGGTGCCAGAAGAAATCACAAGCTGCAACAAGGGCAGACAAAGGGTTGAAGAGCAGATTCAGTCATGTGCGAGAGCTAATACTGGAGGAACAAAGTCAGGCAAGGAAGAAACAAAAACGAAAACACAGGTATGGCCAGTTCCAAGATAGTTGTGCATGTGATGGTTCCTGTTGTTTTGAAACCAGTTTGATCATTAAAGTCGTTTGTAAAAAAAACAATAGAGAGAGAAAATTTTAGCCAGGCCCTATACATGTATATGCTTCAAAAGATACCCCTTTTTTTCTCAGAAGGCTGAGGTTATGCCAGGGTATTATTCGTGTAGTTTACATAGTTCTACACACTCATTCTTAATTAAGATACAAAACCTTTGCATTAAGAATCTGTCCAGATTTGTAGTTAGTTGTCTTAATTAGTGTACTACTTATCCAACTTATTTGGGCATGAGTATTTTTCTCCTTATTGACAGCCCCATCTCTTAACACTTCACAATTGCATTATGTTCTGTGTGTTAGGGAAATATTCTTCTTTGCTTGAATAAACACCTGCCCCAGGGAGAGTCAGAAGTCACAAGTCAGGGGTCCTTGTTCTGTGAACCACTTCCTGTTTCTTTATTTGAGTTGTATTACTTGCAATCAAGATTTTTTTCAAGTTTTAGCCTTTTGCACCACTAAAATTAAAATATTGAGTTCCAGAGAGAACCAAACCTTATACTTTGTCAGTAAAAAAATAACCAGTTACATGCTATTTGCACAGTATCCTATTTTATTCTGGAATTGATTTCAGAATCTGACAGTGCTAGAGTATTGTACAGCATGTATGTTGTACACTTTATATCCTAAGAACAAATGGATTCCCTCTTGAATGCCTGGTTAGCTCTATTGTTGTTGGCTGTACATGCAGTATTGTCTACATGATCATTGTAACATGTTATTTGTTTCTGTAATGACCATGTGGTTGCTGCTCTGAACAGCTGGAAAGCAATGGAGCTTGGTAAAAATAGGAAGTTAATTATTATATCAGATTCTAAATAGCCCCAGATTAACACTTTACACCCTAATATCAGTATGCAAACTCTCCATATCATGCTCTATACATTTCGTAAGGTGCTGACAAGGAGAATTTGTTTAGCAATCAAGCTTCTTTAGTTGGTGATCATTTCTTTTATTCTCCTAGCCTAAATGATGGGTTGGGGATGATATTGTAAGGAGAAATTAGATGTTAGCTACTCTTAGGTGTTGAAGGGTTAACGATTGAGGCTTCTTGAAAGTACTGAACTTTTTTTCTGGTCATTAAATTTTTTGTTGTTTCTTATTTCATAATTTTTGTTTTTGTTGGTAGAAAGAAGAAAACAGTTGAACATCAGAAGAAGAAAAAGAAAAAGAAAGCAAGAGTGAGAGTTGGATGTCATTCAAAGCGATCATCAAGCTCATCATCTCAGAGCTCAAGTGAATCTTCCAGTAGTGAAAGTGAATCTTCAACACAGTCAAGTGGCAGTGACGAATGGGTGGAAAGTACTGCAGTTGAAAACAAAACTAAAATAGATAGAAAGAAACACAAGCATTCTAAAAGACAACAGAGGTTAAGTCAGAATGTGAGAGAAAGTCATGTTCATGCTGACAGGTCAAAAAGCAACAAATATTCACGGGAAATTCATCATTGGACTGATTCTGATTTAATAGATGTAAGCAAAAAACCCAGCCCAAGGCAAACAAGACTGAAGGTTGAAGAAAGAGAAAGAAGAAAAAGCCCTCATCCTTCAAAGTCATCTGTAAGTTCCAGCATTGATGGAGAGAAGGTGAAACAATATAAAGATGATAAAGAATCAATGGAAAGTAGATCTAGGAAAAGAAAAAACAGTGAGAAAGACTCTTATAAACAAGAAAGCAAGGATTCAATGTGTTCAAAAAGAGCTCAGTTATCAGATAACAATGGTTCTGCATCATCCAACATCAGTGAGAATTCTATCACAGGAATGCTGAAGAGAATCAGAGAGCATAGTGACAAAAATGACAGGTTGAAGGAGACAAATGCAAGAGAAACCTCAGGTGCCAGTTCAAATTATAAATATGCTGCTGCTACTGATATAGGAAGTAGAGGAAGAGCACCCAGCTCCAAAAAGGAGAAGAACAATGCAGAGAAAGTTAAAGAAGGCTCTGTAACCAAGGCACAAAATGTTAGTGCAGTCCATTTTCCTGACTCAACAGATGCTTATGGGAATGCTAGAAGTTCAAATACAGACACTAAATCAAAATTCCTCCATGCACAAAATCAGCATAGTGATTTCATGTGGAACAGGAAACCATCACTGGTTACTTATGAGGCAAGTTCTGATGAAGAACAAGGCACTTCACACATTTAACAATTAGTCTAAAATATTGTTTTTGGTATTTTGTTCAAATGAATCAGGAAGTGGTTAGTAAGCCTCCTAAATTTTAAATGTTACCAATAATATCAAATTTTATTGGGGAGCCTTTAAATGGGGGGGATTCTCATTGCCTTGCCCTGTCACACACAGGAGTGGGTTAGTTTTTATAGAGGGGAAAAGAAAATATCTGGAAAATTACAATTTCTGTGGGGACTTCTCACACACCCCAGCTTTCCCTAGCCTTAACCCTTTAACTCCCAAGATCTGATTGTTTCTTCTCCCCTCTAGCTGCTACACATTTCCTTGTAAATTGTTTATGAGAATTTGGTGTTCAATCAAAGTAATATTTTGTATCTGATGAGTTTGAGTATTCTCATTACCTGTTTGCTGGATAATGTATGGATATTATAGGGAGAAGTTACATGTTAATCACTTCTGGGAGTTAAAGGGTTAATGTGTCTTTCGAACCCCATCTCTACTATTGCACAACTCCAACTTCCTCTACTCTCCTTTCCCATTGAGTTGAGGCAGACATTTGTTATTTGGAAATGTTTGGGTTGAGAATGGACAGGTATTGGTCTCCTCTACAATGTTAAGTAGACAAATTGTAAGAAGCCCATTTACTCTCTGAACCATAGCTGATTTTGTCCCTTCTCCATTAAGTAGAATCTGAAATTAAAATCCTCTCAGCCCTATCTAACCACTCAAAATACCATTGACAACCCCATTTTTTTCTCCTCTTTATAAGCAATATGATCTCTGTGACACAACTGCTAACATTGAGAACCACCTTCATAGTTCTAATTAAAATGGTGTACCAGTTATAAGAATGTTTTGCTAAATTTCAGATAAGAACCTCAAAACAGGCTATTTTATGAATCTGTTTCTCAAAAAAAAAAGTCAGAACCAGTATTAGATTCGCTAATCACTGATAGCCTCTAAATAAATATTTTATTTTGATCTAAGTTAGAGTGTTATTGTGTTGTGTCAAAAAGATAAGACCTTCTCATTAACCAAGCATGAGGGCCATTCAGGGGAACTGGCCTGTTGTCATGCTAGTAAGAGCTAAGTGCAGCAAGGTCTGTATAAAAACGATTGAAGGCCAATATTCCCCAGTATAGCTTGAGCAAGTGAGGTTAGTGGTTCATTATATGGCACTGGGACCAAACATTTTTATTTTTAATTTTTGGGCTTTTGCAACCAAAAATACACAGTATACACACCGAACCATTCAGGTGGAAACAGTCTGTATGGCAAATTATGGACCAAGTATGAACCAATCAGAACCCTCAGATCTACCTCAGGACTAACTTGACATATAACAATTCCAGTTATTTGTTAATTGCAATGCACTGGCTATGTTGCCAACTCAGTCATCCTTGTTCCTTCTTTGTTTTTTATTACCTCTTGAGAATTTTGCCCAAAAGATTTCTGCACCACAGAAAACGATGAATTATTTTACAATTCTTTTTTTAAGCTCAAAGGGCATCTGAATGGGGCAATTTGAAGGATGGTGTGTGACTAGACAAATTATAATTTTTTTAGCCATTTCTTTGATGAGTCAAGTCTTAAATTAATCCACAGTCATTAAGTATGAGTTAAAAGCTTATTTCTTTAAAAAAGAATTGAGAAAGTTAAAATATAGACCTCTGCACTCCTCTCCCCTCCCCCTCAAAATTTCGTTCCTCTTGGCACCAGTTCCTCTTTTAGCTTAGCAACCTGGCAATATTTACGTAGTGACTTCCAGTAAATCAGAACCCTTTAATGTTTTATAGGATGATTACGGAGACCGGTAGTTTATAATTTTAACGCCTTAGAACGGGAGAAAGTTATTTATTTTGATTATCTAGCGAACAGAATGTACCACAGGACACTTGCAGTTCGTTTAGCGTATGGTTCCATGTCGCTTTTCATAGCGATTCTCCACAATGTGTTCCTTCTGTATTACGTAGACATATTTGTTTCCGTTTACAAAATTGATCGTAATTCTTTTTGGCTCGGAGAGGTAAGAATATTCTTTTTTATGCTATTATGTTAATTTGGAGTCAGTTGATATTTTGTTATTTAAATAACAAAATATTTAAATAACATTCTTTTGTTTTTAAAAATCAGATATAAATAACCAATAAAATCTCGTACCCAATCACGTACTCTGGGATTCGTAATAAAAATTATTGAGATTTACTCAAATGTAGAATCAGGCAGACCCTTTATAACTTAAAGGTGATGAGCACTGTTTTATAAATGAACAAGAGAAATCGATAGATTTTCAAGGTTAAAATGTAAGCGTTAAAATTAGCGATTCAGAGTTTCATTATGTGAATATTGTTGCTATATACATTTATTAAGACTTCGACTTCGCAAATTTGCCTTGGTCAGAGAAAAATTGAGAGCCAAGACTACAAAAGTGCTGGAGGGGAATTTCTGCCAGCAATCCCGACTAATTTTGCAGTCCTTTCAAGCACTTCATAGCACTGCTTACAAGACATATAAACTGTTTTCACCTGAAATGAATTAATCTTCTTTGGTTTGTCCATGTAGGCAATATTTCTAGTATGGAATTCTCTGAATGATCCACTTTTTGGCTGGCTGAGTGATCACAGAGCCCTTGGGAAAAATCAGTAAGTTAAAGATATTTTTAAATTTGTATTTAATAAAGCCATCAAGGGTCAGTTACTTTCTTAGTAATTTTTACTCTAAAGTCTAGTTTGAATTTGAGTCAGTCTTAACTTATACCCAAAGTCAAATTACTTTTAGTAATAGATACTCAGATGTGGAACCCTTTTTCATAAAACTCAAACCAGGTGAAAAGAATAACCCCTCAGTATAAATAAATACAGTTCAGAGTGGATAAGAACCTTTAATTTTAAGACATGTAGAATACCTCTGATGTTTTAATACAAGTAATTCAACTTCTCTTTAAACCTTGTTTGCTATATATGAAAATGTTTAGGGGACTAAAAGAAATACAATGACATGCTTATTATTGCCTAAGGATATTTGTATCATTCTAGACCCCGTTGTTCAAAGAGAAAATAACGCTATCCAATGAATAAATTGCTTATAGTTAAAAAAACCATACTACGCTATCTACTGACTAGAGATTTATCCAGTAGATAGCATTATCCAACCTTCATACAACTGGGATCTCACCTGGTTTTAGTTGTCCAACTGTTAGATGACTCTTTACATTAAGAAGATTAGTTTTGAATCATTGAATTAAAAAGGCATGCATTGGCAGGGAGGTCAAATGCGAATTGTTGTGAGAGCAACATGATTATGTGCAGTATTTCATATGTATAGAGGAGGTTTAACCCCTTTCACTCCCAAGATCTCATCAATTATTCTTCTTACTATCTGCCATACAATTCTTATTATGTTAGTTTGGAGAATTTGGTATTGGATCAACTAAAAATCTCATAGTTACTATTCTTTGTTCTCATCTCTTGTCTGCTTTATATTGCATTGACACTGCAAGGAGAAATTCTCTTCAAGAGTTTTTTGCAGCTATAAACACTACTTGAAAGTTGAAATAAGACCAGAGAAAAATTCAGGCCCATACAGGATTTGAACCCATGACCTCTGCAACACTGGTATCGCAGAGGTCATGGGTTCAAATCCTGTACAGGCTTGAATTTTTTTCTGGTCTAATTTCAACTACTAGTTCAGTAGTGTTTATAGCGGCAAGGATCTCTTATATTCATCTCTTTACCGCAGTGCACATATATGATTTTCATATATCTGCAATCATTACTGAGAAATTCTCTCTTGGTCGCTCATGAGAGTTAAAGGGTTAAGCATAGCAAAGAGAGCTTCTGTTCAGATCTAAAAATCCCATTAAGAGCTCCTGATTGGTGCTACATATGAGTGAAAGATCACATTTGCTATAAAATTAAAAAGAAAATTGAAGTCAAATGTTTATTTGGAAAATATTTTGTTCCTATTTAAGGTCAAGCCTGAGTCAATCAGAGATTGTACAAAAGCGTTTTAGGTGAGTTGATCACTCAGTGATGAAATTTTTTTGAAGCTCTATTTCTCTTCTCATTTGTCATGAAGAAAAAAAGGAATTGCAAGACAAATACTCTATGAGGAAGAGAAAAACAGTGTATAACTGTAACTGTAATTGTAATTATTTGAAACAATGATAGTAATGACAGTAATTGTAATACTGATCACAGAAATAATATTGATAATAATGATGATTAGTTTTGTACTGAGTAAAATTTTAATGGGTGGGTTTGGAGTTGCTGAAACAGGCTTAGGATGTCACCTAACAGACTGTCACCCTAACATCAGCAGGGATATTCTCAATACTGTTTTATATACATTTCCTAAGTTGTTGACAAAGAGAATTTAAGTAGCAACCAAGAGCTTCTTTAGGGTTGGTGATCATTTGCTATATTCTTGTGATATTGGAGGGAGAAAGTAGGTACTAATTAGATACCTTCAGGTGTCAAAGGATTAAGAGAATCGTGTAATGTTGTGTTCATCAATCCCTCCAGAATTCTCCCTTGTTTTCCCACCTTAAGGATTCTCAGTTTTCAACTATTATTTAAGTTAACAGAAGACCCTTCCTTTTTTATTTCACAGGTCACTTATAACATATGGACCACTGTTTACACTTGCTTTCTTATGCATATGGTTTCAGTGGTGTCATCCATCAATCCAGTTTGTTATCTGTCTGTGTTTGTACGATGGTTTCTTAACAATGATTGACTTGAACCATCTGGCATTGCTTGCTGATTTGGCTTTGTCATCAGAAGATCGGACTGCCCTTAACTGGTACTGCTCAGTGTTCAGTGGATGTGGCTCAATGTCTGTGTTTCTGTCTTACCGCTTTTGGGATAGAGACAACATGGGGCCATTTCATGTATTCTGTGCTATACTAACCATCTTCTCCTTAACTGGATTTCTGGTCAGTTCATTTTTGCTTAAAAAGCATTTTGCCACCAAGAAGGTGAAAGTGGACACTCCTGACATGGAGGAAAGGCAAGTCTGAATTAAATGCTGTAAAAGTTCTTGTGGTGCACATTCTACAAAGTTAAACGTAGTTGCAGCAGTGCCTCAATGGAAAGTCAGTCATTTAAGTATGACCCTTTCTTAAAAAACAACAAGAATACTTTTTCAGTTACAGTTATATTAGAATGTAAACAGCATACTCAGTTTGTTGGGTTGTCATCATCATCATCACTATTATGTATTTGTGCATGTCTTTTTTTTGGTCATCTCAAAACAAAATGCCTTACAGGGCTAGGGGCCATTGAAGGGAGGTGGAAAGATGTAAATGTTAAATACTTAATTGTTTCAGATGACTGTTTGACACTCAAAGACATGTGATGCTTCTTTCTAGGAGTGATTGTTTCTCTCCACAAATGTCTCGCAGTTCATTTTTTTTTTCTTGGTTCAGAACTTCTCAAACCATGTTCCCTTTGACTTCCCTTTTAATAAGATCTCTTAACATTTTCTGAGACAAAGAACTGAAATTTTATGATGTAAACGCAGAGAGTTGTAACCTGAGTTTGACCCAAGAAAAGAAACAATCCTCAGAAAAAAATATTTGCTACAAGTAAATGTTAGCTTTAACCCTTTAACTCCAAAGATCTCATTAGTAATTCTCCTCACTGTTTGCCATAAAGTTCCTGACAATGTTAGTTTCGAGAATATGATATTGGATCAACTAATAATCCCCTAATTAACATTTTTCTTGATTCTCATCACTTGTCTGCTTGATATTGTATTGATATTGTAAGGAGACCTGTCTTGGTCACTCATGGGAGTTAAAGGGTTAATCTGTATTTTGCAAATTCATTGTCTTCTGTGGTCACATCTGTATTTTGCTCTGCATGGTTAGAGTACTCCATAGACAAGTGATACGATTTTTGTATGCTATATTTAATTTTTTTTATGTATTTGTTGGGTTACTTTCTATATATTGTAATTCTGAAACCTTGTTTTACAGGAAAGACATTCAAATTTCCACCGAGTCAGAGGCTGATCAGACTCTTGAGCTAAAGATTTTTGTCAAGCAATTGATTAATCATTCAAACTTTATCTGGTTTGCTCTCATGAACTTAATACAAGTGAGTACCCATGAAAGAAAGACTTCATGAAAACGCGAACCACACTCAAAATCTCGAGTTTTCCCAAATCTCTCTTTCAAAAGGATCCTCATTATAATTGAGGCTCATTATTGGGAGGGACCTAGAAATAACATTTGAAACGGGAAAGAAATGAAGGCAAGATACTCTTAATTTCCAAAGCTGTAATTCCCCATTGATACGAGGAACCGCTTTCAAATAAGCAAAAATGGCTTGATGAAGAAATTAATTAATTTAATTTAATTTATTTCAGAGCCCTTTTCGTAAACAATGTCATAACGCAGCTCATAAATCAACAATGAACCCATAGAATTTCCCCGTAACACAAACATTTTGCTATGCATAATGGCGATTGCCATACCATGCCCACTATTTCAAACTTTAATCCAATGGTCGACGCACGTGTGAAAATCGTTAAACTGCAAATAGGAAAGTAGTTTCTTTGAGCGCTCTGAATATAGTTAGTCGGGGCGTGGGAAAACTGTATTCAGCCGCCTTAAGTGAAAAACTTGGCGATGAAGTTCAAAGGGTTTCCTTTAGAGTTGAAGACCTAAAACTGACTGGCTTTCTCTCTCTTGCAGGTGTTTCACTGCCATTTCAACAGTAACTTCTTTCCTCTGTTTCTCGACAAGCTACTAGGAGACTCAATTTCTCCTCAGACAGGCGCCATTTTGTTGGGTGTGTCCTTTGTTGCTCCTCATATCAACAACCTATATTTCCTGGGTCTTTGTCGTCGCTTTGGAGTGTACACTGTAATCAAGTGGCTGTTTTACGTTAAGCTTTCTCTTAGCGTGATCATGCTCATGGTCGGTCCCAATTGGCCTGGTTTGCTTTGTTTTTACATAGCGAGGTAAGATCCTGTTGCCACTGACAGAAGTTCTTGGTGTACTAGTCTTGATCGAGTTGTGATTTTTTGTTCACATGAAGACCGAGCCGAAATTGTAAACAAGTACAGCATTATCTGTTAGAGCATATTAAGTTGCAGCTTGCGATCTCCTATTTAAAGTCCGTTGTCGAGGACTGAATAACGTTAGATTTGATGCTCTCCTGCGTTGCTGAAGATTGCGGTACAAAGACCTTAAAGTCCCTCTCTATGACATTAAGATCACTGTCTCTCTGTTTTTCTGTAGGCAACTGCTTTCAAAATTATACTTAAACTGATTGATTCAAGCTCATCCTTAGAAACAAATATCTGTAGTTACTTCGGGCCGATTATTTACACGTGGTTTAACCCAAACCGCGGTTTCCACGCAAGCAGTGGGTCTCAGCAATTTTTTATATGAGAGTTGATTTGATAAAATAAATGTCATTCCACTATTAGCCTTAAGTCCTCTCGACACTGTTCACAAAAATTAATGTTCAAGTAAACGGTTCGGCTAAACTGAAGATGGCTTAGAGCGCAGTTTTGTTAAAAAAAAAGGTGTTGAAGTAACCGTCTCATTCAGTTTTACTTATAACAGGTAGAGCCCCTTAATTAAGGGATGACTGATTGACTGATTAGTGTTCGTTGTATTTCAGTAATCGCGTTTTCACCGAGGGAACATGCAAACTTCTTAATCTGATCATCAGTGACCTCGTGGACGAAGACTTTGTTCTTCACAATCGTAAACAAGCTATATCAGCGCTGATATTTGGAACTTCTGCACTCTTCTCTAAGCCCGGCCAAACACTAGCTCCTCTGATAGGAACATGGCTTCTGGCGAAACAAACAGGCTATTCTCTCTTTTACTCAGACGATCTTTGGGCGTCTTCATCCACCGACAGAACTAGTTTCCACGACAGTGCAAATAGCTCTTTACGCTGGGGCTGCTTTTATGTACTTGTTTACGTGCCTATTGCGTGCGCGTGTATTCAGATCCTCGCGTGGACGAGGTTTAAACTTCACGGAAGCAGATTGCAATGGGTAAAACAAATGCGCGAAGGACGCTGGTTCCCTTTTACAGAGGTTTAGAAAATTTTAGAAAAAAAAGAGGGTTTTAAGTAATATACCGTAGATAAAACCAGAGAAATTGTTCTGGCGAACAAGGGCAAACAAAGCTGTTATTTGAAAATTAAAGGACTCAGTAAGGAGTCAAATCAAATAGGCACAAATGGAGCCAGCGCACTGGGTTTTCAGGCGTTTTTTGCTCTCCGTCGTGTTGTTATTTCTGAGAAATGAATTATGAAAGAGAGGGTAACAAGTTATTTCTTATCAAGATAAATATATTTTGCAAATTCTTGTTATAAATAGAAGGGTATATAGAATACAAAGTGTCTTAATGAACACAGTAGTTTTTCTTTAAACATCGTGTTTGATTCTCTCGGTTTTTTTTGTAGAGGGGTAAGTTTCTAAACAAACTGTGGTGCTGCGTCGGTAGGAGAGTGTAACAAGGAAATTTGGTATTATCAACTGAGTTGATAACGTAAATTGGCCAAGATAAAGAGTTTCAAAGCTGACGTTTCGAGCGTTGACCCTTCGTCAGAGCGTAGGACGCCGGTCAATTTGCTCAAACGTCAGCTTTGAAACTCGTAATGGTGGCCAATGTATGTTGTCAACTCAGTTAATAACAGCAACTATTTTTGTAGTGGACATTCGTAAGTAACTATGACAGACACATAAAGCCAGGAATACGTGATTGAGTCGGTGAACAACCTTTACTACAGAAGATGGGTTTACCAAGTGTGAGGAAGTCTTAATATTGAAACCTCTGTACAACGCTATTTGGTCGAGTGGATCATCACTGACCCACTCAAGTGAACATTATGCTAATTATTCCTACGATTTTAAAACACGGTTGACCAAGTTTTGATTTGGTCTAGTTTTGCATCTGATTGGGTGGATGCTGGAGAAGTCAGAACACGTGGTAGCTTCCTATCAACCAGTTGATCACGGAATTTAGTGGGAAAAACTAACGCAATCTCGTATCCCTTTCGATATAATACTGAACAGTTGATCAACCTAGGTGTTGAATCAGCACCAAACGAGAAGGGCTGTCTAACGATTTCCAGTTAACTCCCACTGGCTAATGTCACAGGTTACTATTTACATTGGCTTTTATGTTTGTTTTTTTCTTTAACTTTTTCTATCCATCTCGTAATTTGTGACCATTTTTCACGTGAGCGTAGCCCGGATTAGCTAAAACTAAATCACTTTATCTACCTTGCTTGAACTGATCTGCACAAAGCAGGTTTTTCGTTGACCACTAAAAACACGAAACGTTTTATTTAAAGACAGTAATTGACAAGCATAAGAAAAATAATGTTCATTTCCGGTCTCTACCTCTTGCCACAGTTCAAGCATAGTCTGGAACTAAAGGGAAAGAGTTAAGAGCTTTAACCACAATTAAAGATTCCAACGTCCAACCAAAGATTTTAAGTAAGCTAGGGTGGTTGTATGATAAAACTGAAAAAACTAAGATATGTTGCGCCCTGGCGGTGAAATGTCTTTGAAAAATCCGTTTTAGTTGGGAGACAACTCGGGGAAAGAGAGAGGACTGAAGAGCCTGGAAACTAGCGAGAGGACAAGAGTTAGGTCTGAGAAATGGCGACTGCCCAGAGAAGGGGTGAAGATACTTCACCTTATCAAAGGTTGGAAAAAGAAGCCGAGTGCCCATTGTGTCATCAAACAGTAGAGGAACCTAAACGACTACCTTGTAACCACTCATTCTGCCTAAAATGTCTCAACAGACAAGCAGTGGATGCAACAGTTGACGGGAGATCAGACATTATCTGCGTTGCTTGTCGATCGTTTGTCAAGATTCCCGGCAAAGGTACATTTGACGAACTTCCAACTCCTTTCTACCTCAACAGACTAGCAGAAGTTGTTTCCATTGCAGCCTTCGATTCTTGCGAGAAAACCTGCTGGATGTGCAACCAGAGCAAAACCTTGCGTTGTTACTGTTTCGAGTGCCAGAAATTTATGTGTGGATCTTGTGAAAACAATCGTAAGTGTGGAACTTTAGCCCAATCTCATCGCACCGTCCTGATCCAGGATCTCACAGAACAAGATTTTGAAAGAATCATCCGAAGGCCTGTCATTTGTAAAACGGAAAAACACGAGAAACTAGTAGAATTTTATTGTCACGACTGTAAAGTTTGCATTTGTAAACTGTGCGTGATTAAATTCCACAATATTCATGATGTCGAAGGCATCGAGCAAGCCTCAGAGAAAAGCAAAGTGAACGTGATGGATTCTGTTAAGAAGCTCAAGAATGTATTGAGTGATTGTGAAACAGAGATTGAGAGACGTAAAAAGGGTGCTCTTAGAATAGAACGTAACATAAAGACAGTTGAAGAGGAGGTTCACAAGAACGTGGAAGAACTTATCATGAAACTGAGGTTATATGAACAGGAAGCTCTAGCAACGTTACAAAACTTGGGAAACAAAAATCAAAGTGCCTTTAAAGAGCAACAAGAAAAAAATGAATCACGACTAGCAATGTTGAAAGATTTTCTTTCCTATGGGGAAACTGTGTTGCAAAGTGATTTGCCCCTTCCAGTTCTGGATGAGCACTTCACCTTTGTAGAACAGTTTGGACAGACTTTACAGGTTGAAGATGAGGATAGTTTTGAACCACTTCAAGTTGATTATGTCCCAAACGAGGAATTTACGGAAGTATTGAAGGCTAGTTTAGGTAACATTGTTGTTCGTTCCACAGACATGACAAGATCTGTGCTTGAGGGAAACTTCTCAAAGACAGTGATGGAAGGGGAGGAGACTTGCTTCACAATCATCACAAGAGATCAAGATGGAGAAAGTATCTATTGTGAAGATGATTTGGTTGTTGTCAACATTTCCACTTCTACAGAGGAAGAGTTATGTAAAGAAATAGAAGACAATCAAAATGGTAGTTACAAAGTGACCTGCATCCCACAAAGTAGTGGCAAGCACAAGGTATCTGTGGAGATTAATGGTGAACCACTGGCTGGGAGTCCATGGACATTTGATGTAATCTCACCTGGTGATCTCACTTGAGCTATATTTTTTCCTTTATAACAATAAGAAAATGTCTATGAGGCATCATCGTACCATTTGCTTAACTATAGAAGGTACCTATAGTTGAAATACAATGTGTACAGTGGAAAAACAAGGTTCTGCTTGATTGACAATGCTTGAGGTTCCATATTTTTAATCAACAAAATATAGAAATTTATTGCATGGCAAGGTATTCCTTAAGTAAATCCAAGTATTCTGATTGGTTCTTACCTGGTCTGTATTTTGTTATACAGCCCATTTCCATGGAAACAGTCACAAGGCATGGTACTTCTGGTCACAAAAGCTGGAAAATTTAAATTAAACAAGTTCAGTCTGAGTGCCATATAATAAACTACTTAGTAAACTCACTTGCTTGATGCAAACTGGGGAATACTGAATCTCAGTCATTTTCATGTGGATCCTAGTGCACTTGATACTGCTACAACGTTGAGCCAATATTCCCCAGAATGGCCCTAGCACTTGGCGAGTAAGAAATTAACATAGATAGATAGACTTGAGTCTAGTTCTTTCCATAGAATAAGAAATGAATCACTGAAATACTCCAAAACATTTGAGTCATAATATTTTCGAAAGAATTATTAGGCATTTGTATAGTACTGTTACCTGTAAACAGGCATTTTCATATCAAAATGTAGTCTCAATAATTAGTTAGCTATTAAGATGAGACAGAAAAGAAATAGTATTACGTTAAGTTGGAATAAGTCCCAAAATTTTGCCATCTGTTAATCCAGGGTTAAAGAGCAATTTTCAATGAGAGGTGGAAAGAAATATGAATAGTGGTTTTGCTATTCTTTGTTTCTTGCTTGCTTTAGCCAATAAAACCTACTCCACTCGCTCAACCAATCAGATTCAAAACTACAGCCGCCCGCGCCAAGTTTTCCTACTTAAAACTACATTGGTTTCCAGACCCCTTGGTCGGCGAAGTTACCCAGTAATTGCGGTAATAAGCGAAGAAACCTAATGTTGGCAACCAGATGAATTTGAGTGTTTTCTTCGATCCCCTGAAGGAGATGTTATCACAAATACCACACATGAAAAGAATCTCAATTTTACTCATGGACAAGATTACGGGAAACAAAGAACGACTAGATTTTCGTCGTTCTAGTACCTAGCATCAGTTATCATTGAAGTAGACTTCTTCTGCCTGGGGTGTCTTTTATTGCCATTAACCACGTGTTCAGTCATCTCTAGTCTAGATAAGAATCATTTTATTCCATACTGTTCCCGGCGTTTTATCAGGATTCTGGGAAAATTCGGCGGCAGCTGCTCAGACTTCTGGGTGGAAAGAGACACTGGATAAAATGTCTCTCTTAACAAAATGACCTGACTTATTTCGCTCATGAAGCTGGACTGACCCTGACCCCAGAGCTAACCACGCAATCACCACAGATCAAGGGACTTCACAGAACGCCAAGGCTAGACTATTGTAATAGTAAAATACGCAAAAAAAAAAAAAAAGACTTTATATGACATGGTTATTGGCAAAATTTACCAACGTATTTTTAATAAGGGTTTAGTTAGGGTTATTCATCGTGTACTTTAGGGATTTACTTAAGGGTGTTGGATATGCATCATTCATCTTGCGCATTTTAGTTTAACTTATGGTTACATACTGTAATAAAAGGTATATTTAATCGTAATAATGATAAAGTCAGGCGTTAATACTACTAGGTTATTAAACTAGCTGTACTAATGTAATCTTTGGACCAACACTGCTTCGGGGAACAACCAGTCTGGCTTTCGATTTGAATTGTGAGAAGGAAAGAGATACACGAAGCATGTATTGGTTTAGTTGATCTCATAGGGTGTTTTCAGCTGACTTAACTTCCTATGAAAGAAACTAAGTTTATTAGGCTATGAAAAACCCACACTTTATGTCCCGATAAATTTCATTATTTTTTCATTTTCGACACAAAATCCACCAGCTGTGAGGATGAAAAAATTGTAGCTCATCCCTTCCTAGTTTCGCGCAAAATTGAGAAAAGACACAATTATTAGGAAATACTCTTGATCCCTCGACCTCCTTTTCATTGGCAGAAAATAACTTTATGTGCGCTGAGATCAATCAAATGGTCAAATCAGTTTATCGTACGCAATCCCTTACCATTTAAAATTTGATAATTTCCATAGAATCCCCCCAAAAATCATCTAAAAATCTCAAAAGAACTCTAAACAAGGATACAGATTTACCAAACGTTTTATATCATCGATTCCCATTTGAATATCTTACTGACTAACGCTTGGTTTTTTTTTCCCACACGCTCCTTTCAAAACTTATAGAGACAAAAATCTGGGGTACAATGAAATAAAGGAAAAAAAATTAAATCTGTAAAATGAAGTCAAAAGAATTTTATAGAGGAAATTCCTTTAGTTTATTAAACTGGTGGTGGAACATAGAAAATGAATCATCAGGTATATAAGAGAAACAACTCTGCATGTGGGCTACATAATCTGCGACCTTATCTATGTGGGTAAACTTTGAAAAGCTTCCTAAAACTTTGGTTCTAATTTGTGCAACGACATAAATCAAACCTGTAATAAGATAACTTTCACATAATTTATTCAATTTTTCCTTAATACATAGCTAGATTAAAGACAAGTTGAAGAAAAAAAAAGTCAAAGAGATGGCAAAAAAAAGTTCTGAAAGCTTTTCGCAAGATTAGGAAACACCTGCAGACAAAGTCAACAACACCATTTGTTAGAGACAGTGTTCGTTTACTCTTACTTCACCCTTCTACAAAGAGAAAATTCAGTGCTTGTGTAAATAACCAACATCTTGGCATACTATGCTTGATAACCAACTAAAAGGTTGTAGATACAATACATGTCAACAACATACAATACAATTTTATTCTCCATTTATAAAGAGATAGTGATATAAATATCATAAGATAGTCATAAATCCTAGGTGGTTCACATCACAAGAGAGATAAGTCAGTTAACAATACTTGTCTTAGATAGCGTTGATTTAGGATATTTCTGAAAAAAAAAAACTGTTTCACAGGTCAATTTGAAATTCATTTGCGATGTATCTGAACAAAAGCAGTGATGTCTGACTCCTTTAGATGCCTTGAGACATCCCGCTTGAAAAAACAATGATTTCCCGACCCACGTCTATGCTCCCGATATTAACTAAATAAATTAGATATTGTTACCAAAATGGAGTTCAATAAATCCCTTCGTATTTCTAGGGATAATGCACAGAGTTTTTTAACGCCTATGGTGGGGGCGAGGGCGCATTAAATAGAAAGCGATATTTGGCAAAAATATCGCTCCCTGAACAACTATTTTTACACGTGCAGCTCGTGAGGGACATGCTTGAACAACTGATGCTACTTCATGGTGGATTGTTGTCAACGGAAACGTGCATCTTGAAAAAATACAGACAACAGGTGTTGCATACAGTTCAACCCTACATAGGGCTTACGCTATAAAAATCACAATAAGTATTTCAGTACCCCTCAGGATAGTTTCCTGTAAGAGCATCACTGAGTATTAACGATGAAATTGGTGTTGATCTCTCTGCTCCTTGGCTTTGCGCTTGTTTTCCAGCCTACGGCTTCAGAGTACATCCGTGGATGTTACTACACCAACTGGTCTCAGTACCGACCCAAAGGAGGAACCTTCTGGCCTGAAGACATCGATCCATTCCTATGTACCCATGTGCTCTTCTCCTTTGCACAGGTCAGCCGCGCGACTCACACATTGGAGATCTACGAAGAAAACGACCACGATCTGTACGGAAGAATCAATGCACTCAAGAAAGTCAACCCAAAGCTGAAGACCCAAATCGCTGTTGGTGGCTGGACTCATGAAGAGAAAGACAGCCCATTTTCCAAGATGGTGGCTACGAAAGAGAAACGTGCGATTTTTATCAAGTCGTCCATCGACACTCTGAGGAAGTTTGGATTTGACGGTCTGGACCTGGACTGGGAGTATCCCGGGATGCGCGGTGGATCTCCCAAGAGCGACAAGGGAAGATTCACTCTTCTTTGTCAAGAGTTAAGAGCTGCATTCGAGGCAGAAGCTAAAGCGACTGGGAAGGAGCGCTTGCTGTTGACTGCAGCGGTGGCGGCAGGACTTTGGACTATCAAAGGCGCATACGACATTGCTGCTATCGCAGAACCCCTTGACTGGATCAATTTAATGACTTATGATCTTCACGGCACGTGGGAATACAAGACAGGGCATCACGCTGCTATGGGACCAGAAGGCGACAAGCTAACCCTCCCCTTTGCTGTGTGGTACTGGATGAACAACAGGGACACGTGGGAAAAGCCGGGAATCAGGAAAGGGATGCCAGCTAACAAGATTGTCCTTGGTCTAGCTACATACGGACGCGCGTTTGGATTATCAAGCCCAGCAACAAATGGCCTTGATGCGGCACGAGATTACCAGTACACCCCCAAAGGAAAGTTCACAGGCGCGGAGGGGTTCCTAGCTTACTATGAGATCTGCAAAATGGGACTGACTGTTGTGGAAGACAACAAGGCCATGGCACCGTACGGTTACAAGGGGAAGGATTGGGTCGGTTTCGACAACCCGGCAAGCTTGATCTACAAGATCGACAACGTGGTAATGAAGAACGCACTACGAGGTGTTATGTTCTGGGCGATTGACCTGGATGACTTCTCTGGGGAGCACTGCGGGCAAGGCAAGTACCCACTTATGAACGCCGTCAAGAAATACCTTACATCCGGGGTACAACCACCTCCAGTTACCAATCCTCCTCCACCTGTGACAACGCAGGCCCCACCCCCCGTCCCGAATACCACACAAGCGCCTCCGCCTCCCTCTGTCACTACTGAAGCTCCACCTCCAGTAAGTCCCACAACTCCAGGGGGAGGGGGTGCAGGAGGAAATTGCGTCGCCGCTGGCCCGTGGGCTGGTAATGCCGGAATGGATGCTTGGTGTGCATCAAATTGTGCCAAGGGAAATTGTCCAGCAACGCATTGCAAGTGTAGCTGAAGACACACAAGGCATTCTTAAGTCGATGACATTTTGCATGCATATCTTGATTTGGACAAAACAGTTAAGACTCAAATCTTAACAATGTTGATGTCATTTAAGAGCCAATAAAAATATTTGCCGATATTAACCAGTTTGCATATTATCGATTAAGTAGGCTCTATTCCGTGCTTTTTTTCCTCCAATCCCTCAGAAGACATAACAGTTTAGATCAAAAACGATTCTCTATTTCATCATTTCAAAATTCACATTTTGTCGTTTATTCTTCAAAGAATGTTTCTTCAGGGCGCCTTTTTATACTTGTGCTATTAATGCAAAAATATTCAGTTTTCCACCATCAGATGGTTAAACGTGGAAAAGCTCATTAGCTCCCACATTTTCGTCCTACTATTTTTTCACCAAAAGCTCTCCCAAAAACTGTCGTCCTCCTGTCAATCAATTAAATTATTTGGGATTCCGAATCATTTTCAAACGGATCATTTACAATCTGCGCACAAAAGGCATGGATTTGGATTTAGGAATCTCAGAAGCGAGAGTCAGTTTGTGATTACGATCTATCATTTACTGCACGTAGTAGTACTAGCTGCCTTCCCACAACACGAAGCACGTAAAATCGAAACCCTTTGTGGGGGCAGTGGCGGAATTTTGTAGCATCAACGCGCAATTCAGGAGATAATTTTCATCACCTGCAGCTCAAGCGGAATAGGTAAGGAGACGCACTTGAGCTGGTTTCCAAAATATCGATGGTTTTCCGAGGGCTGCAGTTGTGTCAGGCTTTCTATGTGAAGTGTCTTACTCTTTTCAACCTCTTGAAATAAAATTCGTCGCCATTATTATCATCATCGGCATCATAGATAAAAAAGTCTTCAAAGAGAATTCAGTAAAACTTAGGAACTCTTTTGCAAAATTGTTAGCCATCAGAATTTCGGAAGAGGTGCACGAAAACCTACGGGAATAGATGAGACTAAAAAGTTACACCTTAACGGTAACTAAACTCACTGCATAACCCTTATCCTTTTTTGGAGAACTGGAACTTTATTACTTATCGTTTTTTCTTTTTTCTTTTGCGCTTCTTTTCGGTGGAGGTTGGAAGATAGCTGATATCGTTGATGCTTTCATCCCTTTAAAACACCGTAAGAGATCTGGATTCATTGTCATGAAACGTCTTCGTGTTACCAAAAAATGCTTTTAAATCACAAAATTTTACAATTGCTGATGAAAAATTTAAGAATGCGAACTGAATGAGTGGGATCAAAAGCACAAACGTATTACACAATTTCCAAGGAAAGGTAATTTCGCTGCTTCGTCATATGTTTTTCTTTAGATACTTGCAAAAACAGCTGCGCGTGTGTTTATGACAAGGATGACACTAAAAGGCATCCGAACGTTCTCTATTTGTCAAACATTCAAGAGCCTTCGCAGCTGCTTTACAGATGACCGCTAAAATCTAAACAGATTCTCACCATCTTCACAGAGGTTTGACAGACATTTCAACCTTTTATTTGACCAAACTGGTTGTTATGGTCATATTTTCATGATGTAATCTTGATTGCGACCAAAGAGAACTGAACACACTCTCGAATGTAATCCCATGTCTGGAAGAGAACAGTTCCATTTAAGCCTAAACTATACAAAAAAGGGGTCATGTAAGGTCATCAAGAAGTCTTACCTAATAATGATCTAATTCAATTCAAAAATCTCGCATGGTCACTTTTCTCTCTGCAGTATTCAGTCATTTGGCGGTGGAAGGACAAACAAATTCATACGCCCTTGGGGATTCCCTTAAACGCTTACCCGTTTAAGATCATAAGGGTTGAAAATCTTTATCCATTTTCAGCCGAAACGACGCAAAAATTCTTACCGCTTACTCCTTTGCAGGAGAGGAAGTCAGTTTTTTCAATCTTTCCGCACATTTTCATCAGAGAAGCCAGTTCCATAACATCATGATGATACGAGAGAATGCAAAATTATTTCTAGCATTATATCAGAATTTAGTTTTAAGCATCTATCTACCAGAGAACAAATTGTCTGAGTCTTCTTGATAGTTGTCTGTACTATTTGAACGAAAACTTGAATCTGAATTCTACGTGGACTGGTGAAGTAGTTTATTATTCTCTAATTTCAAATTAAGCCTCCAAAGCTATCCGTTCCTGGCGGGTTCGATCAGGGGAGGACGCTCGGCTGAATTGGATCCAGTCCCTTGTCTACTAAATTTGCTAACATGGCTGCCAGTGCATCTCAAACACGTGTGAAAGAAGAAGTAGAGAGATCGATTGAAAAGCTAGAAAAAGAAAAGCTGAGAGGACTTCAGGTCAGTTATTAGTCAACTGCTCTATATTTATTCAGCTAATAAATGTGTTTTAATGAAAATTCAGGTGAAATATGAATAATTTTACTCGAATTCGAGGTCAACTCTTAGAGGTAAAAAATATCGGCTTTCCCACTATTCTGCCTGATTAAACCCCGATCCTGGCAAATTTATAAACGATTTCTTCGTCATAATGTTGCCTTAGACTGACATTAGCCTAAAAAATTTGTTGATAGTTCAATTTTTCCAGAATGCACACTGTTTTGCCTAAACATGTTCACGAAAATTTTGTTCGGCCAGTGCCCTCTATAAAATTGGCTTTACCATAATGTTCCTTATTCTGTATTAACGAGATGGCTAACATCAGAATTTTTCCAAAATGAAGCGAAGTGTCTCAAGTGTTTGTCGTGAATTCTAAAATATCCTTTGCAACGCCTTAGCTCTTCTTAAACTAGGGTCACCAATGGTGCGGATAATCGGTTGCATTTTACAAAATGTGAACTCTCTGAAACTATATTGCACTTTCACCCTGATGGAAGATTGTACATTATGTAGCCAAGTGATATGGTTACAGTTTGTTTTGACATTCTTGTACATGGGGTTCAGCAAAGAGAATGATAGAGTCATCATCTATTTCGTCATCATTTTACTGATTCTCAGTAAATAGGTAGGAATGTATGAGAAACCAGTAAAAAGTACACAGAAAATACAGAAAATGAGATGAACAACGACAATAATGAGTAACATGGCCAATAAAAAATGATACCTAGAATCCAGGCAGGAATTAAAAAAAAACTAAAGAAAGATAGTACTATACAAAATGAAGGCAAACATTTAATTTGCTACTGAAGAGTATTTCAGTTTAATAGCAAAAAAAAAAAAATATTTTGTGAGAATGTTAGGCTACCTCTGTGATAGTGAACTGAAGCATACAGAAAGTTTGCTCACTTTTGTTTTTGTTTTTGTCTTTTTGTGGCATTTTTTCTTTGGAATTAAGGTTGATTGCAGAAAATTCACTCATGAAACTTTTTTCAACTAGTACAACAAAACTGAATTTGCCACACTTTGATGTGTGAAAAGCAGGTAAATGAAAGGAGCACATTGTAAGCTGTTTACATATGATTCTTCTCTGGGGAGTGTGGTAAATGTTGGGGATTTTTTTTTTTGATAAAGGATTCTCTTCACATTTACATGAAATAAGTCATATTTTGACATGCAAGTGGTAGCAAGGAAAAGTATGATCCTCTCAAGTGAATTGCAATCAACCATGTACACCCAAGCATCAATATGCATACTCTTCATACTGTTCCCTATACATTTCCCAAGTCCTGACAAGGAGAATTTTTTTAACAACCAAGAGTTTTTCTAGTTGGTGATCATTTGTCATATTCTTGTGACCCTAATGTGTGACTCAGGGTGTGATGTTGTAAAGAGGAATTAGATGCTAATCACTCTTAGAGATTGAAGGTTTAAAGAAATATGTTTTACAAACTTTCTCTTTGTTGTCTTTCCAAATAGGCTAAGTCTCACTTGTGTGCAGCTAAATGTTGTGAGAATTTAACACCAAGTAAGGAGGAAGTGCAACAATGTATGAACAGGTGTTTTGTTCCCATTCAACAAATTCAAGAATACCTCGGTAAAGAGCTTACTGGATTTCAGGTAAGTAGACTTTTAGTCTGGTTTGGAGGTGATTTTTGAATTTGGAAGGTTTGGAGCTAAAGTGAGAGAGTGACTTCAAAGTTTTCTCTGAAAATTCCCAAAACCAACCAAGTCAAGTGGCTTCCTTCAAATCAGGAAAACATGATTACTAACAATAATTTTTTTTGTATTGGTTTTTTTTCACTTTTTATAGATTGTTTGTTTGTTTATTTTACTGTTATTTTTCATGACAGAGTAAGCAAACATTGTTGATATACCAAGTAACATCTTCTGGGCAATTTTTTCCTATTAGACAATAAAAAAAGAGCTGACATGAGTATTTTGAAACTATGACGACAGCAAGATTGAAAGTGTGTCATGAAAAATAATGTAGCCAGCTCTGCTGATTTCCCATGTGACTATGTAGGGTTGCTGTTAACTGTTATTGTTTTCCTGTATTAAGGATCGTCTTGGCCGTTGTGCTCAACAATGCCAGGACAAAATTCAAGACAATGTTGACCCAACTACTACACAGTCTGAACTGACTAAGTATCAGGCTGAACTGGATATGTGCATTGATCAGTGTTGTAAAACACATTTGGAACTCATACCAAAGATGTTTGAACGAATGAAAAAAGTATTGTCACAAGTGCAAGATCCCAGCCCAAGGTGACACTGGTGTGAAAGTTAGAATGGAAAAGAATTCATCAATGTCATTGCAACAGTTTTTAGTGGGCAATTGTAATTTCAGAATCTCAGTGATCTGCAAAACTTCATCTTGGAGTCAACTCACATTTCCTATCTGCTGTCTGTGGAGCCTCTATTTTTTGAAAGGACACTGGCAAGGCTTTTAGAAACCTTTAATCCAAAAGAGTGACGAGAATTTGATTTCTCCTTCTTGTATGATTGCTGAATCAAATATCAGAGTCATGAGAATAAAGGAGATGATTTGCAAGTAAAGAAGTTCTTGATTGTGGGACAAATCATCATAGTCAGTTTTGTATAAAATGCATGACAAGAAGAATGTGCTTAAAGATGTTAAGTTGTAAGGGTTTACTGTGTTCCCAACGTAGAAGCCTCAGGGTGGAACCACTGCTTGGTCTTGACTGGAAAAACTTTTACATGGCTGTTGTATTTTGGTCCTTTATTGAAGGGACACTTTAAGTTAAGGGACGGTTTTTAGTGTCTGAGGTACCCCTCTCTGTTGGAGGTTGAAGTGATAAAACCTCTCCTTTAGACACCTCTTTCATTATCTTAAGTTGCCCCTTGGATAGATTTTCTCCTGATGAAACCTCTCTTTTAGACACCACTTCTAAACGCACATACCGTTTGGTCTTGATGGGAAATAATGATCTAAAAATCTTTGCAGTTTCATGTTTAAGAAATTACTCCTCTATAGCGATGTGTTACTTTGTGGATATCGAACTTAAATCTTGCAGCAAATCGTGAATAATTTCAACTGATATAAATCTTAAAACTTCGTTTTCCTTTCTTAATGGAATCCAGGAATCTTATGGTTGACTCAGTTGCTAGAACGATCTTTTGCTCAATCGATATCCATGCTTTTTTTATCTTCCTCCTCCAGTTCCGAAATTTTGTGAACTTTAAACGTTAATACTTACATTTGTTCAATCTCTCCTTTGAATGGTTAGTGTTTTTATAACTTTTGTTCACAAAACTTTACTTTTCTACATTATTAGCATTGTCCAATTCCTCGCAATCAGGCGATTGAATCGAGTGATTTCAAAGTGAATAATGAAATGACAATTGAACCTCGCGTTATTCAGTTTTGGCCTGCAATCGTACTTGTAATCTCAAATCGATTTTGAAAAACTGATTAGTATTCCGAGCAAATTGTGTTCCCCTGAGTTCAGTTGTCATAGTGGTTGTAAATCTTGCACTCCATTCTCTAACTCGTTATTGTTCGCATAGCAAACGTGTTTTATTCTTTGCAAATGCTTTAGATCGTTGCTGATGATTTTGAAAAACAAACCTTGTATAGGGTTTCAAAGTAAATACCCTGCTTGACAGCATGAAATACAGTTTAATTAGTCATTAAGTCAGCGAATTTTTAACAGTCTTCGACGAAAGCCATTGATGATGGTGCCTCTTTTAAAGGCTGAAACAAAAGCTCTGGTATGTAACCTGTCTCTAGTTCATCCCCTGATTCCTCGAAGAATTCAAACTGGACGCCTTCACAATTGATCATTCATCGGCCCCTGTCCAAACCGCTCCAAGGTTTCTTCTGACGTAACAGTGATTGAATAGATGACATCGTTTTGTAATTTTATCCCTTTTGAAAATATGACATCTTGCGTATCACTATCATCGTCGCGGTTATCAAGATCTGCTTGATGTGACGTCAGCACAGAATCCCTATCGTCACGCAGCTCAACTCTAACACTCGATGAGGCTGATTGCGTGTCAGCCGTAAAAAGTGCAATGCCCATGATGCTGATTGGCTGACTGACCTTGAATTTCACGGTGGATTGTTGTGGTGCGACTGTTGTCCACTTTGGGCGCAGCGCTGTTGATTCGAAACGCGTGCAGCGAAAGACCGCCTCTAGAAGAAGCCCAGCACGAGGCTCTGTTGGAAATTTAACGTTGCAAGACTGAAAGTTGGAGTTGAAGCCGATGTACATATTTGCTACTTCTTCGTGACTTAGATAAGATGACTGAGCCACATTTTCAGTGAATTCCTTCATACTCATCAACGGGAAACGAATGGAATAAAACGCATCCCCAAGAACCTCGCGTCTATTCTCAGCTGTCAACGGAAATGACAATCGCTGGCATTCCCGCCCCGCCCACCTCACTGCTGCTTGGAAAAGTACCGTCTCCTTGGCAACTAAGCTGTCGCGTTTCAAGAAAGCAGTAAGCGTTCTGTGATCGATTTCTACGAATTGGTGATCTTGAGCTACTTCAGAAGCGTGTTGGTCGATGATTGTCCAACATTGTTTCTCCAGGCCATTGCTGACCCCAAGCAGACAACAATGGTCCAATACAGGAAGAGTGTTCGCGACAGTTAAGTTACTCGCGATGAATTCAGTGCAGATCTCCGCCAAGCTTGGAATAAGGTACTTCCGGGCTAAGAACAAGACTTCCGGCGCGTTATCAGTGGTCAGCTGTACTTCGTCGTAGTACATGTACCGGAGCATCTCCAGAAACGATTCCGGTTCACATTCTGATATTTCTACCTAAAATGAAAAATTTCAGGCGCTACCTCAATGGAAACTTAGTTGGCTATCAACCAGAAGTTGATAAAGGAACAGTCATTGTATAAAAAGTTCTAAGATTTTTGACGAATCCTCGTTCTTGGATAGAAAATGCCTTCACAATTTTGGATCACTTCCGACAATCGACTTTACCATATCAAATACGAACAAAATGTACAGAAAGTTTGTTTATTTATTTGTTTATTTACCTGCTCTCGTGAAGTTACTTCAGCCTGAAGTGCCCCAAACGCGTAAAATAGCGAAGAAAACACCGGACTACTAATAGCCAGTACATACCGATGGGCAGGAATGGACGTTTTCTCTGTCCTGCCGACCAGAAAACGCACATCACTAAACAGCTCTCGGTTAAACATGTATTTGTTTCTTTCACGAAGGGAACTGCGACTGGTCTGCCACTGGTCATCTTCCCCAGTGTAACGCAGGCTCGCGCGTAGAGCCAATTTGCTGCCATAGTAGTCCATTCTAGAATCCAGTCGAGTCTCAATAACCGGACGATCCAGTTTTGAATCCTGTCTCGAGTCCAGTTTTTTAGGCGGAAACGCGTCCATGCCAACTTCACCCATCTACAATCGAAATAAAGATTAGATCGTGAGCAGCTTAAGATTTAGTATTACCAGGAGTTAGATTTTGTGGGGGTGGGGGGAGAGAAAGGAATATTTTCCCTCTGGCAACTTTATCTTTCACTTCTTCGGCGGTCACACAGACTCAGCGTATTATCGTGTTCAGGAACAAGTTGGCGAAGCATCCAACAGCGTCGTCCATGGTGAAAATGTTTTCACACTAATGCTGATTGATTGATAATGGTAAAAGGACTGAGTGGAGTCCAGTTCGGTCGGTAATAATACGAGTGATTAATACAATTGGACGACCGCGAAGCGGGAGTCCAATTTGTCAGTCACTTGTATGATTACAGACAGAATTGGATGACAAGAAGTCCTGTTACCAATTAATCATAACCGTTTCAATTTCCGAAAACAACAAATACATTTAGGTCAAATATCTTCGGTAGAGACAATGTCTAAATAAAGAAATTTCTCCATTTTGGAAATTCCTCAATTTTTTTTAGGATAAGTGGCTGTTGCTATGGTTATTTTGTTTTATTCTGTGATTGGTGGATTTGGCTGACTGGTCATGGTATGATTGACTACTTCAACTGTCCGATCACAGGTATCTGATTACAGCCAACTGTCTGATTACACTGTTCGATTACAGCTCTACAGAATGATTAGTGAAAAATAAAGCAGCTAATACGCCAATCACGTTTGAGGAAATTGGTATGGTTATGATTAAAGAAAATAATAGAACCGATTTTATTCTTCATTCATTTTAACCTGGGCTCAACAATAAATTATTGTGAAATCTTTCCATTTAACTGTGATCACCTGCCTCAGAATCAGAGGTGGGCAATTAGTTATCTGAACATGCTATTCCTTTGTTTTGTTCTACTAAAGATCATCACCCGCTGAGATTTATAGCGTCTTTCGATGAAATTTTCGTAACGAAGAACCTTTAAACTGAAACATGTTATTTCAAGATCTAGTCATTCCCTGGCTCGCTCGTTTTTTACAATTTCGTTCTGTTTAGTTTAGAATTCTGCTAATGTGGATGAATCTTATGAAACTTTATCCGTGAATACCTTAATCGCTTAATAAAGAATGTCTGACAGCTTTTAAAAATACTGAGAAGACCTAGAACGAAATCATGATTTTAAAATGATTAAGCATCCTTTTATCTGTCGAATGGAAAGTATCGATTTAGACGTTAATTTTCAAACCTGCGAACTTTAGAAGCTCTCAATGGAATTGAAGAGTCGAACCTATTACTTCTGAAAAAAATCATCATTACATAGCGTACTTTCACAATATTAACTAAAATACTGCTGGTCTAACCCAAGCCGTTTAATCCCCGATTCATATCAAAGGTTGTGATAACTTTCTCGTACATTAAAAAAAATTACTTTCTTACTATATTAATACATTTTTCCTCCAAGTAAAAGATGAGAAAACACACTCATCTAGTGGAAGGTTTTTCCTTGATGTAAGACTAAATTAGGGAAGATGGTGGGAAATTTTTCATTTTATCCTGTGGGTTAAGGTACTGATGTTAACAGAGTTTAACTGAAGGATATAGTTCATATAGTGCCTACTTTCGTTTTTAGCATTAATCTTAATGTGAACCTTACCGCGTGTAAATAAATCACTTGGAACCCCCAAAATGTTCCACAGGATGTATGATTCAGCCAGTATACCGAAGACCACTGATAACACCCCGGCGGCGTGATTCAAAGCTTGTGCCTTGTCTACAGTCAGAAAAAAAACAGTCAGTGAAACAAAAGATTTTCTTTTCGTGATAGAAACCTGGTTCTTAATAGGTGTAAACAACTTGAAACGTATATAGCCAATAGAACCTTTATCTATGTGATGTCCTTGATAAAAATAAATACATCAACTCTCTTATTCAAACATATTTTTCTTTTAAAGGAGAAATATAAATACAGATATCATAAACTGTTTTAATTCGCTTCTTCTAAATTCTCTTTTCTATTCTTTGAATAGCTCTTATACTCGGCTTCAATAAGTACAAAACAAATATGCTTGGTGTTTTCGATTTCAAACTGGGCGCTATCAAAGTAGAACGTCTATGAAAGGCCTGGATTCATAGAACCGCTTCGATTCCCTATGGGTAACTGACTCAGATTTTTCTTCGTCCTACGGTGATGAGAAATATATTTAAAACATTTTTCCCTCTAGCATTGCTTCATTGTGTTATATCGATCACAAAAGAAACGGAAAACAAACAAACAAAGCGAAAAAAAACAGCTACAAAGCAACATAAACGCTTGGCATGTAACGAAGGAGAACCAAGGGTATTACTGCTATTTCAAATTCTGCTTGTTTACTCCAGCTCGCGGGTAAAACATTTTTTTTTCTGTAAATGACTGTAAAAGTATGAAAATCATATATGTGAACTGCGTTTGAAGAAACGCCTTGTTGCATGGAAACAGCAAAGTGCGAAAGACCCCCCCCTCTCGTGTGGCCTAGTAATGGTCACTGATCTTGTAAGAACTTCTTTATGCGGAACCGAGTAAGCAGAATCTGATATTCTGTTTCCAGTTTCATAATTGACTTAAGCAAAATGTAAAACTGCTTTGTTCAGCAAGATAAAGGAATTTCACTTGAAGACTGTTCCTCTATCGTCTATTTCGGCGTGTGGGTTTTTAATTAGATTAAAATCTGCCTGATAGTTGTTTAGAAATTGTTGGAAATTATTGTTTCCCTTAGTGGACTAGAAAAACATTACTGCAACTTATTTGGAGAGGATCTTTCTAGAAAGTTCTAGAAATATTTTTGGGTAGAAATGTGCTACCTCAGCAAATCGTGCGAGAGTCCCTGTGCAAAATCGCCACGTTTACAGACACATGCGCAGTGGACACGACAAAGGTATCAGTGTCTATTCATCGCGGAAAAAAATTACGTCATTCATAATTGTGAACCAATCAGGAAGGCGATTAGAAAAGAAGACAACAAATATGGCGGTCGTAGTGTGGAGACGCGTGTGCATGCATGTGAAAAGCAGTTTCGTTTAGGTTTGCAGAAGGGAATGGAGGATTTTCCTCTTTTCTTAAGAGCAGGCCTAATGATGTTTCAGTAGAAGGATGAAAAGTGCCCTAAAAGCGTCGGTAGCCTTGCAATTTATCACTTTAATGGCAGAGATAATTTCCCTGGACGGGAATGGGAAATCGAAGGATGAAAAACCCAGTGGTTTGTCTGCTCGGAGTAGCTCGTGGTAAGGAGAAAAAGATTACGAGAACACGTTATTGACCTTCCTTTTCATCTCTAAATTGATTCTGCTGGCGTTTTTTTTTTAGTTCACTTGTAATTGTAAGTACGTTGGATGGGAAGTTAAGTGCGTTGGATACAAGAGATAATGGCAAGTTACTGTGGAGTTTACCAGCTTTCCACGGACCTCTGTTGTCATCCAGCCTCAGTTCAGTTCAGGTATTTTATAGATAAAGTTTTCTTCTCTTCCATATAGGTTTTCTAAATCTTTCAGCGTGGGCGGTGCAAGGTAACTGTTAACTCTTGATGTAATCAAAGCAAACGGATGCATTATCCGTCGGATGAAACGAATTCTGTGCGAAAGGCGAGGGAATCCCCAGGGTGAAAAGTCAGAATATTTGCATTTGATTCTTCGATGCTAGCATTTGTGTGAACCAGACTACGTCTGATTTAATGCTAGTTCTATTATTGTGTCCAACTCTCCCTTGATTAGGGAAAAGGAATTTGCTCCCAAATTAAGTGCTCCACCACACCGTCGCTGTCAAAATGTGCATGAGATTTTGACTTGTATCAACAAAATACCTCATGTACTTCCAAACTACTAGAAGACAGGTATACTCTAACAAAGTTATTCGCCAGAAACACAAATTAGGCTGTGAGTTTTGCTGTATGATAGCTACTTAATAAGATGTGCTATGTCATCATATTTTTACAGATGGCAAAACACGTGGGTCTGATACCCTCATTGGATGGTGGATTGTATCAAGTCAGTGGAGACAAAGTTGAGGTAAACATGATTAAATCAAACAGTAATCAGGTTCTCAGTTCAAGTACTTTTGAAGTGGTAATTTGGCAACCAGAAAGTTTGAATGGTCACCTGAAAGAAAAGTTTCATTGCCAGAAAAAAAGAAGAGAAAAGAGTGCTGTTTATAATTATATTTTCTTGAGCATTCAGCTGTAAAAAAATATTGCTTGTCTCTGAAATATAGGATTATCATTGGCTCTCATATTTTATTTTGAGTGGGAAGGAATATTTTAGCAACAAGTAAGGCTAAATACTCAGACAACCAACAAGAAAGAAACAATTTTTCAAACAAAGAAAACCAGATAGTGTTAATAGTGTTGAATGCAAGTTTTTTGTCACTGTATACAATTGAAAAATAAGATTAAAAAAATATATCGCAGCATGTAACATGACTAGCAGATAAAGCTGGTTGAAGCGATGATATTCACTGATAATTTAGTTTGAAATAGGAAACTCTTTTCACATTTTGTTTACAAATTTCGTTTTCATTTTTGGGCCTGTTTTCCAAATATAGACTGTAATAATGCCTTTTTTATTGTGATGATTTGTTTAAGTCTTAAAAATCCATACAATAATTTGTAGAGTTTTTCTATAAAGCAGTTGTAGAATTTTTCTGTCTAGTGGTTGTAAACAATTCTTTTGAAATGATACATCTACCTTAGATGAGAAGCAAAAAGCAAATAAACATTCTGCTATACAAAGCATTATGCACAGTGTAATACAACTTTTTATCATGTGACCTGTTTGGCCCAGTGTGCTTTTAGTGAAAAACATAATGGAAAAAAAATAGTAAGAAGGAAAGTTTTCTGCCTGGTTTTCTTTATCTGAATGGTCTTAGTTTCATTGGATGTGCTTTAAGTTTTACAAATACTGATTTCAGTTTTTAATTTTCTATCCACAGCCCATTCCTTTCACTGCTGACACACTCCTTGGTTCCTTCCTAAAGCTTCCTGATGGTTCAATTTTAGTTGGTGGGAAGGAAGCCACTTCGTGTGGACTTAATCCCTATTCTGGGAAGGTAAGCTTGTTTTTGAAGGGAGTCCTTAAACTATAACATTAGTTAATTCTTTCAGCTCTCGACAATCTTGGGTAGAGTTAGTTAGAGAATGGATGAAAACATCAAATCATGATACAAACTTAGAAATAAGTTTCAGTTCTGTAATGTTTCAGTTTACTCAGTATACTATAATGATCTGAATTAATAAGTAATAGCCGCTGGTGGTTTCATGTCCTTTTTTTATGTGTACAGAGACAGATTAGCTGATCTGATTGTCTAATACCCTATTCACACTAGCAAAATGTGTTTTTTTAAACTGGTTTTTACTGAATGAAAATCATAAATGGAGAACTGAAAAACATAATTTTCCATAGGATTCAAGTACTTGCTAACTTGCATTTCCAGTGTGCTAAATTTTAGTACAAAAATGTGAGGTTAAGTAGTTTCTAGGAAGAAAAAAATTAAACTGTGTTAGACATTAAACAACTTTAAAACATGTTTAAGCTTTGGTGTGAATAGAGTGTAAGTGAGAGTGGTCTGGAGACAGCCTTGTTGTTTGTGTTGGGGACTGATGTTTTGGTAACGATCGGGGAATCCATTATTACACACAACTGTATTAGTGAGGAGTTGTCTGTCAGCTGGAGTGGATAATATTTTTTAAAAGCACTTTAATTCAAAACCTGGGTTATAAAGAAATGTATTTAGTAGGTAGATGGAAGGGGAGAATGGCTAAAATTAAATAAATCTGATTTTAGGGGTGAAAAAGTTGAGACAAGTTTTAAAAATTGATTGTCTTACTAGATGTGTTGTCTTTCATTCAGTAGTGCTTGATGTTATTATTCCAATGCGATTTTCATTCTAATTAAAGGCACAATTTTGTTTCATGATAGGTACAGTATGTCTGTTCAGCTGATGGCTGTCAGTTAAAGGAGTCTGATGAGCAGCATGTCCAAGGCAAGGATGTTCTTGTACTTAAAAGAACACAGCAGACAATCCGTGCTGTTGATCAGAGAACAGGCATTGAAAGGTATTCACAACAGTAGGCAGCTCTGTCATATCATTATTGTTCTCCTCAAGCATGCATTACATATGCTGAGTTTCAATGTGCCCCTGGTGTAAATCTTTTTGAGCACTTTGAACTTTCATCTCCTCTTTTTAGCATTTCTTGTTACCAATTGAAATTAAGGGAAAATTTGCAGCCTAACTAATATATGTCATTGAAAATTAATTGTTCATCATTGATAGTCTTTTTAGATAAATTAACAGTAAAAAAGAGTAGTTATTATGATCAAAACTCAATTTGCTCCGATTCCAATAATCATGCTCTAATCAGTCATTAATGAAGCCTGTTTTCTGATTGTTTTGTGTTTTAGATGGAACTTTTCTGTTGGACAACATGATGTAAGCTTCTTGGAAGCTGTTTTAAATGAAGAAGATGATGCTCACTGTTCTGCTGAGGATGCTGAATTGTTTACAGAATGGAATCTGCGTGTGTCCATTCCCAATGGACTTGTAGCAGCAGTGAACACTCTTGATGCAACAGAGACTGAAGTAGTGTTATGGAGCCACCAGTTTGATTCCCCTATAGCAGCAGTATGGAGGCTGAATGGGGGTTTTGTACAACCAGTAAAATTATTCACAAAAGAAGTTACACCAGAATTGGCTCACTCATCTGACCAGGGGGCATTTCCACAGGGACCAGTGATGTATATAGGTAAGGTATTCTCATTGATTTGGTGGTCTTTGTATTAATAACTTCAGTATGGTCCTATACATTTATTTACTGTATATTTCATATCTACATGTACACTTCAATTTACTGGTTTGCTATCCTGGGGTTTTTCTGGACCTCTGATGCTATAAAAAGAGAGTTCAATGTAGACTTTGTCATTATCCATTGTACTGTTAGCACAGTTTAAGAGAAGTTTGCTGATCAAGTATTTGAGCCTTGTTTTTTTTAGCACATGAAACAACTGTTGGTGCTAACTTACAATGTTTCTCTGTTTCGTAAGACCTTTGCACAGGATATGTCTTATGTAAAGCACAATCTACAATATACATTCACATATAAAATGTTTTCATGAAGGTTTTTTACACAACAAACAATTACCTCCTTTGGGCAAATGTAACCTCATTAACCATACAATCATATAGTTGTATAATATATATATTTTTGTTCTTAACCTCTCATAAGGCCTTACAGTGGTCATAAATTGGGAAACAGGACAGCTTAGGATGGTACATGTTATGTAGCATTGACTCTGTGTCTTTGTGTTAGAATTACTGAATATTGGAATCACACTCTTGATGCTACCTATAGATGCATAGCAACATTTCATTTGCTTCAAGCTGGGGCCTGTTTCTCAAAAGTCCTTGATCTTGAAGCCTTATTTTACAATAAAAATGTAAAGAATAGAGAAGTACATTGTGGCTCCCCAACCAGTCCATTTTGTGTATTTAGTTAATAGATTTATTTTAAGTTTTTCAAAAATTTTGAAACCCTCTTCTTAAATGAGAACAGAACAGCATTATGGGCCCATTAAGTTAACAGGACCTTCAAGAAACAGGCCCCTAGACACAATTGATTTTTTCCTAAGTTACTTGATATTTTGCAATAATTATTGATAATAATTGTTGCAGTATTGAAATTTGAAATTTGGTATACATATGCACTTATGGATAATTCAATGGAATACAACTTTAAAACAATCACAATTTGTACAACTTGGCACTTTGATTGCCTAGGACCCGATTTCCCCAAAGCAACAACAATTTTTTATATGGCCGCTCAACTGTACTACTTCAGCTTTGTTATTAATAGCATTGAGAAATTTAGTTTGTTTCCCTCCTATCTTCCAGGAAAACATGAAGGTCAAGTTTACATTCAGACATCAGAGCCATTTAATCCAGCTCAGGAAAACGTAGTGGCTAGAATTGATGATGTTAGTGGCAAAGCAGTGGCACAAAGATTCAGGAAGGTTAAATGGAGGCCATATTTGACGAGTTCACCATCACGTACACCAACTGTGGTTACAAAGGAGTTAGCTGTGTGGAATCCTCTGGAATATCCATTTGGTAAATTGAGATCAATTATGTGTTTCAGACTATTTTGCATGAGAAGGAGTTTTAAATAAAAGATAAACACATGATGCCTATAAAAATCAAAGGTTGACTTTGTGATAGAATTACAAATTTTCTTGTTGTGAAAAATCTATGATCATTTCATTCTCCCTCCTGGGAAATAGGTATTTAGTAGACTGAAAATAGGCAATAATTATGCTTACTTGTTGTTATTCAAGAATGACTTTTTTTAGTTGCTGCAATCGCCAATCTTTTCTAGTGGTTTCTTTAGTTAAACATGATTGCCATGGTTCAGGAAATTGTCTGGGAAAAATTCTTAAAGAGAGGGAAAAGTCTTTGACTATTATTTAGAGTCATGGTAATTTTAAGTTTTGAAGACAATTCAGTAAACATTGAAACCATAACTCCATCTTTTGTCTCATCTTTTGTTGAGGCTGTAATATTCTGACTGATTAAGTATATACCTCACAACTGAATAGCGATTTTTGTGTGGCCAATTGGTTAGTTTGGTAGTGAATCAGAATAGCAAGTACTCTACACTGTACACCTCCTAGCAGCTGATGAGACAAAATTGCACATCATGAGTTTAATTTCCACCATTTCTTCAGTATACTGAAAGAAATAAACTAAGTTTTTGGTATCTGTGTGGTATATACTAATTTAAAAAATTATTCACCTCCACTTTGGTGAATAATTGTTAATTATGATGAATATATGAATGGTCAGAAAGGAAGCTTGCACAGGGAGTCTAAAACAACTGACAGAAACTGTTTGTTGCAATTTTTTTATAATTAGTCAGGGAAGCTTTTATTTTGTTAAGGGGAAGTCAAGGAAAATTTTTAAAACTGATGTCTGTGGCTGCCATGTAGAAGGAAATAAACCAGTTTTAATTCCTCCTGGGTGAGAGATTAGTTTGAAGTTAAGCATGTAATGAAACACTGTTAATTTTGGTATCCTATTGATTTGTAGATAATGGCTATTACTTGTTGGGTGAAGTGATGCCTGTGGTTCCTCCACATACCCAGGATAAGCAAATTCTTCCAGTAGACTCTGAGGATGTTTTCAACAGAAAATCCAAGAACTCTTCTGAAAAAGTTCTGAATCGTAATGATCTCTCAGGATGGTGGTAAGAATAACTGTCTGAAATGAATCCAAGTATAAATTTTGCAACTTTGTTTTTGAGCTTAATGTTTAAATGTTATTAATATTAATTTACAATACTAATGATACTATCATACAATACCACAAAAGCACAGACAAGATTAGGAAGATTGAACTTCAAAACTTTCATTATTGTTTAACAATGAGTTATAACCAAGACACAAAATTATATGTACATTTAAGAACTACAGTTTAGATTTAAATTTTGTAACTTAATGTGATAATACTATTATTGATAATTCAATAAAGCAACACTTTCTTAGATAATTCAGGTACAGGCTGTGTTACCTTTTCTTTCTTAAGAAGCTGCTCTGTGTTTTAAAAAAGCACTTTTAGGGGCAAACATACAATGAAGTATTAAGAGCACAGCTAATGCTTGCAGGAATTATTTCAATTACAGTCATCGTGTTTATTTACTAATACATGTACACCATACTGATGGAATAAACATGAAATGTTTCTCTTGTAAGGTATGGTGCCCTGTTTGTAACAGCTGTTGTTGCTGTCATGGTCCAGTTTTTTTTGCACTTCTTTCCTGGATCCAACAAGAGAAACGTGAGTGTTTGAACCCTTCCGCCTTTAACATCTTATCAGCACTTCTTTGTTTTCTTTTATTCCACAAAATTTGGTGTTAAACTTCATGATGTAGGAATCCTTACATTCGATTGATTCATTTGATATAAATCTCTTATTTTACTTCAGCCTGAAGCAATAACTCAGGACCAGAAGTTGTCTTCTGCTACGTTAACATCATCCCCACATTCTTCTACAGCATCAATAGAGACCATCAAGGTATATGGAGAAGTATCTTTACACGTTATTGTGCTGTTACATAATTATTATGTGCTGGAAGGTAGCTTACCAATGTCCTTCAACAGATGCAAAAGATGGTACAAAAGCATGTTGAACTTACATTGTTATTAATGCCTCCAAAGAAAATTTTTACTTGATTTAAATGTACAATTTCTATTCAAGCTTTGCAGTGCCAATAACTAAACATAAAAACAGACCAATCAGTTTCCACAAACCAGAGCATTAACACTACCCAAGAAACTCCTTACATGACAATGATTTCTGATCAGGTTGTTGTTAATGTTAGTTGTTCTCCTTGACTAATTCAAACACTCACTGAGAAAATGCTCTGAGCAATTTTCAGAGACTGAGAGGCTTTTCTCTTGAAATGATAGTCTCATCTTGCAAACTGTTTTATACTCTAATTAGGCTTCTGCACAACTTGTTCAGTATTCTTTCTCTCACTCACAGGAACCATCAACTCCAACCACACCAGATTCTTTATCACAGACAAACTCTTTTGTCTCAAGGTGAGTCACCAAGCTTGTAAGTTAAGTAAGTTACTAATCAATTGAATTTGTTTATGGAAAGTGATGCACAAAACCCAAGAATTGCTTTGCTTGTCTGAGTTTTATTGATAAAAGGGGGAACAGAAGATTTTCCTGGGTCTGTGTTTTTACAACTTGTTTGATTCTCTTTATCCATTCTTTACACTCCCCCCCCCCCTTTTATTGCTTCAACATTACTTGAAGCTGAGGATCATCATATTGTGTTTGAAACATATCAATGTATCTGGTATTAAGGTCAAAAGGTTTATTATTTTCATCAGAAAATAGCTCTTATTTTTATTTTGCATTTGCAGATATGTAACTGATTTTGATCATGAACTGTGCCTTGGCAAGGGAGGCTTTGGCCTTGTGTTTCAAGCAAAGAATAAAATGGATGAATGCAATTATGCTGTCAAGAGGATAAGTTTACCAAACTGGTAATTAATTGGCTGAATTAATGAAAAACTTTAAGGCTTGAGGATAATACAAAGTCATTGTCTTATTGTAATGTTATTGATATGCTTTCATTTAAATAGAAATAAGTTTCAGATATTAATTAACATGAAGGGAATGTAAATTACCTTTGGCCTCTTTTTTTCAAAACAAGGCCTAGTGCTCAATTTTTAATCATATGAAAAGATAAGCACCAGGACTCGCTTTGAAAAAGAGGCTAAAGGTAATTTGGAAATGGGCTATTGTATAGTTACATGTAACAATAAAGTCTCAAAGGCTGAAGCTCTCACATTTTTCAGAACCACAAAATCCAAAAATGAATGTTAGAATGGGCTCAATTTTCAATTGTTATAGTTAACATGTAAACAATAAAGTCTCAAAGGCTGAATTCTCCAATATTTTTCAGAACCACAAAAAATCCCTTGCGAAAAAAAAAAAGTTTTGGGTTTAAAAATGAATTAGATGGCTTCATTGAGATATGAAGCATTACCATCAATTTTCAATTGTTACCTGTCAAACAATTACGCATCTTTCGTTAATGTTCTCCCAATTAACGCACGCTGACATATGAACCAATTGTTAAATGTTCCCCCACTCTTATAGGCCCTTATGGTGATGGTGGGAGGGGGGGTTGGGGTGAGAGAGGGGCTTCACTCTTTACACCCTAACATCAGTATGCATATTCTCCATGCTGCTCTACATATATTTCCTAATGTGCTAGCAAGGAGAATTTGTTTAACAATCAAGAGCTTCTTTAGTTAATTATCATTTCCTTTATTTCTCCTGACCCTATTGTTTGATTCAGGGGTGATATTGAAAGGAGAAATTAGATGCTAGTCGCTCTCAGTGATTAAAGGGTTAAAGAGAGGGGAGGGTGGCTTATCAAATTTCTTTGAATGCCAAAATGTGAGCCATGTACAGAGTAAATTTTTTGTTGGAAAATCCATCAAGATGTTAGGCAAAACTAATATAGGCTTTCATATAAAATCCTATTTTGTACAGGACTGTTACCTAGCCCATATAAATAACACAGATATCTTAACAGTGTTAAAATTGTTTTGTTATTTTCTTGTGTGTATTTAGTTTTATAGTTTTTATGTAGGAAGTGTTGGAGGCTCATTAGAACATAATTGTTTTTTTTTACAACTTTCATGGTTTATTTCTTTTAAGAACCATATTTTCTCCTGTTGTGATGCAGGGATGATTTTGATGCAAGCCTTGGCAAAACTTGAACATCCTAGCATAGGGTATAGACTCATGGTTTGAAGAACTTTTGTTTGTATTTTTGAAAAAATTATTCCATCAGTCTTTTGTTTGTATTTAAAATTATTCCATGGGAAATCACATATGATTGAATAGAAAGGTCTGATTGTTTTTTTTTTATATTGATTTCTTCATTTGTTTGTTTAATTATGAAGGGAATTCTGTGAATTGCCGTCAGAAGCACCTTCAATTGGTTCAGGGATTGTAATGCATGCATTACCAAATGATGCATTGTACTTGCAAAATGGTGAGGCCTCGTGAGGTTAATTTGGTGCTGTTGGTTAGGGCTATGTTCTTAATTTTTTTAGTTAAAGAAACTTTATGATTAGTTGAGATGGGTGAACTGATATGAACTGCTGAATTTCTCCTGTCTGATTTCTGAAACTCCAGTCATCATTGGTGATTATTTTTAATTACTATATTTCTCCAGCACAGTTTGTAGAACATACATTTTCATACATGCTTACGTATATTGGCAATATGTCTCAGAAAGTACCAAAAGGAAATTAAATGAAAAAAGGACACATGGAGTTAACCCTTTTACACCTTCACATCAGTATGCATAGTCTCCATACTGTACTCTATATATTTCCTTTGGTGTTGACAAGGAGAATTTGTTTATCAATCAACAGCTTCTTTAGTTGGTGATCATTTTCTTTATTCTTGTGACCTCAGTGTGTGCTCTGGTAGTTATATTCTAAGGAGAAGTTAGATGCTAGTCACACGTAAGGTTCCAGGGTTAATAAGGTAAAACGAAATTTATAGTATGAAACTTAATGTCTTGAAATATTTTTGCAAACCTGTAGGCATAAGTGAAGAAAAGAAGGCCAGAAGAAGGAAGAAAACAAATTCCTGCAGCCGATCCAGGCATTCATCTTATCACTCTAATCCAGATGAGGACAATGGAAAAATTAATGGAGAGATCATTGATATCCATCAGTTAGAGAATGAAGCATTTCTAGATAGAAATGAAATCAGTGATTCTTTTAGTATAGAATTTGCTTCATCAAGTAACAAAGAACTGACAGTACCCAAAAATGGAAATTACCGCAATGCCTTGGAGGAAAGTTCATCACACGGCATCATCTTCAGACATTCAGACTCTGGCTTGAGTCAAAACAAGGTTTGTGTAATGATAAGAATAACAATATATAACAGAGTGCTGTTCATAGATAAACTGTAAGCTTAAAAGGTTGTGCTAAATTTAATTTTTTTTTTGACCTGCTGAATTTTTTGAGAAAACTCCTCAAAACTGTTGAGCTAATAGTAAATGTTTATATCTTACACTCCTGGTAGTGTAGATACATCTGTCCTCAAATGGTTACCACATTGACCTGTTATAAACTAAGAATTCGATTATGAGCTTAGGATTTCTACCATGTGATGAGGAAATAGTCGAAATCAACCCTCATTAGAATTTTCATGTTACATTTTGTGTTATTTTCTTTGTAGGATGTTAACATAGGCAACGTTGGATCACTGTCATCATCTGATAGCACACAGGATTCCATGTCCAAGGAAACAAGCTCCTCAGAAGAACTCTGGTTAACCTCTTCACATCACTCCTTACTTTCCAGTAAGATGAACATAATTTGCCTACATGTGACCAAACATACAAGAAAACTGTAATTTTTCAAGTTCTGCCTAAGTATGTTATATTGCACTTAAATCATTTTGTGAAAGGGAAATAAACACCTTTCTTTGGCCTCTTATCTTGTTGGAAAGAGGTGAAGCAGCTTTAAAACATAACCAGAGAGATTTTAGCTGATAAATGTATCAGTTAATTATTTCTTTTTTCCTTTGTTGCTACCAACTTTGAAGGCTCTCTTCTAGTTTTGTACGGAAGCTAAGATGATTGGAGGCTATCTTAATGTTTGTCCCAAGACTTTGCAAATATTTGCCTCTTACAGTTTCTATTTGGAATAGGAATTGAATTTAACTCTAAAATATTACCAATGCTTGTGTTTAAATTTCCTGTCCAAAAGTGTTTGGATGAGTATTAACATGCAATATATGACCAGGAACTCAATTTTCTGATGCTTAATTCATTAAATGAGTTCCAGGCCCTTAAGCCCATCTGGCTTTAAACATTATAACTATGTTTATGTTTTAGGAGAGAAGCATAACTGTCAGGATGAGCAATGCAATGCTGATAAGCTGTCAGCACCATTGTACCTATATATCCAGATGCAGCTTTGTCAGCAAGAAAGCTTGAAAGACTGGCTCAAAGCTAATCATGAAAGGGACCACGGATACTGCCTGAATGTCTTTGAAGAGGTATCATTTTACTTAAGAAATGAGCACATTACTGGCATTGTTTTGTCTTTTGTTCTTCTCAAACAGACAAAGATTTGGTTTGAGATGCTTAGTTTCATCTTGTCAATTATCTGGTGTACATGTGAAGCAAAACCTCTTGATTAAAAATAATTAGCCCAAGCCTAGAACGTGGAAAATGCCAAGGTTGTTATGTGGGAATAAAGACATTTCTATTTCTGTAAAATGCATCTTCCATGATGATGGAATTCCAACATATTGTTAATAGCAAATAGGCTGATTGTTTATTGCATGTTATAGATCCTAGGTGCTGTTGAGCACTTTCATGGAAAAGGACTTATGCACAGAGATTTAAAGGTAAGGGCAATTTTACAAACAAATGGAAAAGAGGCAGAACTGTAAGGGGTCATAAAGTCAACTTGTAATTAAGGATCATGGCAAATTCACTTTTTATGCAATGTTTCATCTTTAATTAATTTTGTAATTGCATCAGCTTATGGACACAGTGATTCATTTTCTATCAAAAATGTGAAAAATGTAGCCAGTAACTTTGAAGTCCCTTTTCTCATAGATTTACAGGCTAGCAATACAGGGTAACATTTTGTTCAATGAATATTGCCTCAGTGTGTAAATATTAGTTTCAACTTTGAAATAATCATATTTTTCCAAACATTGAAATATATCTCTATTCAATTTCACAGCCATCTAATATCTTCTTTTCACTGGATGGCTCAGTGAAAGTCGGTGATTTTGGATTAGTGACGGCCCACACATCAGAAAACAACCTGGACACACCCATTAAAGGTATGGCAACATTTAAACCAAACTGGACTATTAGAAACATTGACAGAGACAACTGGGCCTCACATCATCCATCACTAGTTGTAAATTGTCTTGCTTGAAAGAATCAGATTTTTATTGCTACTTGAAAGTTGTTTTGTAGGTTAGCTCTGAGATTATCAAACTACATTTTTTAGATATTTCTTTGGTATCTGTTTAGATTCTCTAATGGATGACACGAATCATACAAGCCAAGTTGGCACACAGTTGTATATGAGCCCAGAACAGGTAAAATTGTTGTACAGTTTCAGCACATTTACTGAAGCTTGCTTGTAGTGCTGAGTATGAAAAATGGGTGATAGTTGTGCCAAGTATAAGTGCTAGTGACTTGTCATGTTTTAGGCACACACCTGTCCTGGAAAATGCCTTTTGAGCAATAAGTTTTGTACTGCTATTAAATTGGTATTGACATACATGTAGGTAATTTATTTATCAAAGGAGGACTTTGAAAGACCTGTTCTTCACTGTCAAAGATTATTAGCATAATCATGTATTTGAAAGGAATGCCCATCTCACAAAATTACTGTTCAAAATAACTTTTAGTACTCTTATTTAGCAGTTTTTTTTGTGATTGGTTACCCAAAGATTTCACAGAAAGCATTATTGTTTCCAGTACAGACTAACTTTAATTTCTTTCCTCTTAATCAGATGGAGGGAAAGGCATATTCCCACAAGGTAGACATCTTTTCCCTTGGACTCATATTTTTTGAGTTGTTTTGTCCATTTGGTACTCAAATGGAAAGAATAAAGGTAAGAACACCAAGATTGCTAGTAAGTTTTATTAACCAAGCCTGAGGTAGTGAGCTTCTAATATTTTTTGGACTGTTACAATGCTAAGGGGATGACTTCACTTTCTCTACTGAGAAGTTGATGTTTGCATTCTTTTTAAGAGTTTGCAGCCTTTCTTATTGGCACCTCCCTTCCATTAACTATGTTTTGTGAAATCAACAAATATCTCTTTTTGATTTTTCAATAAAAGTACCTTAATAGGCTTCAGAGTATGTATTTCATACAGAATTTAGTACTGAAGGCTATTGCTTTAGTGAAAGGTGTGGTCAAAGTATGAAAAACAGTTAGGTTCAATTCTCAAAACATACAAAAACTGACAAATGGCTGGGCTGGAATTTAACAAATGAATGAAACACTTGATCATTTGGTTAATGCTTCCATTACCAGTGGAAAAAAGGCTTATTAATTTTTTTAGACTCACTGTGTATTTGTTATTGTTAATTACAGGTTATGTGTGGTGTTAAACAGAGGGTGATCCCGGGTGACTTTAAAAAAAAGATGCCACTACAGGTACAGTGTACAGTACCTTATTTATGTCACGTACTGTTGGTAGCTGGTCCCTCTAGTCGTCACATTTGAATATTTCTTACTTGGGCCTGTAGCTTTAAGGAGCCAGCTAATGTTTCACACTTGTGAGTTTTGTTTGATATTTTATTTTATTTCTTTTTACATGCTTTAAAAATTGAATTTTTTTTGTTCTGATCATCTTTTAGTCAGAATTGGTACAGTGGTTGTTATCTGCAACACCAAAAGCAAGACCAAATGCTACAGAAGTCAAGAACAGTAGTATTCTGAGGAGGATAAGACAACAGGTTTCAGAAAGCCCCAATAGTTAACAAGAAAAAGGTTACAATTCACTTTCAATTTCAAAGGCTGTGCAAAATTACTGGATATCAATTTTCATTAACATGGGGAAACTAAGGGAGATAAATCCTGAGGGAAAATAACTGTCATTGGTCTTTGCACCATTGTGACATGTTCATGCAGTGGAATTATGAAAATTGTGCACATTTTGTTTGAATATTTCCTTATTTCTAAGTAAGTAGAATCCCATTTAATTGGCAGTTCATCCTAAAATGATGTATTTTTTAAGGGAAATTTTTATATTTTGAAACAAAAAATATGTATTGTTTAGACAGAAATGTACATAAGGCTTGTTATTTATTAGAAATTAGATAAACAGACAAAAATCCTTGCATTTTTTTTCTCATGTTTATTGTATAAATAGCAACATTGTAAAATATTAGCTGCAAGATAAATTGTATATCAGAAATAAATAGTATCAACAACTCATTGTTGTGTACAAAGTATTAAATGAAGCAATTCTTCAAATTTATAATTCTTCACCAAGAATTGAAATTAATCTGAATCATCAATCGCAAACCAAAATGACATTGAACAAGGGCTTTCAGGCCACTTCTATTTTTCAACAACCAGGTCACATGTGAAAATTGTGTACCATGCAATTTGCATAATCAAAATACGGCTGGAAATTATCATTATCCTCTATGCCATGTTATTCTTACAAATTACATATGGCACAGTTATGTTTTGTGCAATAAACAAAGAATAGCTATTCAGTTGCCTCTTCCAAACGCATTGTAGGAATTTTAAGATTACTCATGAGCCCTCTCATTAAGTATATATATATTTTTTTGTTTTGTTTTTTTGTTTTTGTTTTTTTGGTCAGTAGTCCTCAGCAGACAAAGTCTTCATTGCTTTTATACAGTCTTCACACTGTTCCTTCGTTTTGTTCAGGATGTCCAGCATTTCTGGACTAAACATTGTAACAACATCAACATTAAGCAGATGGCAACGCACTGTTGAGAAAAAAGGAAAAGAGTATTGAATTACTTTCCATGCTTCTCTGGTTTCATTCATCCGTACTGTTGATTGTTTCATACTAACCACTTGCTGTGGATAATGTTTCTTTAACAGTTGCCAAAGTCTTCTCAATTTCACCCATCCTTGATATCATGTTTTCATAGGTATCAGGATATGCTGTTGGTGAAAGACATTTTTATTTCCTCAAAATGATTTGTATCATAGAAGGTTGGCAAGATATAATTAATGAGCGGGTAACAAAGAGCCTGAGTGGTTAAAAAATTGACCACACACACACACACGCACAAAAAAAACTTTTTGGTGTCTTTTTGCATGAATGGAAATTAATTTGTGGTACTCTCTAAGAATACAGTGCCAAGTAAAATGATGAACCAGTTCAACCATGATAATGTTTCCATGCCCAAACCAAGTACATTGAACCCTGTAACCCACCAGATGAAATTATGATTGAGTTAAAGATTAACACTGTCTTAGTGGATTTTAGTGGAGTCTGGCTCAAACCATAGTCTCTCCGCAATGCCTTTTGATTTCTTTTGCGTGATTGTTGGTAATCTGGGGGAGGGTCCACTTTTCTCAGTCCACTTGATTTGTCACGAGTGGGTTTAACCCTTAACCCGATATGACACTTCTATTTTTGCAATTACTGGTAAGCATCAACTGCTAGCTTGAGCCAAGCAAATATGGCTCAGCAGTCATTTTAAACTCATATGGCTGTGTATGGCTTACTTTCAGAATCACCAGTTTGACCTTGATCATCACTGCTGAAAGTGAAGTCCTAAGACAAATAATTCAGAAAAGTTAATTTGTCGCAGTAACATTGATTTAGTTTAGTTTGGAAACGTGATATACTTAAAAAAAATAGACTGTACTTGCTCAAGTAAACTTTAAGAGAGGTATGAATGTAATCTTTTTGGATTTAAAAATATTTCGAAGAAGGCCTTTTTGAAAACGTTTCAACATTTAGCATTCAGGTATGTGTGCAAAATATACAGCTGAAACATAACCTGCTTACATTCCATTGCGCCTTGGTTTGTGGCGATCCATTCGCATCCTTGTGGGCTTTTTCCGTGGTGCTATTCATTAAGATAATGGAAATGGTTCATTATAAGCTGTAAGTAATATCCTTTTTGCCATGGATAATTAAAACTGCTATTACATTGTTTAGTCTCGGTGGTTTTAAATGTACATTTTACTAAGTTCCGAAGCAGCTTATTATATTATTTTAACAATCCTGAAGTTGATAATCTAGATAAACTACACGGAATATGCAAGAGCCTGAGGTGATGAACGACCGTACAGAGCTGGTAGTTCGACATAATTTTTATGAAAAACCGAAAAAACGCTTTTTCTTTAATTTTCTTTTCACGTGAAACTAATTGATTGCCGAATTCTGGGTTGAAGCCGAAATCACGTTAAGTCAAAATAAAACGCGAAAACTCATTTCTGTCAGAATGGAATTAGCATAAATGTTCACATGGTTACCGAAAGTCTCGACAAAATATATTTTTTTGCCGTCAAATCTGACTATTACATAAATAACATTCCAAATTAGTTTTTTCCCTTTAGAATAGGTAATTAGAGCCAAGGACATTTATGGGTATTGTGTAAAATATTACCAAAACTCTTCATCATTACAAAACATCTGTTTTCCGGCAAAATCCAAGTCGTTCCGTGCATCTTCACTAGTAAACTGACAGAGAGGAAATAAAAAAAGAAATAAGCGTTAATTTTGTTTGGCAAACGTGAAGGATGAGCTTCAAACTCATGTTTTCTTCAGGAAAATTTGATCTACACCAACACGACTGGAATTAAAATATTCGGAAAGAACCTGCTTTTCATGTGAATATTTAATGAGAAGGTTTTCAAAACTTGCCAAAATTATCGCTTTTCATTTTGAAGTGCACGTCAATTTAGGCTTGTAGAGAATGGAATATTGTTTATCCTCGAAATGTAAATTTCTTTTCAAAGTTAAAGCTGTTTCCCTAATTTTCTGGATGAAAATGTAAAATTGCGATTGTATGGATACACTATACGAATGTGTGTTTAATTTTAAATCTTTGAAAAATCTTATAGGCATATCGGCATTGGACAACAAAAACCGAAGCGTTAATAATTATTTTCAACAGTTCCAGTTGCGTGTAAGCGCTTAAAATTGTGAAGTTTTTTTTACTGAAAATCCGAAATCGTCACCTTGCGAGCTGAATCTGAATTACAAATCGAGGCGGACATAGGATAAAACAAGCAAAGATATCGGCCTACCTGTGAGCAGACACCTGTATCTGCTCCGTAGTTCTCGCTGCTGTCATTCGTTTGCATATTTAGCGTATATAAAATAAATTATCGTCCCTAAGACGAGTACAACTAGAACGATTGTTGATGCCAACAGGAGTTTTAAATGTATTGGGAGTTCAGGGGTGACCTGACGAACGATTACTTGTCGCTCTAGTCTTTCTGTAGTTGGACGTTCGCCTTCCTCTATTAAAGTTTCGGCCATTGTTAACGCTTGGCATCGTCGCCGCGTTTCAAGCGCGGGAAAATGCTGACAAAATTTATAACAATGGCATTCATTGGATAGGAACTAAATCCTATTCGGATAAACTAAGCCACGTTATCATTGGTTCACCTGACGTCTTGATACAATCGACATATTTTCTGAATTTTCCCTTTTTTCCCTCTTTCTTGTTTCAGTTATTTTAGATATTTAATAATTTTTTTTTGATATTGCGTAGATGTTGAAGTACTGTCTAATATCACAAGCTTTCTAAAATCCCAGTCAGTGATCATAAAAATCTTATTTCTAAAGCATAAAAAAATCCTAGAGATTTTTAGAAGGGCACAGTTCATTTTTCGTGACTTATTACAGAAGTGACTCTTTCATATATAATAAGGTTAACTCTCATAATTCATAATTCAGTATGAAGCACTTGGCTATTAGCCAGTTTGACCACTTCTATGATCGAAGGAGATAAGTGCCTGGGTACGTGGCAACTCAATCAAGTAATTATCAGCCATCAAGTGATTATCAATAATTGCTGCTGCTTCGGTGGGAGTATAACAACTTAAGTTGGTTTTATCCACTGAGTTAATGATGAAAATTGGCCACTGTAAAGAGTTTCTGAAGCTGACGTTTTGCGCGTTAGCCCTTCGCCAGAGCGTATGGAGAACATGTGCGTTCTGAGTGTTTTATATGTACAAAATGGAACTACGGTATCGATGGGAACTTAGTATTAGAATTAATGTTTGAATGGGGCTTTGTCTTTGCTTAAACGTCACGAAGGTGTTCTCGGAATCGGTCGCCTAGTCGTCTTTCTGTTTCGTCAGTGTGATACCTTTTGTAAGGAGTGCAAGTTATACAAAAGATGACATTGGCGGAGATGCACGTGAAATGTTTTTTAATCTTGATGGATCTCTTGGGTCCCGATATTTTCGCAAAAGTTACGAATGAAAGGACAAGTTTTGCATCGTGTGCGCGCATCCGGGTTGATCATTAGTTTGAAATTTTCGAGTCCATTTATAACGGTAATTGAACTGAGTTGAATGCAATTTATAATGGTAATAGAACTGAGTGGAGTCCAATTTGGTCTGTAATCATACGAGTGATTGGCAAAATTGAACGACCGCGAAGCGGGAGTCCGATTTGTTAATCACGAGTATGATTACAGACAGAATTGGACGACACGAACTCCTGTTACCAATTAATCAAAACTATGACAAAATTTGAGAAAGAAACTAGACATCGGTTATACGTTTTCATGAAAAAAACATCAGTTAACACGGCGATATGCGAAACTATAGCGCACGCACATGACGCGTTCTGTCTATTTACACAGGCATGACATGTGAACTGTCCTTTTAACTGTCTTATTACGCGTAAACTGTCCTATTACACTGTCCAATTACAAGCATGACGCGTACACCGTCCTATTAGTGCTCTGATCGGGCTGGTGATAACCAATCACGTTCGAGAATTTTGTTATAGTTTTGATTAGAGCTGAAATCACAAGTATGATTTCATACCAAAATTACACGACACGAGGTTCAATTAGCGCTTTATTACATCCATCTTGGAATCGCCCAAATACAGGGCTTGGTAAGTTCAAATATTTTATTGATGCAGTACTGAGCCGGTTTGAAATTAAATTCATCCATTGTTTGGGGGGAAAAAATAAGAGTTTTGGAAACAAACGTTGCAAAATTTGCCACATGATACTCTTTGTCTCTCGTTTTCCTGCAATTTGATGGGTTACTTTAAACAAGCCTTGAAACCTGATTGCTTGTTTTGTTTTTAGTGTAGCCTCTTCATTGGCTGAGAAAAAGATGCGATTTAAAGCAAAAAATGGTGCGATTCGTGAATAAATCGCACCTATTAGAGCCAATCAGATTACAGGGACCACCAGTGATTTCAAAATGGGTGTAATAAAAGCAGATAGTTTTTTAAGCTCGACAAATATTGTAGAAAATGAGTCAGCTGTCGTAAATCACATAAAGGAATCGCAACCACTAATCAAAAATCAAATAAGTTCCTCTACGCAAGCTCCTCCCTCCTCAAATTTAGCAGCAAGTAGAGGCATCCGTTATTTATTCAAGCACTGGACTTGCTGGGTACTAGGTTGTGCTTATCGAGATATTTGCCTTCTAATGAATTCAATTGGCCAATGTTTTGTATTTTGTTTAAAAGCTCAGCTGTAACGCGAGTCACGCTTATTTCTGGACTTGTCAAGTTAATTAGTAATAGCCTATCCATGTAATTCAGGGTTTACGCTCCCTTAAGCTATCAAGTACCATATTTGTCGAAGTCGAAGTAAGGAGTTAGGAGTCATTTCTGTAAACACAACTTCGTATCATTCTTGGAGCTGGAGTTGGACAGTGTAAGTTTGTATTTCTTTCGATCTTCTGTTGATTTTCAGCTATCCTGATAATATTCCTGTTATTGTAATCACTGTGTGTTATGAGAGCTAGTTTATCAATAAATCAAATGTGATTATCATGGCACTTGGTTGAAGCGACGTTCTTCTAACACGCCACCCCATCGGAGCTAGGAAACGCGATACCAGCAAAAACGAACCTCTCGATAAAAAAATAAACCAATCAAACAAAGAGAACAAACAAACAATCAAAAAAGAAGAAGCCAATGAAATATTCTACCATAAAAAATAAACGTTCCGTCTGCCGCAAATTTCCAGAAACGTGAGCAAATATGAACATCGAGTGACCACAAACGATGACCCACGGGCTCCCCCCACGTGCATTTCGACCGGAGTCTCCTGATAGTCATGAAGTACACTATTCCCAGTCTCTTATCTGTGCAAAACGAAAATGGCTTCTCAAGCACGAGATCTTAGAAGGTTTGTGGAATTTGGACGCAAAATTATCGGCGTGGGTAAAAACTACAGGTTAGTTTCGTTTTTTTTTTATTTTTTCCCCTTTCAGTATCTCATTTGTATACTTTTTTTTAATTTAGGCCCAACGGATCGCCACAACAGCCCCCTCCTGCTCAAGATCCCCTAATTTTTTTAAAACCACCGTCAACATATTTGAGTCCAGGGGGGAAATTAAGGTAAGTTCTCGAGATAATGTAAAAGGTATCAGTAGGATCGAGATTTGAAAAGATATTAAGATGTCACTAGCGATGATGTGTTTTGGTTTTTAATCAGTTCGGTCTCAGATTGGGGATTCCCTACACGGTTTACTACGTGGCATCCCTTTGAGAGAAAGTAAGAACTTAATAGTCACTTGTTTCAACCGACCAAGTCTTCCGAGTTCACTCAGAAAGCGAGGTGATCACGTTTAACGCCAGATTTATAGACATTTTTGTTTAAAACAACCACTTAATTATGTCGTGGAATGTGCGCTATCCATAGAGGGAATTTTGCACCTCAAGTAGCCAATAAGAACAGGGGATTTGCACCACCATGTTCAGAACAGGGGATTTGCATCATCATGTTCTTTTAACTATATGGAACCACCCATGTAATTAAGAATGTTGGAAGTCAGCTCTTGGCATGTGTTACATATGAATTAAATTGCATCCAAAACAGTTCATAATCCTAAGAGGGTGCTAAAACATAGTTGTACACTTCCTTGCATATCTACATGTTCAGAGATTTTTTGGTCAAACAATATGATCTACTAGTGTATGTTTGTCTTTGAATCATTTTTTTTCAACTCTTCCAACAGATCCCAGTGGGCCGTGATCAGATTTATCATGAAGTAGAACTTGGAGTTGTGATTGGCAAAACTGGCAAATCTATTTCAGAGTCTCAAGCCATGGATCATGTAGGGGGGTATACCCTGGCTTTGGATATGACTGATTTTGATCTTATAGTTGAAAAAGTAAGTCTATGTGAGCCTGTTTGCTGGAAGAAACAGTGATTGTACTCATCAAATGTGCAATTAAGCTTTTTTTTAGGATATTGTGTGAAAGTTCAGCATTGAAAAAGTTTCTGTTGAGAGAAGAGAGACCTGAACTTTTATGACCCCCCCTCCGACAAAAAGAGAAGACCTGAAAATAAGTTATAACTACATGACTTAAATAGATGAAAGTCATATGTGTTAACTGTAGATAAATAAATGTATATGGAAGTGATCTTCACAGTAATTGATTTATATGAATCTTTTTCTGCAGTTGCATAATGATTTTTATATATTTACAGTCATTTATTTATCACTTCATGGGTTTATTTGGAACCAACATAACGACAAGCTCCCAGTTGGCTTGTTAGCTCAGTTGGTAGAGCACTGCACTAGTATTGCAGAGGTCATGGGTTCAAATCCCATAATGACCTGATTTTTTTTCAGGCCTTAAATTCACTTCTGCTTAAGTAGTTTTTATCACAGTGAAGATCACTTCCATATTCAGTTTATAACTACCCCAACATCCATCTCCCTGCTTGTTTTCAGCCTGTCACATCATGCTACTTCAAAAGTTCTAAAAACTTTGTGAATTTGGTCAAGGCCTATGAGTAGCTAAAGACATAGACTGCACATTATTCAAATCTGTAACTAAACCTTCAAAGAACAGCAAACTTTACCCAGCAGAGGCAAGAGTAGTGTGCTTTGAATCATTTTGCATTTTAGATTAATCCTAACTCCCAGAAGTGATTAACATGTAAGTTCTCTTCTTAATATCCATATGCTATCCAACAAACAGGTAATGAGAATATTCAAACTTATCATCAAGGATAGGCTGTTACATTGATCTAACACCAAATCCTCTACAAGCAAATAGCAGCTGAAGGGGAGAATTAACAATCAGATCTTGAGAGTTAAAGGGTTAAGTAATTATCCTAACTAGGACTCTGATAATCAATTTTTTCTAAGTCATGGTAACTTCCATTTCCAGAATGAAGCCATAAAACTTACCTACCCATGGGCACTTGCCAAAGGTTTTGACACAGCAACACCAGTCAGTGAATTTATACCCAAATCAGCAATTACTGACCCAAACAATGTGAAACTATGGTTGAAAGTTGATGGGGAAATGAAGCAAGATGGAAATACACAGGATATGATTTATAAGATACCTCATTTAATAAGTTTTGTCAGCCGTTACATGACATTGGAGGAAGGGGATTTGATTTTGACAGGAACTCCAGAGGGAGGTTCTCCAGTGAAAAGGGGTCAGACAATAATTTGCGGACTTGGTGATAAGATGGAAATGACATTCCCTGTGTCATCATAAAGGGCTGATCTAACATGTTTAGGATTACAGATCTAGTTGGAAGGGTTAGTAAATAAAATATTTCTTTCAGGGGTGTACTACCCTGTAAAAATTATGAGTGTGTTGATCTCTCTAACATGTTAAAAAACACGCCTGAAATGCACCAACATCTTGTTTTCTATCACCAAGTGATACCAACAATAGAAATGCTACATCTTGATCTAAAATCACAAATGAGATGATTTAAAATATATGGGTGAGTTTCCATAACCCTTTCACTCCCACAAGTGACCAAGACAGGATTTCTCCTTACAATGTCAATACAATATCAAGCAGGCAGGTGATGAGAATAGAGAAGAATATCAATTATGGGATTGTTAGTTGATCTTTTACCAAATTCTCTGAACTAACATCAGAAGAATTGTATGGCAGATAGTAAGGAGAATCACTAATTAGATCTTGTGAGTGAAAGGGTTAAAAGCTGATATTTTCTCATTACAATTATTTTTGTTTTGTCAGATCTGTGACATAACATACTCTTAACCCTTCAAGTCCCACTAGTGACCAAGACAGAATTTCTCCTTACATTATCAATATGATATCAAATAGACAAGTAATGAGAATAAAGAAAAATATCAATTGGGGGATTATTGGTTGATGCACTTCCAAATTCTCCAAGTCAACATCACATAAATTGTATGACAGACAGTAAGGAGAATTACTCATGAATTCTTGGGAGTTAAAAGGGTTAAAAGCTCTGATCCTTACCATGAAAATGGAAGGTTTAAGTACTCCAAATTTTGCATTGCTAAATATTAAAAATTAATTGCATTGTTGCAAACATTCCATGTGTTAGAAAGTATCAATTGTTTTAAACTTTCTCTGTCCAAAGTGTAGGCGCAAGAATTTGTATTATCATTTTTTGTTAGTGTTGGTGTTTCATAGTTTCATGTTAGGTGTTTATTTTCTCATCTTCATTAGTGTCCTTTGTCAGTGACCAGTTTTGTACTTGTTATATTTATTTGCATATCGTATATATATTGTTCGTGCGTAATTTATTTGGTTAGTTGTCTAGTTTGCAAAAATTATTGTTACATATCTAACTCTGGGTTTCATGTTTTCGTCTTTGGTTTGGTCACATTCATCTTGTAAGTGTCCTTGTTTATTTCACTTTGTTGTTTTCCAGTACTTTCACTCATACGATGTAAGTTATTTTATGCTCATTCGCGTGTTTGTAATTTTGTCATTTTCAGTTACCGTATTCAACAATGTGTCAAGTTTGTTCTAGTAAAGTTTGAAATACGAGTGATTAGCGTTTGCGGCTATACAAAAAACTAAAAATTTTTTTAAATCAGATCAAAGTTAATGCATACACTTAATAGTTACTTAAAATAAAATGAAAAAAATGTACAAGGCAAATGAATGTGGGCAAATGGTAACATTTTTTCAAATGATTCTGAATAAAATGGAAAATTTTCGAATACTGGTCTCATGATTTCAATTATATTCAGTGCAGTGTTTCCATCATTTCTTCATGGCTGACTGGCCATGTTCAGCAACTGATTTGGTAGAAGTGATTTTGGAAAAATTTCTCCCAGACTGTCACAAATACTATTATCCTTTTAATATTCCCTTCTTAAATTCAATTGCTAATAGCTTAAGTGCAGATGACATAATTTTGAGCGGGGCTTTACTCTCCAAAAACATTCTCTTCCGGTATTTTCTCCCCTCTCTACCCGGGTAGGGTGACGGGTACCCTCCCACCCCGTAATTTCATTGAATCAAGATAAAAATGGCGGCTGCAACATCATCTTCGAGAGATCTCCGAAGATTCGTGGAGTTTGGACGGAAGATAATCGCAGTCGGACGAAATTACAGGTGAGCTTTTTAAAAGAAGTGTAATTCGACAATAACTTTATTCAGTGTCTCCAAACAAAGGAAGATGAAAGATTTTATTGCTTGGTACGTAGGGAACACGCTGCGGAATTGGGAAATCCTGTTCCAAAAACTCCACTCATCTTCCTGAAGCCGCCATCCAGCTACCTACAACAAGGAGGAAAAATCAAGGTACTTTGGGAGTGCAAGGCTACAAATTAGTCACCTAAAGCTTTAAATTTTTGATCGTAAAAATCTAATGAGGAGGGCTGTACTACATCGTGGAGGGCCTTTGGAAAAGGGGTATTGTTGATCGGAGGTGGGGTGGAGGGCGAATTCCTATGACCCCTAATTTCTAAGTCTTTTGGACCCTAGAATTTGGGTTTTCTTACACGTAACTTGTACGGTATAATTGTGCATGGACTATTTTATTTTCTATTCTGTTATTTATTAACTTGTTTTGCTTGCAGCTTCCTCCAGGTTGTGATGAGCTTCACCACGAAGTAGAACTTGGTGTTGTAATTAGTAAGACAGGCGCGTCTATCGCGGAATCCAATGCAATGGATTACGTTGGGGGATATGCTCTTGCTCTTGATATGACTGCAAGAGATCTTCAAAATAAAGCTAAAAAGCTGGGTCAACCATGGACACTTGCTAAAGGTTTTGATACTGCATTGCCAGTCAGTAGATTCATCTCCAAGACAGAGATTCTGCAACCTGATAATGTCCATCTTTGGCTGAAAGTTGATGGTGAACTAAAACAAGATGGAAACACTCGGGATATGATCTTCACTATCCCTTATTTGATCAGCTATATCAGTCAGAGTATGACTTTAGAGGAAGGAGATTTCATTTTGACTGGGACTCCAGAGGGTGTCTCAGAAGTCAAACCTGGACAAACAATAGCTTGTGGTCTTGGGGATAAAATAGACATGACATTTCCTGTGGTGTTGTAGAAACATGAGAGGGTTAATCCTTTACACCCTAACATCAGTATGCATATTCTCCATACTGTTCTTCATATGTTTCCCAAAGTGCGGACAATGAGAATTTCTAAAACAATCAAGATTTTCTTCAGCATGTGATCATTTCCTTTATTCTCATGACCTTAATACGTGATTGAGGGGTGATATTGTAAGGAGAAATAAGATGGTAATCACTCTAAAGGATCAAAAGGTTAAAGCACAATACCAACAATGAACATCTGTCCTTGGATTACCTTAATTAAAAATTTTTACAAGAATCTTTTTTATAGTTATGTCAATTAGCTCTTTACCTCAATCACACCTTCATAATTTACTAAAAGTTTAAGGTAGTATCAATGGCCACTTATTATAGAGAGAAAAAGATAATGTTTTCTGCTAGTATTGAAAGGTTCTGATTTTTACCCCATTTTTCATTTAAATCAAAGACAAACTCAGGTGTTCTTTATTCATATATTTTTTTGTATGCCCATAAGTAACCCAAATGTGGAGTGCTTTTCAATCAAAGAATGAAACATGGTCCCTAAGTTTTTATTCAACCTTAATTTCGAATTTCCACAACTTTTTTTGGTCAAGGAAAAGTATAGAATGATGGTCTTGACTTAATAATTGTAATGCTTGCCAATTAAAAATATTTGAATCCTATTGGTTAATAGATACAAAATTTTACAACTTTGCGGTGTGATGTTAAATTAATGCAAAGGGCTTGATCTCTGCTTGCTGAAACTATATTCTTTTAACTAAAACTGACCAACCAAATTACTTTTATTTTGGGTAATATTCATTTATTGAATTAATTAATACAATATTGAGAAGCATTGTAAGCAAATGACATTCCGTATTTCCTCAAACAAGAGCCATTTACCAAGTAAGTGCCCACCCCCTTGGCCATAATGTCAAACAAGTACCCCCTCCTCCCCACTTTCCTAAGTAGTAGGGATTCATGGAAAATCTGTTTCTGTTGTCACTTCATTATCAACCTTTAAAGCTTCAACTATGGCAGAATCAGAACAGGAAAACAATAACTAGCCCCTTGACTAAGTCCCTCCTCCCAACAAGGGCCCCTCCTTTTAGGTGAAATTTCAAATAAGTGCTTGCGCACTTATCTGAAGAAATGCAGTATACTTTTTATTTACACTGGTGATGTGTAAACTTCCCAATTACACTTTCTAAGTACAAGCATAATTTGCACACTGTCCTTTTAGTGTTCAAACATGGACTCAATCATGTTTGAGAATATTGTAACAATTGATCTTCTGTAGGCTAACAGTATAGTTATTGAAGAACTGCAATATCAAAACTTAGTTGTAAGGGGCCAGAACTACCCCAGATTTGTTAAATTAAGCTGTTTGGTGGTACTTGCTGTTACAATCATCCACTTTGCTAATCCTGAAGGTCAGCTTCATCTGACTCCACTTCAGTAGCATTATGTATTGCAACCAAAACATCTCCTATCTTGGATTTTTCATCTCCTGAAATGGGAACTATCTCACACTTTCCTCTGCATTCTTTGCAACTTTCAAGAATTTCTCTCAATTTCCGAATGAAGAGTACAACCTACAAGAAAGGGGTTTACATGAAAAGAAAAAAAAACAAAAAAACGTCTGACACAAGAATTATTGGTATGACTGGGTTTGTTTGAGCTAGGGAAGGATGGTGCCCAGCAGAGGGGGTGGGATGGAGGCAGGATTGTTATATTCCTTTTGAGGCTGTTTCCCAAGTTGAAAACTGAGAAAAAAGTTTTCGTTGGTATTTCCTACTATTTGGTTTTGTTAGGCCTCCACGTATGCTTTTCCCTCTAAGACATCTTTACCCTTACCCCCCCGCACTGAATAAAAGTCCATTTATTCTGGATCTTATGGTTTTTTGCCTGTACACACAAATATAATTTTTTATTTCAAATAAGTTTGCTATATTCCAACAACTGAATATAATAGCCTGATGTTTGACATATTCAGGAACATTGCACTTGTACCCAAAGCCTGAGGAAAATAAAACATTTCTTCCAAAGGGTATGGGGGTTGGGGAATGGCGCTGTCTTGTTGTAAATACAAAATGGCAGAGTTAGCGAAGCCACGAGATTCTCAGCATAACCCTTTACCTTAAGATTAATAAACATATAAGCTATGTCTTTTAAGAGACAAAAAAGATGGCTCAGCAAAACCAAGGGTATCTACGTCATCAGAAGAAGTTCGCGGATTTCGCGAAGCTCTTTAACTGAGGAAGTACTATGATTACCTGATCATCCCGCTCTTGACGACTGAGGGGAGCGTCTTCGTGGAGAGACATGTCATACAAAGACATAAGATTGGAAGCGTACTCCAAAATGAAGAAGTATTCACGTGTCATTCCTGGTTTATCGGACATGTCTACTCGGTAAACTGCTTGTTTGTAAATTCTTTCCATTATTCCTCCTCTGTTGATTTTACACGGTGTAAGATCTCCGGCCCAAGTAACCCTGGGATCTGCGTCGGCAATATTATCATACACATAACATGTCTTCGGCACCAAGATGTAAAGTTTCTTCTTTGTTATCTTGTAACGAAACTCTGACGATTTTGCAATCTGAGCTTCAAGCCTAGGAAGAACCAACTTCAGGTAGCCGAAGTAGTAATTCCAAGCAAAGCCGTCAGCAACATTCTTGTTATCTCTTTCGTTCAACATGGTTGCTTCCACCGTGTTCGGCTCTCTGAGACCAACGAGGAAAACCAGTTGTGGTACCACAAAACAATTCAGTATGAAAAAGATGGCATAATCCAGGCGGAGAAATGATTCATAGTTTTGCAACATGGCATAACACACAAACAGAGTGGAAGTGGTACCGACAACTAGAATACAAGAACTGTATTCAAACGCGAAAGTAGATTTTAAAACTCGCCTCCATTCCCCTCGATATCTCGTCTGCTTGTGTCGAATTTCTTCGGCTAGCATCGATACCCTTCTGATTAGTTCGCCTGCAATTACGCTTAGCATAAGAAGGGCTGTTGCAAAGAACACAAAGCTAATTCCTTCCTTGTCTTCGTTCTCCCATAAGGCAAACACAAGCAGGGCCCCAGATATCGTGGCTATCACTACTGAAGCGAAAGTGACAGCCTTGCCGCGGGGCTTGAAAATCGGTCCAAATCCGTTATTTTCCTGTTGATCCATTTATCAACTAACTATGTATCTTTATGCACGTCCCCTTTAAAACGTGTTTTTCTTTTTTGCACCCTTCGATAGGGATCTTAAACTGCTTGCGTGGCAGATGTCGTTTTTTTTTCAACTGATTGGGTACACTTTAGGGGAATCCCCTTATGATTTTGATTGGCGGATAGGAGTGGTTTTCTCTGCAAGCCTTCTTAAGTATTTTGGAAAATTTAACATATCTTATTGATGCGTAGGACTTAAATTGAAAGCAAATTGACAAAGCAGGGTCATTGTAATGAATCGAGAGGATTCAAACTTTACTTTTAAAATCAGCTCGGGGTTATTTACTGTCGAGGAAAAACATAACTCAGTGCAGTATTTGATTACCTCTGCGGCTACATGACGTAAGTCACATTTTAAAATGTCGCCAAGTTTCACATGATTTGTTTATTTGTTGAAGTTTTTTTTTTATAAGCCGGTGGCAGTGGGTACATGTTGGAAAATGTCTAGTGAAATTTAATAAATCCCTTAAGGCAGCTGGTATGTCGGCTAATAATGTCAGAAAACTTAATATCTTGCCGAGAACCGAAGCTTCGAAGGCAAATCTAAATGTTTATTATTTTTTTGAAATATTTTAAAACATCGTGTTTAGGGTGCTTTTAAGAGCCCATAAAAAGTAATTTGTCATCTCTCTTTGAGTTTTCTTGGTTCATTCAAGTTTAATCCAAATTTTGCATTCCACAAAGATGAGTATTCACAGAATAAGTTGAACTGAAAACCTGATGACTATTTGTGTTTTCAGACAATGTGCCCACCCACCCTTGGAGGGTCAATTGTAATGGGGCAGGTGGGTATTTGAGAAACTCTGATGGTCATTTATCTTCTAACTCTAACCCTAACCCTTAGCAATCACTGGTGTGGAAATAGGAAGGAATTCCAGACACTCTTATTTTGGAGAGAGGGGTAGGGATATGGATATTTTCACATAATCCAGACAAAAATATAAACAACAATTTATTGACAGAATTAAAATGCAACAACTAACAACTTAAGCATGCTCATACAGGCTGCAGCTGTGGGTCTTCCATATCATAATGAGCCTTTGATTAAGAGGATCTTGGTTGTTCTGAAAGACACACAGCTGAGGATGGAACCTTCAATTTAAGCAGTCATTGAAAATGGCAAAGCAGAAATGACAATCATAACTACTAGATCATAACAAATTATTCACCATGAGTTATTAACGCAACTAGATTTTTGTCTGAAATGACATGAAAAGGATCTATATGCAGTTCATCATCCAAAGTATTAATTAGGCTAAAATCAATTCAAACAGGCTGATGAAAATTTTCAAATAACATAAAAATGATCCAACCCTTCTGGTTACCAAGCTTAGGAAGTTGAGAGTCAGAAGAAGATTGGAAGGAACAGGAATACTTGTTCTCTTTCTCAAACCTCTGTAAAACATTTTGGCCTCCCAGATTGTTCAGAGCAACAGAAATACCATAAATTGTCATTCAGTTATTTGTTAGGATTAAATACAATAAATTATAATCAACAAGTTTTCCTTTTTCTTGATCATTAAAACCATGAGGCTTTAGGAGTAAAATCTGGATTTTTACAGGTACCCTTAAATATCAATAATTTTTTTGTGTAAACTATAATTATACTAACTGAAAAATAGAAAGAAAAAGGAAGGCTCCTCAGTCCTACATGGATCACTAAAGGAGTATTTCATTTAGTATATCACAGGTCCTGTAAAATATCAGCAATTTATGTATACAATGTTATAAACTGAGTTTTTTGTTACATTGAGTTAGCAATATTTTTGTTTAAAGCTGTGCTTGTTCTGGTCAGTGCACTCCATTAGCTTCTGGATTGTGCATCTCTATGTTGGCAGCATTATGCATCCCAACTAGGACATTTGAAATCTCATGTGGACCATTTCCTGAAATTGGCACTAATTCATAAGTCCCTCTGCACTCTTCAGAGTTCTCCAGAATTTCCGTCAATTTTTGGATGAATAGCACCACCTTTGTAATAAGAAAGAAAACTTCCAGTAAGACTGTGTCTGACCTAAAGCAAAGCATATTTCTGGGGACCAGTCCCCGGGGGGGGGGGGTCTTCCTGATAATAGGATAATGGGGATGTACTGCTCTGGATAAGGTTGATTTTCCATAACTGGATTCATCATTATGGGGATGCATTTTTGATAGAGTTTCTTAAATGGGGTTGAGTGTTTTGTGGATTTTGGGGGTAAGCCGAATTAAAGTAACTAGGGATTTAAAAATGGAAGATTTGTGGTCAAATGAGTCAATTCATTTTAGGAAGAGCTACCTAAAAGGCTTTGCAAGACAGATGTATTAACAGAAAGTGACTAAGTTAGGATAATGAAAATTACATTTACTCAAAAAGTTATTGAGATGGGATCTATTATGGGCTAGGGGTTCTGAGTGGCCAGTGGCACTTCCACAACAAAAATTGACCTAAGAACTCTCTCCAGGGATCAGTCACAATATTACTCATAGTATTCAGATCAGGATTCTCTTTCATCTTGAAAATCAAAAGGAAAATACTACAAACTAGCCTACCTGCTGATCCCGCTCCTCACGGTTAAAGGGGGCGTCTTCTTGTCGAGACATATCGTAGAGGGTCATCAGAGGCGTGGCATACTCCAAGATAAAGTGGTACTCTCCCACTCTTCCATCTGGGCGGGGCATCTCTATCTTATATACCGCATGCTTGTAAATTCTGTTCTTAATTCCACCTCTATCAATTGAAAGCTTAGTAAGATTGTCGACCCATTTTACCCTGTCATCTGCGTCAACGATGTTGGCACGGGTGTAGCACGTTTTGGGCAATAATATTAAAAGCTTTTCCTCTTTTATCGCATATCGAAGTTCAGGTTTCGATTTGCTAATCTGTTCTTTCAGTTTTGGCAGTACCAGCTTCAGATAACCAAAGTAGTAGCTCCAAGCCAGCCCATCAGCTACATTCTTGTTTTCTTTTTCGTTCAAATCCGATGTTTCCACAGGAGAGAGCTGTCGAAGACCCACAAGGAACAACAACTGCGGAACCACGAAACAGTTCAGAAAAAACAAAATGGCGAAATCTGGGCGAGAGAAAACCTCGTATTGTTCATACAACTGATAACATAATATGACAGCAGAAGCGATAGCAGCGACTAAAATACACCCGCCATAATCGAAAGTGAAAGTTGTCTTGAAAATACTCTTCCACTTTCCTTGATATCTCGTGCGTTTGTGTTTGAACTCCTCAGACAACAGGGACAACCTTCGTAATAGTTCACCGAAAACAAAACTGAGGGTAAGCAGGGCAGCTGTAAACACCAGGAAATGAAACTCCTTCTCTTTCTCTTTCACCGAGAAGAATAGTGTCGCGCCACTTATCACAACCATGATAGCTGAAGTGACAGTAGCAATTTTCCCACGACGCTTGAAAAGTGGTCCAAAGCCATTATTTTCTTGTTGAGCTAAGTCATCTCCTCGAGGAAGATGATTTTCAGCCATGATGTGTATAATATTTCCTTCCAAACGCAGAATTTACGTACTCGTAAAGATGGTCACAACGAAATGAGTAAACCTGGGGAAAAGCAGATCGCTTTGATTCCCGACAAAATATATTTGGGGAATCCCCTAGACAAAAACTCTGGCTTTGATTGGCCAGGAGTCATGAGGTTGTCTTTGGGCTCCTTAAGGGCGAGTTGAAATTATTTGTTCGGAGATTGAAAGTGCTCTCTCAGCAAGTTTCGGTTTCGGAAAAAAACTTTTCCAGAGGAATGAAAAACCGAAAGGAGAATACGTTGGTTTCCTACACCGCGTGGAGCCTTCTTAGCAGAAACCACCTCGCGCACGAGGCGGTTCTCACATTATGTGCAATGACCGTAATTAAATTTAAAGAATAATTATTTCACCATCAGGCTTAACGTGAATTCCAATACCATCATTAATATGGAGGTCAGATAAAAGTAGCTTGCTGGAGATAGCTCCGCCATATTTAGGCTTCATTCAGGCTTGGTTCACTGAGGAGCATCGAGGAGCATCAAGGGCCGTTTAATTCTAGTGCCAAATGGGACCATATTTCCGCGTTCCTACAGAAAATGCACCCACAGATACTTTTACACAACTTGCGTGGAACACATGCCACTTTGCGATTTAAATGGCGCGAAACGTTTTGACTATTATTTCAACGATGATAAAGACTGAGTGCAACCATGAACCGATACCGTACACTGAAGTGTAATTCCCACACAATTTACCAGCTATCTCTGGATTGAAAGATGTCGTTGACATGTCTAGGTTAAGTTACAATGATAGATAAATGTGTCTTTTTTTCATTCACGACCCTTGATTCGTAATTACAATCGGGAGGAAATCTATCTAAAACCTGGGTGTCCTGTGATTCTGTAAGATGATAGGATCTGGATAAAGAATGTCAGTCAGGGTCTAGGTTATTGTCTAGCTAAAGAGAGAAGAACTATCACGATCCTTAACTGTTATTATTATTAACAACATTCAGATTCATATTCTTTTTCTAATAACTAATAATTTGAACTTTGCACAGGGGCTTTGATGTTGCAATCAAATTATTGATAATTAAACCCCATGGTCAAGTGGAAAACATTAGGCTCGTCGAGACCAGGGGTATTCAATTAATCACAAGGAGGGTTATCCCTGGTGTGCCGCTTATTTATAAATTCACTCCATTATTCCTTCCCTGTTGAGCCTACACAGAGGAACATCACTGGCCTTCAGTTAAACTGGGGTCTGCATTAGGGGAGTTGAATTGCCAGAAAATGAAGTTAGATTGAAAACCTGTCAACTCATTGTGGCCCCGGGAAATTTCCTCACCCATCCTTGGAGGGCCTTTTGGAATGGGACAGGATGAGGATTCTAAAAGCTTACAGGTATTTATAGAGGAATGATATCTCCTCTGAGGGATGAGGGAAGGTGATTCCAAGCAAAATCCTCTCTGTGTGAGGGGTGCAATTAGGGATATTTGAACATATTCTACACAAAAAAAATACTTTGGATACTTGCATGATTTAGAGAGGAACCCTTATGAATTCTTTCAAACCAGTTTTACAGTTTAGGCGACTTGATCACTAAGGCCTTCCCTAAGTGTATTTTTTTCTTAGCAGTTTTGTAACTAAGACTCTTCTATAGTGAAATTTAAGTAGTTTATTCTGCAATTGAGAGAACTTCTGATTTGAAACAACAACAAAAAATTGAAAGCTGCGGCAAAGCTCAAAGGGGGGAGACTCCTTCAAAGAAGCACCAAAGTTGTTGGTTATAATTTTTCCCAAACTTATATAGGTACTGGTGTTATAGTACAGTCAAAGTTAACACACAGGTGCTTTGTGGCAAGTTTTATTTTTTAACCCGTTAAATTCTAGAGTGACAAGTATCAAATTTCTCCTTAAAGTAGTACCACTGATATATTTAGTATAAAGACCATGGAAGTAAAGGAAATGATTGCTAAACTAAAAAGCTGTGATTGAAACACAGATTCTCCTTGTCAGTACCAAAAGAAAATGTGCAATTCAGAATTGTATGAGGAACATGCATACTGATATAAAGGTGTCATCAGTTCAAATATTTCACAGAGCAAAGCAAAGACAAATGACAATTGAGAAAAACTAAATTATTCAGCATGTTTTATAAATCTCTTTTCATGTTTACTTTACTATCCCATAAAAGGCTCACTACAAACTGTGTTATCTGCTAGGCTATAGGGAAGAGTAAATTAAATTAAGCTATAAACTTCTCTACATACACAAATTAAAGGCTGTTCCTTTGAATGTTATCACAACACAATCAACATAAATCTGCAAGATGTCAGAGGTTAAAGAATTCAAAACAACTCAAAGCCTTGAGCTATCAAGCCCAGGAAAGGACTGGAGCACATATTAAGTTACATTAGGATGCTTGCTTTCTAGCTTAAGAGTACAAATAATCAATTTTTGGCCTCTCAGGGTCTGACACTGTGTTTCTTAACACTCAGAAACACAGCTCTATACATATGCAATGTATAACAAGAGTTCCTTTGTTGTTCATACTGTTGCTGTGGAGCAGCAGCCACATATCTGCTCTATTGCCTAGTTTGCTCATCAGTCTCCTCTTCTAAATCTATGTTGGTCACACTGTGCATTCCCACAAGGACATCTGCAATCTTGTTTGTGTCATTTCCTGAAATTGGAACCAATTCATACTTTCCTCTGCATTCCTCAGAGTCATCCAAAATTTCTCTCAGCTTATGGATGAATAACACCACCTAGGTTACAATGAAAATGGTTTCAGTTGGTGTAAGCATCAGCTTAACCCTTCAGCTCTAAGTAGTGATTAACCCATAACTTCTCCACATAATATCTATACATTATCCAGCAAACAGTTAATGAGAATACTCAAACTTATCAGATAGAAGTTGTTATCTTGATTTAATGCCAAATTCTTGTTACTTATTTACTAGGAAATGTGTATAAGCTAGAAAGGGGAATAAACAATCAGATCTTGGGAGTTAAAGGGTTAAAAAAAAAAAAGGGTATTAAAAAAAACTACCTCAAAAAGAAATTCTAAGAACAAATATTTGTTATCATATATCTAAAATCACATAACAGATCACACTTGTTCACCTGATGATCCCGCTCTGGACCAGTCAAAGGGGCCTTTGCATGACCAGACATTTCGCACAGGGACATAAGAGGCGTAGCGTACTCCAAGACAAAGTGGTACTCTTCCACCGTTCCATCTGGGCGAGGCATCTCTATGCGGTGTACCGCATGCTGGTAACTTCTCTCCAAAATTCCAGCCCTGTTAATTTTACTCGCGGGAAGTTTGCCGGCCCATTTTACCCTGTCATCTGCTTTGGATATTTCTTCAAATGCATAGCACGTTTTTGGAAGTAAAATGAAAAGCTTTTCGTCTGTAATCTTATGACGAAATGTGTCCGATTCGGAAATACGATATCCCAATCTTGGCAGCACCAGCTTGAGATAACCAAAGTAATAGCCCCAAGCCAGCCCATCAGCCACATTCTTGTTTTCTTTTTCGTTCAAATCCAATGTCTCTACGGGAGAGAGCTGTCGACTGCCAACAAGGAACAGAGCGATGGCAACGACTAAAATACTACCGGAATTATTGAAAGTTAAAGTCCTCTTGCAAACATCCTTCCAGTTTCCTCGATATCTCTCGTGCTTGTGTTTAATCTCTTTAGACACAAGGCACAATCTTCGTACTATTTCTCCGAGAACGACACCCAAGATAAGCAAGGCTGTTGTAAACACCAGGAAATCAATCCCTTCTCTCTTTTTGTTATCCTTCGCTGCGAACAAAAGCATCGTGCCACTAACCACAACCACGATAGCTGATGTGATCGTAGCAATATTTCCACGAAGCTCGGAAAGTGGTCCAAAGCTATTATGTGATTGCTGAGCTACGTCATCTCCTTGGGGAAGAAGATTATCTGCCATGGTGGATAAAACTATTTCTTTCTCTCGATGGTCTCGTAATACTCGTGAAGTTGACCACCACTAAATGCGTCAAATTGTTGAGAGCTGATCACTTCTTCAAATAGAACGCCATTTACTTGGGTAATCCCCCACAACAATTCTCTGGACCTGATTGGCCAGGAGCACGTCAGGGTGTTCATAAGGTGTACCCCTGGGGGAAAACCCCCCTGACGGGGTGGGTTAATCAAAGTTTCATAGTGCTCTTTCAGCAACTTTCGGTTTCTAGAGATCTTTCCCTCACGAATGAAAAACTAAAATAAAAACTTTTCCCTAACCTATACCTTTTGGAGCCCCTCTACTCCTTGTCTATCAAGTTTAAAAATTGTGGTTTTCACAGGAAGGTTGCATGTCCTCATAGAAACTAGAAACAAATTAAAATTTTAAATCAGGGTTTATAATGGTAGCTATTGCTTCAATATTGGATTATTCATATTTATGCGAGGGCCAGTTAAAATTAGCTCTGCCTTCATCTTGGCTAGGATCATAGAAGAGAACAAGGAAGATCAAGAGGTTATTAATGCTATTGCCAAATGACATAAAACTTCTGCATAAACCGATATGATTTACCTGGGAAATCCTCTAAATAAAAACTCTGGCCTTGACTGGCCAAGAGTCTTGTGGTTGTCTTTGGGCATCTTTCGTGCTCTCCAAACTTCCCGCGTGCTTCATATCTCGATGAACGCACGCTGACATATGAACCAATTGTTAAATCTCATCTCACATGAATTCGAATACCATCATTAACATGGAGAACAGTTAAAAGTAGCTTGCTTGCTCCATATTCAGGCTTGGTTCACCGAGGAGCATCGGGGGGCATCAAGAGCCGTTTAATTCAAGTGCCAAATGGGATCATATTTCCTTCGTTCCTTTGGGAAATGCACCCACACATTCTTCTACATAACTTGCGGGTAACACACGCCACTTTGCGCTGTAAATAGCACGAGACGTTTTGATTGTTACTTCAACCACAGGCGGCCCAAGCTCACGTCTTGAGAAAAGCCAACGATGAATTCATGAACGCGTCACGCGTTGTGTGACTCGGTGTTAAGTTACGGGAGGAACCGTTGAAAATTTGAACACGTTTTAAGGAATATTATGGGGAACGAAATATGGTCGATTTACAACGATAAATATTTCGAAATATGAATATTTTACACGAAAATCAATAAAACTTACTCATGCCCTGTGTATCCGTCGTAGTTTCTGGCGATTTCTGCCGTTTTAAGCTTGCTTTACCATCACTGTTATCCATGTCAAAAGACGAAGTCAAGGCTGCACACTCCGATTTCGACCGTGGTCCACGCGGAGGTGGTTTGCGCCCCGAAAATCCTCCCGATCGGCATTTTTCTCAGCCACACTTTACGATCTAAGATCACTGCACCCAGGGACATGTCTCAATACCAAAACTTCGCGCGCGTTTCGCTGGAAACAGAGCACAGCAAACCCCGCAGAATATTCGAATTTTGTCCGTTGTTTATCTGTTTTAGTTGTTTATCTATTTTAGGTCGATTAATGTACAATACTTAACCCATCCCCACAGAGACACCTCACCTTAACGTATTGTCCTAATTAACCAATCAGACAGCGAGTTGAAACTAAAACAGATAAACAACGGACAAAATTTGAATATTCTGCGGGGTTTTGGTATTGAGACATGTCCCAGGGTGCAGTGATCTTAGATCGTAAAGTGTGGCTGAGAAAAATGCCGATCGGGAGGATTTTCGGGGCGCAAACCACCTCCGCGTGGACCACGGTCGAAATCGGAGTGTGCAGCCTTGACTTCGTCTTTTGACGTGGATAACAGTGATGGTAAAGCAAGCTTAAAACGGCAGAAATCGCCAGAAACTACAACGGATACACAGGGCATGAGTAAGTTTTATTGATTTTCGTGTAAAATATTCATATTTCGAAATATTTATCGTTGTAAATCGACCATATTTCGTTCCCCATACTATTCCTTAAAACGTGTTCAAATTTTCAACGGTTCCTCCCGTAACTTAACACTGAGTCACACAACGCGTGACGCGTTCATGAATTCATCGTTGGCTTTTTCTCGAGACGTGAGCTTGGGCCGCCTGTGCTTCAACGATGATAAAGACTGAGTGGTGAAAAAGTAGCAACGGTGGACTGTGAGTGCAACCATGAACTGATAGCGTAAATTGAGGTATAATTCCCACACAATTCACCAGCTCCCTCTAGATTTATAGATATCGTTAAATTGTTCAGGTTAAGTTTCAAGGATTGACAAATGTTTTTTTTGCATTCACGGCCCTTGATTCGTAATTACAATCGGGAGGAAAACTATCTAAAACCTGGGTGTCCTGTGACTCTGTTAGACGATGAAAGTATCTGGATAAAGAATGTCAGCCAGGGTTTAGGTTATTGTTCAGCTTAAGTACAGTACTGGATAAGAGAAGAGCTATCACGATCCTTGACTGATATTATTATTATAAGTAACATTGAGATTCAGATTCTTTTTCTAATAACTAATAATTTGCACGTTGTACAGGGGCTTTGATGTTGTAATCAAATTATTGATAATTAAGCCCTGAGGTCAAGTGAAAAACATCGGGCTTGTCGAAACCAAGGATATTTAATCAATAACAAGGAGGAAGCAGATTTCATAACAATGCTTGCCAAGTAGGCAAGTAGTTTGCTTGCCTGGTCAACCTTCTTTGGGGGGGAAGGGAGGGCCTTCATAGAGAGATAATGAAGCATACAGAGGCATGCAAAGACTGAAAGCGTACAGTGAAATTTATCACTCTTAGTGGGCAGGGATCTTGACATTCTTGTTGTGCAGCTTATTTCTAAATTCGCTCCATTATTCTTTCCCTGTTGAGCCTTCACTGTGGAACATCACTGGCGTTAAGTAAACCTGGGATCTGCATGAAGGGAGTTGAATTGCCACAGAATGAAGTTGAACTGAAAACCTGTCCACTGTTTGCAGCTCCAGGAAATTTCCTCACCCACCCCTGGGGGACCACTTGGGATGGGATAGGGTGAGCATTTTTAAATCTTAAGTGTATA